GGCTATCCTTGCTTTTACTTCCTTGGTGCATAGGGCGTCCGTCGTGACTATGCTTCCCAAGTACTTGAAATGCTCCACATTCTCCAGCTGTTGGTTTCCAACTACAACGTTCAATGGTTCTGCTCTCGGTGCTATCCTCATTACCTTTGATTTTTCAATGTTGATTTCCATTCCATACTCGCTACCTCTTTCCACTAACTTGTCCATCATGTTCTGTAATTCCTCCTCTTCCTTCGCCAATACTACTAAGTCGTCTGCATATTTTACAGTTGTTATCACTCTTCCTCCAATTTTGAAGTCTCCTGTTCCCTCCAGAGCTTCCTTGGCAAGCCATTCCCCATACAGGTTAAAAAGAATTGGTGATAAGCAGCATCCCTGTCTTACACCTCTACCTATCTCAACGCTGTTGGTGTCTCCTGAGTCCAGTGTCTCTTTGACTTTTTGCTGCATGTACAGGTTTTCGATTAGTCTTCTATTTTCTTTGGTAAGTGCATATATTGTAAAGTATATGGAGATGCAAAGGAAATTGAAATTATTTATCCCAAAATTGTAAACCCATGTTTCTCATGCAAGAGTACTGTTGTAAAATGATATACTTCATTTATAGATTGAACAACATTTGCGTTCTGGTTTATATATATTTTTTTGTACATGTACCTTGATTTTCCGGTTTACATTATTCTCAGCTTCAATCTGAGGCCATCTAACCAGTCTTTTTATGCAGATCAGTCCGTTTTTCCTTTTCCTAAACTACATTGTTTTAGCCTGTTTTTCCTTTAAAAAAATGAAAGGAAGGAAAATAGACTTCCAAGATTACAATGCTGTTTATGCATGTATGTGTCCTTACCAACTTTTGAAACAAATTTACTAATTTCCTTGAAACCGAGGAGGCTACCCCCAACTTCAAAATTTTTATTTCCCACAATTGGTAATAACATGACTGACATATGAATTTGTGATGTGGGAGCTACAGTTGTGTCAATTTGTATTGTTATGAAATTCTGTATAGTAATAACTCATCAAAAAAATTTACATTTTCTGTTAAGGTAATATTTTTGTAGAGTATAAAACTGCATGGTTGCTGTGTGAACATTTTTTTTATAGCTTTTAGTTTTATACTAATAGCTATCACACTGTTGGAGTGATGCATTTAAAATTTAATACAGATGTAGATCATAAATGTACCTACATGTTGTAAGATTTGAGGTTTTCACAGCGGTGAGTATGAAGATTTCTGTCTTTCTGTCTTCGGGGATGTTGCGCTGTGTAGTCTGGTTGATGCTAACCAACGTTTCAGAGGTCATACTGCCTCCGTCATCATCGCCCTGATGACGCAGGCAGTATGACCTCTGAAATTTTGGTTAGCATCGACCAGACTACACAGCGCAACAACCCAGAAGACAGAAATCTTCATATCTGCATGTTGTTATGCATGAAATATTGCTTGTAAGTATAATAATAAAAGCATAAGATATGTGTAACTAAAACTTTGTGCTTGAACTGTTCTCAGTAATCTATCCCGAGGAACTCCGGCACATAATAATGTATAGGATTTGAGGTTTTCACAGCAGCGAGTCTGAAGATTGCTGTCGTCTGGGTTATTCCATTCTACCAGACTACACGGCACAATAACCCAGAAGACGGCAATCTTCACTTAATAATATACTGGAAAGAAATGTTAATGGAACTCAAGTTTGTTTGCTTGCAGTTTCCCATGGTAAGCCACGGTGGTCTAGCGATTAGAACGCTGGCCTTGTAATCCTGGGGTCTCGGGTTCGATACCCGGTGGTGCCCGAATTTATAACTTTTGTTGGTCAAGGCCGTGGTCTAGGCAACACGGAGTTTTCCTCCGGGGGCTTCCCCGGTTTCTCCATGGCATCCCATTCACACACAGAAGAAGGCAATGGCAAACCACTTCTGGATCATTTGCCAAGAATGTATATGAAGAGGTCCCAGTCCAAGAAAAGGATGGAAGGATCCTGTTCATATGGACCTGTCGTCAGACAGAACACTAAATAAATAATAATAAGTTTCCCATGATTAACTTTCCTTTCATTAAAGTGTGGAACCAATTAACCTCCCTCCTAATAAACCTTAAATGATCTTTATATTTTAAAATATAACAGGCAGGATGTGGTATTATTATACCAGTGTTTACTTGATTTTCATAATTGACTAAAGTTGACTGATAGCGTCACATTTTAAATCTTCTAGCATTCATATTTACAACACTTATTGACTCTTTGTTGGCTAAGTATCTTTCCTAATGAGTTTTTTTGTTAAACAGCTAATGAATGCACTTGCTTGCTGCTGTTGCATTTGCAATCAAAGACTTCATCAGCTAATGAGATGCTGTATGGACTGATAGATACACAGCTTTCACTAGTGCCACAGCTTGCAGACTTCACCATTATATCCATGCTCAAGATGATTGCAAAGGTTGGTGCAGTATATGAGATTTAAGATTTTCCTTGCATCTGACATTTGTGGGTTGTGATCTTCTGGGTTATAATGCTGTGTTGTCTTTCAGGCAGTTACCACAATTTCATAGGAACTTGCGAAGCGAGTCAATTTGTGGTGGTGTTAGATTATATATGAAGGGTGGTCAATAGGAAAGAGGAAACAGGAGAGAATCTAAAATGGAAAATTTGCAAGAAAGATCCTGAAAAAGGATAGCTTTCTGCAAATGCCTTTCTAAGGGCCACAGTGGTGTATCTTAAATAAGGACTCGACTGCTTTTTTCCATATGCTTTTCACTTCATTATTAATTTATTATCCTATTATCTGATGCTGCATAGTCTATGCTACTAACAGTGTTATAAATAAAATATATGTATAAATTCTAAAAGTTTTGTGCCATGGCCCATGTGGAATGTATTTCATGGCTAGAGTGTTAGTATTGTGACTATGAAGGGTTCAGTAATTCTATCGTTTGCTTTGCTAGTTCATTCAAGATTTGCATAAACTGGGGCAATTGTTTGTGTAACATAGGAAGATTTATAGACATTCTATAATGAAGCTGGAACCATTTCTTGTATAATTTTTGTGAGTCCCTACATAGACTGTACGAGAGGTGAGTGCAAATCTGCCCCTGGAACTCGTGCAGAAGCTTCTGGGATCTGACTCACCCCTGCTGGAGCTGCGTTTTTCACCCTCTCTAAACGTCCAGGCAGAAGTCTTGGCAGTATACCATAGTCTTCTTAACCTAAAGAATATCCCATTACTGCAGGAAGCATACAGGTATGTTTTTTCATTGCTAGTTCTTTTAGGTTCAAGTTGTCTCAACTTTTCTTACAAGGATATGTTATTATTTGAGACTTGACATTCTCTACTGTGATTGTGTTAGCACCTAACTACTGTACAGGACCTAGCTGGTGTTTACAATTTCTGTACTAGAACTTGGTTACAGATATAGCTTGTGTTTTTTTTAATCAAACATTTTCAGTACAGACATTACGAGTTGTGTGGCGGTAGTGATTTGTCATGGAAAGAAATAAACAGACACATTAGAATCTTGTTGGTGTTGCAAGTGTTTATTCCCAGAAACATTTTGTCACATTAGATTATGGTTTTTCAGGTATGTTCTTGGAGATCTTGAGGTAGCATACAGAATGTATGTGCCATCTATAGAAGAATTGTGCCAGCAGAATCCTCACACAAATCTTGTGTACATTATGGACAATGTGGAAACTGTGATTATATTTCATCTCCGTGCTCTTGCAGATCTAGGTAACAGTTGTATTTCTTTTATTGTAAAATTTGTCTTGCAGCTTTTGAAGCATCATAGTTTATTATCATAAGCAGCATGACATCATAGTTTTTAAAAAACAATTTAGTCATGGATGAGAATTACTTTTTCAATTTGAGATGAAATTGAAATGAGAATTATAAAAATGTAAAAATGAGAATGAGAATATTCTCTACTAAACCAGTTTTTCACTGTAATCACAATTTATACCCATTGTCATTTTTTTCGGTTTGAATCAGATTCCTTATTATTTAAAAGTTTTCTTAAATTATTGTATTTAAGAATAATCACTTCTAGGGACATGTTCTTTTTTAGTTTAGTCACTTGAATCTGAAGACTGTGATTGCTGATTTCAGGTCCTTTCTTACAACTGGCTGCTTCTAAAAACTTTGGCACATAAGTTATTTAGTAACAGCATGTAATATTTTATTTCAGTGTGTAATAATTTACATCAGGGTTGCAATAGTTGATAATACTGTTACAGATTTATATATGGAGAAAAAATCTTCAAAACTTTTGATTTAAGTTTGTGGTAGGGATTTGTATTCAGAATTTCAAGATACAGTGAAACCCCTTGTGTACACTTTTTTGCAGTGATGGAAAGTATAATTTGCAGGAAATCAGAAAATCAAAAGCTTAACCTGTATGTCATCTCAGTATCAGTCATCCTTTGGGTCTTTTGCTTTTCACTTAAATTCCAGAATACATGTATTTATATTCATTTTTTAATATGTTTGAAAGTACTAATATTTTTCTTTCTGGGTTCTTTATATGTGTATTTAGTCTCAGTAAACTGCAAAAAACATAAGTTTCCATTCAAAAATTATAATGTAATATTTTTGTATTTTACTTTTATAGCAAATGCAAGTAATTCCATCATTGGAATGTGGGCATTGAAACCTAGCATCTTGGAGTTGCTGGCTGTGAAGTTGCTGCCTTATGACAAGGATTTGGCACAGCACAGCCCAGTGTTGCAATACTCTGTTCTCTACCTGCTTTATAGTCATTGTTCAAGGTGAGGAGGATTAATAGGGAGAAAATATGGTATTTTCTTGATTTGAGATAAATGTTTTTGCTTTAATTTTCCTTCATAAGTTTAGAGGAGGGGGGTTGCTTATTATATTTGCATATGGAAACATGTTTTAAAAGTCAAAATATATTAAAATTGTTTGTGGGGAAATTTACTATTAGAATTGTAATGTTTTTCTACACACGCACATTTTATCCTGTTCTCTGTTTTTGTATTTACTGAGTGGTTGTTAGCCAGTATTTTTTAAGAACATTTTATAATGTGATGTGATTCCTTATTTAAATTGTTTTTGCTCCTGCTCAATCGAGAATGGTGGCATGTAGGTATGCATGTTGTAAAATAGGGGTTATATTGGATTGATAGGAACCAAAATTTAATTTGGCCACTTTTAGTATAGACACTCCAATACCAAATTCCATCAGCCAGTTCAGTAATTTTTGGAAATGAAATATGCGGACAGACATGACCTCTCTCTGTTATGCAACAAATGTGTGCCTAATTTGACCAAGTAGGGTGTTGATATCAGAGGGTTAATTTCAGTCATTCACAACTGCTCTCTATATTCTTTTCTAGGTACAATCATTTTGTGTCCAGCAGTGGTTTGGTAAGTTCTGCACATGGCAGATCAAATGTACATGATATTCTTGGTTTGCCGGTCACTCTCGGTTCAGAAGTACCCACAACGTCTCCCACCAGTGGACACCTCTCTATCATTCTTGGTCTGCTTGCAAATATGCTCTCACAGGTTTGTGCAGTTGTCTTCAGCTGTCATGTAGAATATACTATTCTGTACAGGATGATAAGTATGAAAAGTGTATAGCTTTGTGAACTGCTTCATGGTACTTTATACCAAGCTGTATGATATTCTCAAATTTTATTCTACAGGACCTCTGATACTCAGGGTTCTAAGGATTTTATTAATATCAAGACTAATTTATTTTACTCATATTTAAATTATGAGCCTGAAAGCTGTTGGCTATAATGTAATCATTTCTTGTCTGTAAATACCAAAAATAGTACATTAAATACCTTATGAAACATCTGCATAGAACCACTGGATACAAGTGTTACTGCACAGTGACTAACATTTCCTACTTCTTATTCGGAGGTTCTTGCTTTCATTCATGGTCCAAAGACTGGTTATTTTGGGTAAACTTTTTGTATAGTCGGCACAGTAGTTTTTGGCTGGTGGAGAAGCTAGCGGAATTGGCGGACAGGCCTAGTCTGTGTACCTGAGGTGGCATGGTCATTGTATTTCTTTTGTTTGGGCGTTCAGTCACACAAGCTGCTCGGTGCAGTCAGCATTATACTATCGCAAAAGACACTCGCTCCTAGCCTTCCCCTTGAAAATTCCACCGGCCAAAAACTACTTCGCCGACTATACCTTTGGCCACTTTATTCATGGTCTTATTGATGTCTTCTTCTTTTACAGGAAACATCGGAGGAAACGAGACTGTTGGTTCTGTCATGGGCACGTGAACTGCTTGCTCAAGCTCAACCTTACATGACTGTACTGCATCAGACAGCTGAGTTTGAGAAAATCTTGTGTACCATTGTTGGTGCTGGCTTCCATCATAGTGCAGCAATTGTTTTAGGAGTTGCAGGAAATGTTGAGCAGGTGTTAGCTGCCAAGGAGGTGCCTTGGAAAGTAAGAACACTTCGTGTTTGCATCTCTTTGATTTTGCATTAAGATACTGCACTTGTGTTGAATGGTATTTTTCTTTGATTTACTAGTTTTTATAGGTTGATTGATGGTCATTAAATGATGTAATCTGCTGTGTAACTTTTGACTTCTCAACTGGTACAGCTGCCTTTCACCAACTACTCCTTCGTCTATTTAGAGGTTTTTTTGGAAACAGTGCTTTCCAACATGTTTTTGGTATAACTTATTCTGATCTTTAGGTTCTAGATATCTTAATATTATAAGTATGGTTTACAGATCTGAAATTACTATTTTACAGTAGTGGCATTGTAGACTGTACTACATGGAGTTCATTACAACACATTTCTTAAAGTGTATGCTTCTGTTTGTTCTTTATGTCTGGCTGATTCTCATAATAAGTAGGCTTTGAGATTCTCATGATACTGAGTGTAAAGTTGCTTGTTTTCTGGTTCGTAGCGCCATGTAGTCTGGTAGTCCACCAGCATTTCTGGGGTCCTTGCAACCTCTTATCATCTGTGCACAGCTTACTTGTCCTGGTGATGGAGGCAGGAAGGACCTCTGGAATTTTAATAAACTTCTACCAGACTATACAGTGCTACAACTCAGAAGACAGCCATCATTGATTCTCATAATGTTTCAATCTGTTGGTATGTCTTCAGGGTACGCTTTTGTCCAAGATTTTTGAGCTTTGCGTTCTGCATCTGAACTCAACGAACAACAGAGTTAGGACAAAGTTCAGTCAGCTGTTGTCCCTAGTGCCCTGGTATGTCACTGTTTCAAGACTAACAGATATGAGTCATGCTGTGGATGTGAAGGTCTGTATGCATCAAATTCTACACACTTCTGAAATTTTGTAAAATAGTGGTGTTGAGAATGAATTTTTGGAAGTTATTTTGTTCTTGACTGATCGTTAATGGGTTGTATTCTGTTCAGTATTGATGTTAATACTGTTTGAAGATTGTTAATTTGTTTCTGGTCTCATGTTATATTGGTGACATGTGTGTAACTACATACATGATCAGTGATGTATCACTTTTTGTCTTAATGGAAGGTGTCAGTTACAGATTAACTGCAGTGTCTATGTAGTGTATTAATAGAAACTATTATTCCTGTTGAATGATTCAATGTGTAACATTTTAGCTGTTGATGAATACAGTTTATTCATTTCCATGATAAGCCTACTGTATACAATGTGCAGAGATTTGCATTGTCACTGCATTGTAGTTAGTGTGACAGTTTGTTCCTTGTATCTGTGCTAATCATATATTTACAGGTAATATAGTTAATTATGTATACTTTTAGAACAAACCCCTGCAAGAACTGTCAGGTTTTACCCTTGACATCCTGCATGCCGCACAGACTCATCATTTGTTAAGGGGCTGTTGTGGTGATATGCAGCCACAGAATTTCCGGAAGTTCATGGGTTATCTCCTGCAGGGTGTACATCACAGGTGAGTGAAATTAATTTGCCTTATATTGTGTGGGAATAGGGGGTTTAAACCTCTGTACTACAGTGCTGCTAACCGTACTTTAACTCCAGAGTTAATGATTGTTTAATGGCTTGCTACTGTGATGCACATTCTGCTTGACCATACAAGTTATGATGCTGAAGGTTCAAATTTTCTTTCATTCAGTGTTCCATTGATAGTGATCCAATGTCAATAATCTGTGTTCAGTTTCTTCAATATGGAGTGAAGTTCTGATTGTGCCCACATTTAGTGAAATCTCATATGTAAAGAATATTTTTTCTGATCCCAGCAGAAGCCTGATATAATGCATTATTTTTGCATATTTAGTCAATAACCTGAATGTAATAGGAGATAAATTTATTTTTATTTATTTATATTTATAGTTTTTTGTTGTTGATGATCATGAATATGTTGAATTAGTTCACATTATATAGCATTGAATGATAAGTTAATTGGTGGATAATAAATTGGAAAGGATATTAAAGGAAACAGTTATGGCTTAATTTAAGGTACAATCTTCATACTTTCCCAGGGATAAGGAAAACCACAAAGGACCTGTTAGAAAAGCTGAATTCAAGGATGAGAGTTGAATTTGGGCCTTCCAGAACATGAAGGAGTGCTAACCACCCAGCTTAACTGCTATGTTTGATTATATGCCTCGATTGCATGGTGCTTGGGCACAGAGGCATCTTTACAATTACCTCTACAGAAAATGTGATTTATTTACTCTCTTCTTGTGCAGTAAGTTAAAGTGTGACAGCTTTTCATTGTTGCAGTGATAACAATTGGCTGCAAGACATATTCTGCAGCTGCTGGCCACTGCAGCCATCACCTCGGACTGCAGATGAAGATAAGGCCATCTGTATGTTTGGTAACTTGGCGCTTGCATCCAGTTTAGTTCTGCTCTCGTGGGCTGCTTCAGAAGCAGCTCATCTGTGTGTCATGTACAAGTTACGTACACCGCTAGGAAAGCCACAGGACACCTTCACTAACATCGAAGGTAAATAGGGTTGTTCACTCTGTGATTTTAACTTTTCAATGTGTACTTTATTTCTGTTTGCTAATGCTGTCCATTCAAGCATCCCAGACAATTGTATCCATAAATTGTTTTTAAATCAGTAGTTTGTAAGTAAATATTTGCCAGTGCTGCATTCATACATCAGATGAAGAGACAAGCTTTATTAGTTCTTAGCAGGTGTGAATGTTTTCTAAATCTGTAAGAAGCTTCAGTAATTGTACTTGTAGTGGCTGTGCCATATCTCATGCAGTTAGTCATTGGCATCTCATTGCAGAGACCGAAGTTTACAGCCAGGTTAGCATTGTAGGATTTGTGGTTTTTTCTGTGTGTTTTGGTTTTTCCATCAGTATTGTTCCACTGCTACTCCATATTCACACATGTATCGTCTGGGGGATTGTCAGTGGGCCAGAAGAAAATGAATTTTAAATCTGGACATATTAATCACCCCCTCTACTCTCTCCAAATATTTTATGATTTATGACAGTATTTTGAGAATCACTGTTTATACATGTGACCATGTTTGAACATGCTTTCTCAAATTAATTTAAGTTAATTAAAATACCAGATGTATGCAAGAATCTCATATATTGGTGATAAAGTATATTGTTTTATTTTATTGGTTTTATATGTAGCTGTACTAAAATTCTTTGGTTTTGCAATGTGTATATCATATTCTTTGTGTTTGAGCTGTTTTAATTTATTTTCTTTATATTACTTTTTCTTGCTGAAATTTTTTCTGTTTCCATAATACAGTGAAGTGCTTATTTTAGAATTTATTCATTTGGTTTTCTTATGGTATCCTAAGAACCACAACACCCGTATAAACCCTGGGAGGTCAGAGTTTCTTGAATGTCTTCTGCTTATTTTCTGTTTGGAGTTTTTTCTTTTTCTTTTTGAATGTCAAGGGGATATTGGCACATCTGTGCAGGTTTGTTTTAGGGGTATATCAGTATCCAAATTCTTAAATTCAAACTCAAATAATGCCTCACACATAGCTTGAATTTGGACCCAAGTGTGATCATTCCATTTATTTCTATCTACTCATTATGTATTATTTTCATGAAACTTGAGGGTATATTTTAATTTTTTTAGCACTATTTCATTTTAGTTATAAAATGCTTATTATGTGAGAATGTGTATAACATCAAAGTAGCAGCCATGATTATTGTTAGCCAGTCGTAGGTATCCCATCTCAGAAATGAATTTCCTGTCATTGCAAAGGCTGGTAAAATCTATGGGCTGATTTGGTGATACATTGGTTATAGTGGAGCGATTTTGAGGTTTGATCTTAATTGTTGACACTGATTTGTAAAATGAAAGGAAAATTAGTGTTAACCAAATTATATGCAGGTTCTAAAGATTAGATTAGAGCTAACTCTGAAATTGTTTGTTTTGTCTCAGAAAGTGACAATGTTCAACACACTTACATAATGCAGTGACCATTACCACAGTCCATCTTAGATAATCAGTTAGGTTTGGTTAAATAGGGACGTTAGCCACAGAATCAACAGTATTTGGAAGATCCTGTCAGATCCCATTCTTTTAGCATGTTTTTTTTTCCAATTTTCTACTGTTGTGTAAAATATGTTTTTGAAGAAATGTTTAATTCTGTTATTCATTTCTTTCAGATTATATTCATACTGACAAATTATTTGTTTTCAGGAGCCATAAAGAGTCTGGCTCGTGAGATCAACCAGCAGCAAGTAGGCCCAGAAGAATCCTCTCTTCCTTATTTCAAAGAGACAATGACAACCACCAATGGCAAGCTTGCTGGCACATTGTGTTGTGGAACTTGGGAGCAGCAGAGAGTCAGGCTTTTGCTGGAGTTCTTGGAACACTTGGAGAAGGCAATGCACAATGCTGCTGAGGGATGTGCAACAGCTATGCTACCTCCTCCCAAGGTGTGTAATGCAGTAAATATCCATTAATAGTTATTCCTGAATGGGCAATGTTGTGATGAATCCTTCTCCAGCTTTATTTGTCCTATAATCACTCCTCTGTGTGTCGACTGTGAGTATTTCTCTTTGTATGTTTATTTTCCATTACACCTACTTGGTTGAGCAAACTTTTGAGGTGGGGGTAACTGTAGGGCTGTTGAATGTAGGGTACTGAAGTTTGATGCAGTTATAGATTTTTAAAATGTGCACTTTTTTATAAGGCTGTTTGAAGATGCACATATGCATTTGCTATGTGTGTAGGATGAAAAGAACATGGCAGCCATGTAAAATATATATTTAATTTTGTATTTGATTGTTATTACTGATGAAACATTGGAGCTAAGTATGTGAAATATTGTGCCCAGATTAACATGGAATAAATAGTACTGGAAATGAAGAACAGAAATATATTGCTGAATTGTGTTATTTGTAGTTCCTGCTAGCCACACTATTATAGACTGAAACAATTCAAGGGAAATATTCATAACAGTTCTTTCCAAAGCTTTTGCTTTCTCCATTGCAGTCTGAATGAAAATTACAGATTTTCTTATCTTTCTCACATATGAATGAAGTTAAGTTTGGGAATAGGTTGTGATAATATGGGTTTGATTAGATCAGGTTCCACAACATAAAATGGTATGAAATTAAATTGCAAAGATGTATATCTGATTGACCTGGCCTAGAATTTAGAACTTTTATTTTAATATTTTCAGATCTTGGTTTCTAATATCTGAGATTTAGTTACCAAACTTGCAGAACATTTAGGTACTAGCTACATTGAACACTCCAATACTTTAAAGTGAAACATAATGTTATATTTTTTGTTTCTGTAGTTTTTTAACACATAAAATGCTTTGTTACTTGGGTACTTGGTTATATGAGCTACGTTTCATCCTTATTATCTTGGAACTGCTGTTGCGATGGTCCAAGTTCAGAATAAAATGTATGAAGTAAATTTTGTCATGGTCTTTCAGCCAGTGCGGACATTCTTCCACACAAACAAGAGCACTTGTGGTGAATGGCTGACAAGAATTCGCTCTGCTGTGGTCGTAGTGGCAATCCATGCTGGACAGGCAACTACTGCAATTCGCCATGGGCATTGTATGTTGCAAGATATGGTAGATGCCAACAACACTCAGGTGTGTTGAGACACTTGAGTATCTATATCATTTGTAATAATTGTATCCATCAGTTGGTGAGGCACTTAGAAAACTGAGAAAGAGATGAGAGGTCAGCATTAAGATGGATATTAGTGAGGTGTATTGTGAGGATATAAAGTGTATGGAACTTGTTGAGGATTGCATCTAATTGCAGACTTTGGTGTTAGCAAGAAAGGAAAACCCTGTTCCTACAAAATTACATAATTGCATTACTGAGAGGTTAAAACATACCATTAAAATAAACCCAGTTATGTTGAACTTGAGTTGATTTAGGACGTTGCATGTTTTTTTTTTGAATGATATAAAATATTGATTATTAATCTACACTGTTTCTTCTTGTAGGGTCCTGAGTTTGAAAGGTCTGTGATGCATGTCTGTTGGGCCCTCTGCAAACTTTGTGAACCAGAAGCAATACAAGGACTGAATGCATGGTGTAGAGATGTTGCTGGGCGAAAGTTTGCTTGGCTGAAATTTGCTTCTGAACAAGCCCATGGAAGGTGAGTCCTGGCTGACTGAGGCTGATTGAACTCTTGATCAGTGATTGTTTTTATGTGTTCATTGCATGAAGTGCATAGTGAGAACACATTATGGGCTTGCCGTGTCTGTTGATCCATCCATCCACCTGTTCAGTTGATTCAACTCAAGAACCACTGGATGGATTTGTATGAAATTTGATGTAGAGGTGTTCTGCATGACCTCAAAAACATATTTTGAATGTCCTATGAGCGGTGATGGCAAAATGACAGATTGGAAAACTTGTGAGGTAGATATTGGGATGCTGTAATCGGGTGGCTAATGTGGGAGCTATCAAACAATGCTGCCTTAATACCTCTAAATTCACACTGCAAAGAATGCATGAGGTTATTATGTGTAATCTGATATGGAATATACTTTCCAATCTTGTTCTCTCATAGTTTTAACAGTGGAAGCAGGATTCAGATTATTAAATGATTGGGGGTTTGTGTCTGTATATACTTAAATGATCCATGATCATTATCTCTTTGGACACTGCATGATTTTAGCAGCAGTCGCAGTATCATAAAATAACTAAATAATCTTTTAATTCTAATTGTTGTAAATGAAATTTATTATCCTTGTCAGGTTTGAAACTGCAGCTGAAGGTTATCGAAAATTATTAAACCAGGAGTGTGTTGGGTCAACACCACAAAATTCACCATCACACTTGATTACTGATGGGAACATCTCCAGTCCAGTGAAACAAGTCGGGAAAACTGAAGTAGATGAGCATGTATTAGGGTTTATAGCTGATCAGGTAGGTGAAACAATGTAGTTACCTTCCATGTCCTTACATATTTATTATAAGTGAAAATTTTAAACTTAAATTTAGTAATGATAATTAATTATCCTAGAACTGTGTTGTAAAACTTTGAGGTTGTATCTTGTAAACTGGGAATTTGTACTAGTAAAAATTATGAGTGAGTGGATCGGTGAGTGTACATTAATTAATTTATAGCTTGTGCTATGCCTCACAATATAGATTGATGCATTTTGAGGATAATATGAATCATAAGTTCTTCCCAGAACTTGGTGTGTTATCTTGAAATATGTATTAATGGAAAAGGTTTATTGAGATTCTATTTTAAACAGGTTTTACTGCATTTTGTCATATCTTTGGTATGAGAACATGTTTTTTATTTTATTTTTAAAGTTAACAGAGTGTTACAAGGCTGTAAGTAATTGGAGTGATCTTCTGAAGTGGAAGGAGAAGGAATCTGAACTGTGGATGAATCAGAATGGAGGAACCCCAGAAAAATATGTAAGTTTCATCAAAAATACTTATCCCCTCAATTGAAGACATTTCTTATTAGATGTTTTTCACATATGCTGTAATAAATAAGAGGCCAGAAAATGGAAAATCTTGTGATGGCTTCATGTTGTGAGTGTCATGTATTCTTTCTAAAATGAATGCACCATGAGGAGGTCATGCTTATCCATTTGCCTGCATTTTTTATCAGAAAATTTTAAATGAATTTTTATGAGATTCAATAATAGTTGTCACGTCAATTTAATTTTGAAAGCTTACTTCATACCCATTGTATAAATTCTGGTGTCAGTTGTGCCATTGTCAGGGTACATCTCTTTTTACAGCTGTTAAAAATTTACAGAATGAGAAATACTTTTGAAATGTAATATGGTAATCGGGCAGATATGTGTTAGAGTGCCACTGTTTGTCTTGTACTGATATTGGCGTTAAAGCGGGGATGGCAATTTATTGAATTTTTTTATGTTTGGACGTATTGTTAGTTATCAGTAGTGCCATGTGATATGCAAAATGTATATTTAGGATCTGGGTGGTAAAAGGAAAGACAAAATTGTGAAGTATGTATGTGTACTTAAGCAACTTTTAAAATAATTATTAATTCTTCTTCTGAGAAGAATTCATTGTGCTTGGTCACCATGAAAGCTTCAGATCATTCAGTTCTTATAATACTGTTGTCCTATACAGTATTAATCTTTACTATATCAAAGCACCATTTCTTCATTCATTATAGGTCTTCAGTGCTGATAGAGGCAGTTGATTATCTGCATTAATTTACTTGGCATCTACACTCCTCAGAAATGATTTTGATGCAGCTTTCTCTGTCATTTCAGCTAATGAGTAGTGTAACAAGTACTGCACATGCAAAATCATTGGCCAAATTTGAAGAAGGAGAGTTGGCAGCTATGAATGAGTTGATGAAGTGGAATGTTAAGGAACCATCTGCAGAACAGTTGTCAGACGTTGGCAGTGACAGCAGGAAGTGCTGGAGCAGTTACAAGCTCATGGGTAAAGCATACACCATGCTCACAAGCATAGCAATGACTCTTGTTGCAGATGGTGACAGCAACGATGTGGAAACAAAGTGAGTAGCTAGCAAAAAACTGGTGCAGAACGGTGGACAGTATGTCAGCAGCACACAAGTTTTAAGCCTTAATCCTGTGCTGGTCCATTTAAATCGCTGTTCTGATGCTCTCAGAGGATGTCTTTCTTCCTTTGGTTTCATAATTCATTTCTCTTTCTGCCATCGGTTATATTGTACTTTTATGTGCTAACTTGGGCATAAGAAGTTGATAACACAGATATTCCTCAGTAATATCTATAGTCCGTTTTATCACCCTTCAATATTTAGGTGGAGTAATGGATTCTGTTTAGTGCGTTGGCAGTTCTTCCTTATTTCAAGTAGAACTAATGATTTTGTGTATCTCAGAATGTATTCTCCTGCTAGGATCAGTTCTGCTGGAATTTGGTCTGTACCTGACAATTTATACCTTCTTAGCTTTTAGTAGCAATTTTAACCCCAAAAAGAATGAGGCTCAGCTCAGTCTTATGTGACATCATCAACCCTATGTACATTAGACAGCTGACAGGCAATTCTTCCACGTATTTATAACAATGTTAGAATCTGCTAGCAGATTGCTATTGTCGTGTTTTATTAAGTTCTAAGTTGGTATTTTTTTTATTTCTCTAATGTTCTTATTCTTAAGTGTTTATTTCAAAACTAGAGACTATTTTAAAATTGTATAAAGTAATGGCTATGTGGGCTGGAATACTGGACTTACACTGTAAGCCAGTGAAATGAATTGAAGCAGCAGAGATTATGTTTATCTGACCTGTATTAGGATGTGGATCTGACAGAATTCGCACTAATGACATAAAAGAGCTATTAGATATGTATTTTCTGTAGTTGAACAATTTTAATTTATTGAACATAACTGGCAGGACCTTGTGGAACAGATGGAGAAAGATAATTTCCAAAAACATTCTGCACATAATCTGAATGGAAAATGATAGAAGATGGAGAGACATGTTCCAAGAGATTGCTGACTAACTCCTGAAGTTGAAGTTGATGGTGATGACCATTGTTTCTTTCAAGCTCATTATCATTATTTTTTTACATATTCCCATTTGTTATTCCTGGAAGTTGTATCAGTTTCATGTCTTATTATCCATATTATCTCCATTTTATTTAGATTCTTGCAAATGTTGCAACTTAGTCTACTTCTTTTTATCTAATAATTTTTTGTTAAATTAATTCATGCTGCTTTAACTCATAATGACCAAAAACTTTTTTGGCTGAAGTTTTGATATTCTCTCTGATACTTTTTGCCTGAGGAGGCTCCATTACCGTAATGGTAAGGGACTGACTTAACGTGATTGATTTTTGGCTAATAAACTAGGCATGTTCACTGTAGACCACTAAGAAAATATTAAAATTCCTTTCTTTGTCTATTTTTTTCAGTAATATTGTGTGGGGTGAGAAGATTCAAAAGTGTTCATATATTGCACAATGTCATCTGCAGGAAGGTCTGAGGAATGCACCATCAGAATTCCTGCATGAAGCGGCTGTACTGCAGTATGCTGCATCAGGCCTGCAGAGCATGCTGGCAGGAAAGCCAGATTGCAACGTGTTCAGTGTGGTGAGTGACCTTGCTGTATGTAATACCTTCATTCAGCATTTGTGCCTAAGGGGATGTACATGTTGGAGCAACGGTAAATGATATGAGTGATGATACTAGCAAAACTACTGGTTCAGCAAAGAAAGAAAATTTGTCAGATGTTCATATGATGAAGCAGCAAACATTGAAGCTTTGAAAAATATACTAGTTTGTTTTGAAAAGTTTATTAGAGTAATCATCTGTTTTGGGGCACAATGGGCTATTAAGAAGTGTGCTTTGATAACATGTTCGAAGTTGTATATCATCCAGGATGCAGAAAGATGCAAGTATTGTGCATATATAAACTGTGGTGAATTTTGTCACATGTGTAAGAACCTTGAAATACATTCCGATGAATTTTTTGAGTACATGAAAATGACTATCAATTTTCAATATATATGTGGCATGACAAACAAAAGACTTTCAGAAAGTGGGGCAAGTGTCATGCAACAGCCATACTGACACAGACATGCCATGTGGTAACAGTCATATAAGTTTTGGTACAGGTATGTATGTAGGTAGAGAGATAGTAGGTAATATCATTTAAATATTTATATTTAAATGGTTGAAACTGAAGCATAAAAGTAGATAATCTACATTAACATAAAAGATTTTGAAACAGGTGCATGTATATGTTTAAGAAATAATTTTCAGCAATTCTGAACTCACAGGTGAGTATAATCTCAAAAGCTTGGCTGCAGGTTTTTCATATTTTGAAGAAATTGCATATGAAAGACTTTTATCAGATGGGCAAAATTCCTGGAGATTCAAGAGTCTTCATTTCAAAAATATGTCAGTATGTTGACATGAAGTTGGAAGTAGAGCTAGTTCCTAAAATGTTGTGTGTTTTTATTAAGTATAGACCACACCTGCCTCCTTAAGTCCTTGCATTCTTATAATTTGTTTTTCCACAATCTGTGCTCTTTCATAACTTGTGGTTGAAACAAAATTCTTAAATAAGTTTAGAATTATTTTCTCTGTGAATGATCTTTCAATATACAAACCCTTCTTACAGATCAATGGGCGTGCTGTTGATACCCTTAGTTCATCTCTCCTGACCCAAGTTCTCTGGTGGGTGAAGTATTTTGACAAGGCTGGCAGCAAAAATATGGGAGGTGACCTGCAGTGTTGTTCCTCCTGGGTAAACCAGTTAGTGCTAGAGGTATCTAGAGTGTCCCGTAAAGAAGGAAATCTCATGCTGGCACAGAAGTTACTCATTGATTATCTGAAATTGGAAGATGGGTTCTTGTGTGTTGGCACAAATAATAAACTTTTATTGGAGGACATTGCACAGTGTCTTGTTGATACATCTGTCAAAGGGAAGGAGTCAGCTCTGCCTCTTTCCATGATTTGGGGTGTCCAGACTGCTAAGGCACTTACTGAGGTTGCAAAGGTACTTTATAGGTAAGTGATATATTGCTTTCTTTATAGAAGTTCTGTCATTCTCCCATGCTGACAAGGCATTTAATAATTGAGTTAACCGTGTTGGAAACACTTTCAACATAAATATGACAGACTTTCTTCTTCAAACTCATAATTGATTGTCCCGTAGGCTATTAGACAAAATGTGTGAGCATTGCTTTTGTCTATTTTGTGTGTCTACTGCAATCTGATGTGTTGAGACAAGGTTTGTCATTACATTGCGCATTATTGGTGTTGTCCATTGTATTTTTGCATTGAGTTTTACGGCTGCAGTTGTAGTTACAGTAGAACCCTGTATGTATACTTTTCTGGGGATTTGAAGAAAAACTGTAAATTACAAGAAATGTAGAAATAATGAGTTTTGTTCTTAGCTTCTCATAATTGGGGAATTAAATACTGTTTCTTGATGGAAGTTAGAATCACTTGTCATACATGAAAGTTTTTGCAGTGTAAGCAATGTATTACTACTTCAAAAAAGGATCTGATATTTATCATGTTGATTTGCATTTTCTTCAGTGACATGGTGGTTTCTTACTGTTGTACGCAGGATTGATTCTGATAATTCAAGTTTTCAACAAGGAAATATGAGTTCCCATGTGTTTTCCATCGTTCTATGGCATGCTGAGTTTGCCCATAAGGATATGGTTTGTGTTATCATGTTTTAGAAAATGTGAAAATTAAAGTAAAACAACTGTAGCACAAGACACAGACTTAGCCTACAGTTTAAATAAAAACACTGTCTGGTTTGAAACAACACACTGAAAAGCTAAAATGGTGTTTACAATATGGCAGCTATGAAATTCTTCATGGGAAAGCTGTTTGAATGAGTTACTGCACAGGTCCATATAATGTATAGGGGTATATGTGTACGAGAAATTTGTTTTTGCTGAGTAGTTGGGCCTGAAGGCTGGGAGATACTGTTGGTGGTTATTTTAACCACAGCAGAAGAGGAATGGGAATCATTGTTTCAAACAAATGCAGGAATACATTATGCTAACTGCATTCTAATTTTATGTACACAGTTTGTAGTGTTTTTTGTATTGTGTTATGCTTCCTGTGTGTATGTCCACAGCCTGGAGAAACATGAGAGTGCAGTGCAGGTGTGTGCAGTTGGTGCACTGAACCTTGCCCAGCAAGTGGCAAACAGAGACCCACAGCTTCGTGAAAGGGGATCCAGGTTGCTGCTTATTCTTGCTAAATGGCTGCAGCAGGAGAATCATCTTGTTTCTTCAGAGACAGACAGTGACAGAAGTGCCATGGGACGACTGTTGGCATGGGAAAAGGCTCACAACACTGTTAATGATCTGTCTATATTTGGCATTGTTGAAGTTCAAAGTAAATATTACCTGTGATAATGAATATTTATTAAGTATATTATTCAAGGTCCACTTTAAAAATTGTTGGATGAATTTTATTTTGGTCTATATCAATCTAGTATGACTTGTTTTGCATGAAGCTCAAACCAAACTTTGCTAGATTTCTCAAGAATGATTGACCATAAAAAAACATTTTGTGTTATATTAAATATCGCCATCATTGAATTTTGTAACGTTTATTTGAAACAACTTTCAAAATCATGTAGTGTGTTTTTATTGAAAAAACATTTATCAACAGTATTGTATCCATAATAAATTAATATAAGACTTTTAATGTAATGGTAGTAACATTGGATTATTGCTTGGTTGAAAGTCCACTGTCTTATTTTTATGGTACATACATCATTATTTCACTTTCCTTCTCAACAGACTGATTAAACTGAAGAGGAACATTTTTCTGGGTATTCCATGATCCTATTTGACTGGCACTTTGATGCTTTGTTTCTTATTACATGTAATTTATACATATGCTAATATGTGGCAGTACTTTTCAGAGTTTTATGTTTGAAAGTACTACTTATTGTGTGCATAGAGTTCTCTTTTGTTATTACTCTGTTTTTGTAAACATCCTTGGCACATCTACCGTGCATGTGTTTTTGTTGGGATATTTCATGGTGTAGGTTTAGTTCCAAAGGCTGTATAGATGAAGTGTGATCATTATGAACATGAATGTAAAATAGTGATTTAGAAGGAGTTGGATGTGGTATATTTGAGAGTACTATCTTGTATGCACCTGGAGATTCTTAGGATAGCCACAAAATACCCTATTCAGAATAGATGATATCACTACAGAGATGTGGACAGAATTTGTCTTTGAATACAAGTCTAGAACATTTTTAGTACTCTGCCTAGCTCAGTGCATAAACCATTAATCAGGCTTCACAGGAAGTTGGTTGATTGGGTATTTGTGTTGGGAGTAGTCTATTCATTAGGCATGGAAAAGCTGTATGAAGAAAGTTTTAATGTTTTAAATGGGGAGGATTTGGTTTATAAAGGCATAGAGGCATTGGTTTTGTTGGAATGCATAAGTGAACATTTCTAAATTATTAATGTGGGAATGGTTGGACATAAAAGTTATAAAGTAATGGGAAAATGAAGGAAATTACTTTGGAGTTGTGTAATGTGCACAGGTCACCTATATTGTTAGGGTGATTAAATAGAGAAGGTTCAAATGGACAGGCCATGTAGAATGCATGGAGGAGACATACATTCAGTTTGATTAGAAAGTCTGTACACAAGAGACTGTTTATATGATTAGTTTGCAGTGGCAAAGTGGATTCTTTTGTTTAACTCAGCATTATTAAAGCTTATTATTTTTAGTAGTGTTTACTTATGCAGAATTGTCTTCTAGAAAAGTTTGTGATATATTTGTGGCATTGAACCTATGGATTCTGTTGCCAGTGGTTTGCTGGTATGAACTTCATGAAAAATTTCTATTGTGCCCCTGTTATTACATGCAATAATACTTTTTTAAAATACATTCTAACATATTTGTTATTCAAATGCTTTGTAGGCTGCAATACAGTCTGTCACAATGGTGTGTCTGTGATTCCTCCTACGGATGCTGTAATTGGTCAGCTACTACAGTTGGGTGTGGCAAGATGCCCAGAACTTGCTAAAGCCTGGAGTCAGTTTGCATCCTGGTGCTATCGATGGGGTCGACGTGTGGTGGATGCAGCTAGTGAAGCTGGAGGACAATTGTCTGAGGTGGATAGGGTTGCAGTGCAGCATCTCATGCCTCCTGGAATGACTGCAGATGATTTAGATAAAGTGTACTTTGTTCTGAGTCAGACTCGGGCTGTTGCTGATGAGGAAGATATTGAGGTGAGGCTTGTTACATGTAGCAGGTATAAAGAGGCTCTGCACACATCTCTACACATTTGAATATTTTTATGATCATGCAGCTATTTATGTTGCAGTATGGTATTTCTCATACTTTATGGTACAACTGTTTGTCAGTTGGGTTTCAGATTCTGTTTCTGCTTGTTGTGTGACACATATTTGCTAAGTTAGCAGTATATTTTGTCATCTTTAGGCTGCATTTTATAGTAGTGGCTTGAATATAAACTTCAAAGTTTCCCCAGTGTAGACAATCCATACTACTTGTAGATTGAAGTCTTTGTCACTGGTGCTGATTTCTTCCCACACATATATCATAATGAAGAGCTAGAAATGTATTTATTTGTGTTACATAATTAATTTTAATTTCAGATTCTATAAACAGCAAAACCCATATTATATTTTATAGTGATTGTCTTTTCTGGTCCTTACAAGTTTTAGATTCTGCCACAGTTTAATTAATCTGTAAGAACTGTGAAGAGACTGAGAGTGAAATGGTAGTGAATATGGAGAAATGTGGTTTATTATTAAATTGACTTTGTAGTTGTATGTAAAGAAAGTGGAAATTTATGTAGTAGGCTCTCTTTGAGCCTCATTATTATGTGCAACATTGTTTCACAGACAGAAGATATCAACACATCTGAAATGATTGAAAATCAGCTGCAGAATATCCATGCACTGAATGGATCAAGTAGTGAGCAGTTATCACGTCTGATGGGGATATGGCGTGATGCCCAAAAACGTATTTACAGCTACCTTGAACTCTCTGCTGTGGCCTATTTCAAGTATCTGGAGTTGTGTGGGGATAAGGAGGTAAGTCTGCAGCTGGTCTGACCACCTTCATCATCTTCATTATGATAACAGTGTTAAAATTGACTGTTTTATGTTCAGACTAAATTAAATTGAAACAGATGATTACTAACAATGCAATTTGTGTTTTATGTTGTATTTTAATGTCCCATAGAGTGTCATTGGTGGGATGGAAAATAACTGCACAACCATCACTGCCACTCTGCGTCTCCTGCGACTGATAGTGAAACATGCTCTGGAACTGCAGACTGTACTGGAGTCTGGACTTGCCACTACACCAACACGGCCCTGGAAGGGCATCATCCCACAGCTGTTCTCTCGACTCAGCCACCCAGAACCATATGTGAGGCGACGTGTATCAGAGTTACTGTGTCGTGTTGCTGAAGATGCACCACATCTTATCACATTCCCAGCAGTGGTGGGAGCTGCTGCTGGAGGGGCACGACTGCGGGACATGACGATGGGTACATCTACTTCACGTGAGTTGTATGAGGATTAGATAAATTTGTGAGGAAGAATATATAGAAGTTTTGACATAGTTTCCTTAACCATTTCCCAACTAGAGATCTTGAGCTGATCTTCATGATGCTTTGAGGTTTGTTTTTTGCTGCATGTATTATATGTACAGGATGGTTCAAAAGTCGCAATCAAGCATGCAAATGTAGGATTTGAGGTTCTAACAGCAGTGAATATGAAGATGGCTGTCTACTGGGTTGTAGCACCATGTAGTCTGCATTTTCCAGTGTTTAAGAGGTTGTTGCTGCCCCCGTCATCAGGGTGACACAGAAGACTGCCATCTTCAAGCATGAAAGTGTCTGGTAATCTAGGACATGCTGGAACTTGTCTTACTTCCAACAGTTGGTACCCGCTGTATGCCACAATGACTCACAGTTGCAGCAGTAGTGTGGCATATTCCATCCAATATCAGTAGTGCTTTGTCTATATCAGGAGCAGTGTACAATCTTTCTAGGTATATGAGGTCCATTTAGCAATTACAAACATAGTGATGATGTGAATCTTTGAGGTTATATTTGGCAATTTTAATGTAGACAACCTGCAATTAAGTAATAAGTAGGGCCCCCTCCAAAAAACTCCACCAATAACAATAACAATAATCTGACATATTTACAGTTTGCAAGTGATAAAAAGTTTCTTACTCCCATAGGATTTGATCCTATGTTTTTTGGATGAACACAATGTGCTAATCCATAAGCTAAATTGCAGTTAATTGTTGGATTACATACTTAACAGTACCTAGATACAACATTGATAAAACAAGAGAATAGGTGTTTTTGTGAGTTCTGCCCGGAATGTGTTTTAACACTCACCCCCTTCAAACTGTTTGGGATATGTCTTTGTATAATTGGTTCTCAGTGTGTTTGAACAAATCAATACAAAAACAAAATAGAAATTACTTAAGCTATTCACAGTCTATTTTCTGCTTAGGATTGTTTAGCGCTTGCCTGTCCCAGCCTTCAGCTGAGGATGGCTTGGGAGATGGAGAAGATGAAGAAGATGAAGATGAAGAGGATGAAGAAGAGTGTGCTAGTGAAGAGGAAAATCAAGTATCTGTTTTGAAGAACTGCTTCCTGGCTATGGTGGACACACTGTCAAAACAGGTACTAGAACAGTTATGATGAAAATCTGAGACCAGGTTATCCATATAAAATCAATTTCTGTGTGTTACTGGCATTGTTGTTCTGTCCCTTGTGTTTATTGTGATCGTTTGTGTATGTGTCATTTGGCACAGCTGTGTTCTTCCTTTGCCTCTGTTGCATCTGTTTAGGGAATTTTTTAACCAGTCGAGTAAGCATCAGGTGCTCAAGAAAGATTCTGTATCATGAGTTTGGTTGGTTAATTAGTTATACATTTAATCAAATAGCTTAATCTCTGATGAATCACTGTAGCACACAGCCTGGGTACAGGAAAAAATACACAGTTCTGTGTCTTCAGCATATTCAAATTATCAATGCAGATTGTCATGACAAAATCTTCTTCAGTCTTTTCTCCATAATCTCTCTTCTTGTATTAGTATTCTTGCTTGTATATATCTTCTCTCGCTTGGACTCTCCATTATTTTGGCCTCCCCAGACGTAATTTATTCAACACTTACAATTTTGAAAGAAATATTTCTGTAAGAAATCCTTTTGTCACCCATGTGTAACACATTGTCAGACCATTTGCTTCTTTAAATTGAATGAACTTTTCTTGTAGTGTTTCCGTCATCATACCTTTCCAAATGCCTGGATTTCAAATTATTTCCCATTGTGTCTGTTTCTTAATGCTCTTTTGAAACTTATGCTTTCCATATACTTCCATCTCTATGCTATATAATTCCCAGTTCTTGTAAGAAATCTGAATGTATATGTTTACAGGCCCCAGAAGCCATCTCACAGGTTCAACTACTGGTACAGGAGTTGCGCCGCATTACATTGCTGTGGGATGAACTGTGGCTAGGAACACTGGTGCAACATCATGCAGAGATCTCCAGGCGTATGCAGCAGCTGGAACTGGAAGTTCTACGAGTGGAGGACAACACGTCTCTGTCTTCAGCAGACAAGGACAGGCTGATTGCTGAAAAACATCGCATTATTCTCAAACCTGTTAGTAATTCCTCATTCTTTCCTTTATCTCTTTATTCTTTTATTATTATGTTATGTCTGATTATTTCCCTTCAGAAGAAAACAGAAAGTTTATCCTGAAAATGAACTTCACACTGAGTACCATCAATAAATCGAGTATTTGCAAAATATGGTGATGCAGTAGATTCACTTAGGCCTTCATTGTATTACGTGAAAGATTACCTGCAGATGATGATTTTGATTTGTGTGCATATACCTGTGGTGATAATTTTAATTTGTGTTAGTGACATTTGTAATAGTGAGAATGTTTTAGGTGTTGCACAAAGACTGTTCACAAATTGCGTTCTGTGAGGAAAGACAGGCTGGTGTTGTTAATAGTGATAAGAAACTGGTGTTTTATAAATAGTGTAAGTGTAAAAAGTACTAAATTTTCCCCAGGTGTTTCTCTGCTCTTCAGTCTTTAAATCAGTTAAATACATGGATTAGTTCAGAAGTTTTCTCTTCTCTCTATTTAAATTTTTGTTTTTTGTGAAAAGTAGTGTTTTTTATAATGTTCCAGGTATGGTAGGTAGGTAGGTAGGTATGCAACCAGATAGCCAGTCATCAAAGTGTAAACTTTCAGTCCCCCCCTTTTTTTGTTATTAACAGTCATTAGTCAGACATGGAATTCCTCATTATGCAGTGTTTCAGAAATATAGATATTGACACATAGTTACTGTTTAGTCATTTTACCCTGAAGATCGTAAGAAGAGATGGAAGTCAGATGGAGCCAAGTCTGGGCTATATGTTGGATGATCCATAACAGTGAAACCAAGACAGTTTATATAAAGTCATTATGCACTTGTATCAGGTTTCATATTGTCCATTTTGGAGAAAAACTTGCTGCAAGTCAGGATGAACTTTTTGAATACCTACCTTAAATGTTTTCATTGTTCCATTGTAGCACTCAGTTAATGGCGGCACATTGTTTGTTCCACACTGACATCCTCTTCCACTGCCATTTTCATGGCTGTAATTTAGAAACCTCTGGTGGCAGAACTACTTTATATGAAAGTGCAGGAAAGTCTAATTGAATGAGTACAGTTTAGTTTTCAGTGCTACATGGATTTGTTCCTTAGAAAAGAAAATGGCATTATTTTTCAGCAACCCGAGTAGAAACAACATTAGCTATAGAACATTGTGAAAACCTGAAGACTTCACTACAAAAGTGTTGTTTCTTTCCAGTTGGTGTTCATTCTAGAACAGTTACATGCTATAACATCAGTAGCTCCAGAGACACCGCATGAGAAATGGTTCCAGGAAAAGTTTGGTAAGTCTCTTGGTATTGTTTCATCTGCTGATACCTAGCAAGAAATGTCCCTTTCGTGCATGGTTTCCCTTACCAGTAAAGAGTTACTCACCTGATTAAGAAATTCTCTAAAGGCTTTTGATGAAGTTGTGTCATTAAACTGCTGTAGAATGAATTCTTCTCGGGCTTCCAGTCATGTAAGGTGATTCAATGGAGAAAACGCCATTGTTTCAGGGTACCCTGGCTGGTAGCCCAAGAAGAATTTATTATATTTAGTCACCATGAAAGCTTCAGATCATACAAACTGATGCAGACTTTCCTCCAACTGTTATTTAAAGAAGCACGAAGGAAAATGTCCAAGTAATGTTCTGTTGTTGTGGAAGCTGAAGCATCATTACTAGTTCCTGCCATTAGATGCCATCATCAGCCAGCTCATTCCATCTAACATGTTCAGAAGGAATTTGTCTAAGAACCATTTGAATATTATTATCTTATTTAATATGTTTCATTCTCCAAAGTGGTCTCTTCCCTTGAGATGTTGTAACAAATGTTAATGCAATCCACCCTGCCATTGTTGCATGTCCTGAATTAGATTTATCCAGTCTATGACTGCTGTGTGTCTAATGTCAGTTTGTTTCTCTTCCTTTGCTTCTTAATACTCAATAGAAACTCATTTTACTGCTTGTAATCTGCTTACATGTTTATTGGTTCATACCAAGATTATATTCAGTATGTTTCTTGGGTGTTTTATATTGTCTTGTAATAGATTATATGTAAACATTAGTCACTGTTCTAAAGTTCCATTCCATGAAATTATATGGAGAAGTGAATGTAAAGTTCCATGCATTCTTAACCTTGGCTTTAAGTGGAAGTGGGAAATTAGTGGTCAACTTTTTTGCTCTGGTTGCTTTAATACTAGGGATATAACTCCCTGTGCCCCTTGGATAGGTAGCTAGGTGGGCCCCAAAACCAGCCTGTATGAGGTGAAAAATCACTTTTGCCTGGAAGTAAACCTTGATCATCCAGTTCATAGCCACTTATACTGATTGACTTGTCCTGGCTCATAAATAAATTCTATATAACGTAAATGTTTGTATGTTGTGATGTTTTGCGGAACTGCTGTATGCTGGTCATATATTTTAATGTACAATATATTAATTTTTTGACTTCATATAGCTGTTTTAATAGTATTGTCTGTAAGAATATTTCATTGTAAGTAAACACTGCTGACATTTTGGAGAGACATTGTTTCTGAAGTGATGGTATAGTAATATCACACTATTTGCATAGCAGTATAACCAAATAGTTACAAACTGTAGTTGGTGCTGAATACAGCAATGTTTATGTAATGTAACTGGTCACAATGGGGAATTTGTAATTGTGACATGTAGTTTCCATTCTACCATTTTGAAAGTGCTATGCCCCAATACTAAAGTGAATATGGATCACTATAAAAGCCTCGACACTTACAAACATATGCCATGTCTAGAACCCACACTTTAATTTGTGGTTGGTACTGAGAGTGAGAATGTTTGTATGTGTGCGCAGGAGAGTATATTACTGATGCACTGCACAAGTTGAAGACCTCGTGGAATCCTCGTCGTCCACAGGAATCATGGCAGCCTCTGAAACAGTTGCAGTCACGGCTGCAACAACGAGCACAGAAGCGTGCTGCATACACAATTCGCATGGTGGATATAAGCCCAGCACTAGCTGGTTTAAAGGATTCTTTTATTGCCATGCCTGGTGTTGCTTCAAGGTCAGGCACCATCATCACAGTGTCTGCTGTGGATAATAACATTGCCATATTGCCAACCAAAACTAAACCCAAGAAACTGGTGTTCCATGGCTCAGATGGACAGCTGTAAGTTAAAGACAGTGTTTCCAAGTAATACATTGTCTCTGGAGAAGTATGTCAGATATTTTGTCACATCCCTTGAACAGGAAGTTTTGGTGCAAGTTTTCATTTGTTAAATATCCATGAGCATGATCAAAATAGAAATTCTAATATTGAGACAATTATACCTGTTTTGACCCCATGTAATTTTCATGTTCCAAACAAAGGATCCCATTAAAACAATCCTTATTTTGAATCACTTGTAAATGTTCAGATTAATGTGATGGCAGTGTTTTTGTGCATCACATAGAGGGGTTTATTAAACACATTCATTGTGTACACTTAAAATTATGGTAAGAATAAAACCTAATGTGAACCTCATAATCACACAGTTTTCATAATTTGCATAGTATGACAAGAAGTCATCTGTTATTACAGTGAATGATACAATATTTATAGCAGTAAGCTTCGTTGATTATGCATTGCCAGGTCCCATGAAATCTATGTCAGGTAGACGTGACGAAGACTCCATAGAATTGATCTTGGAGATAAAGGTTCTGGGAATGTGACACTGTTTGAACTGATCAAAGTCAATTGTAGTTTTCTACTATTAGTGCTGAAACTGTAATGCCTATTACAAGGAAGTATTTTCTTGCTAGCTATTTAAAGTCATTGCTATATTTGCTTATATTTTTCTTCTGCTATTTATGTTGGTTTGCTTACCTGTATTATAGCTGTTTATATTTACAATTTTATGTGACAGGTACACGTACTTATTCAAAGGGTTGGAGGACCTTCATCTGGATGAACGCATCATGCAGTTCCTTAGCATTGCTAATACAATGATGCAACGCAGCAATTCACCTTCAGAGTCGATGTACAGAGCTCGTCATTATTCAGTGATACCTCTTGGACCTCGCAGTGGACTCATTAGTTGGGTAGATGGTGTTACACCTTTGTTTGGACTTTACAAGAGATGGCAACAGCGAGAAACAGTGACTGTGTCCCTCCGTGGCGGCCAGTCTTCAACAAGTCTCCAAGGAGGCAATGGTGAGTGACTAGAAAGTGGTGTTAAAAATGGCAGTTGTAAGTTGACTTTAAACATGTTAATAATTGGTCAGTTATTATGTTCAATAAAAACAGTTTAGTATGTAATGTTTGTGTTTTAGGCCCAGGGCAGGTTATGCGTCCATCAGAGTTGTTTTACAGTAAACTGACACCCCTTCTGAAGGAAAGAGGTATTTCTAACCTTGACAATCGCAAAGAATGGCCACTGCCAATTCTTCGTCAAGTACTAACTGAGCTTATGGATGAAACTCCAAAGGATCTGTTGGCAAAGTGAGTGCTTTTGGATTATCATTGCCCTGCAGAATAAATGTAGTAGCTTTCTTCCATTGTTATTCTTGTTTTGTTACCTGGTCAGTCCAGTATATTACAAAAGATTGCAAACAGTTTAATTTTTCTGTGTTGTCATTGTGATGAAATGTATGTGGTGCTATTGAGTGGCTTGCAGTGAAAGTCATCTGTCTTCCAGGGAGCTCTGGTGTCACAGTGTGAATGCTGGTAGTTGGTGGCAGACAACTCGGACATACTCCTATTCGGTTGCTGTCATGTCTATAATTGGCTACATCATAGGGCTTGGAGATCGACATCTGGACAACGTCTTGGTTGATTTGTTAACTGGAGAGGTATGCTTTCTGATATAATCCTGATTGAAACTGGGAATAATTTACTTTAGCTGTTACATGTGGTCATTAAATTGGGTGTTCATGAGCTGCATGATACTGTCATAGTATGTATAATGAAAAATGTTTTGGCATAGTGGTTATTATTGTTCATACTTTAAGTGACTGGTGTTTGAATCTTGCTGAGATATTGACCATTCTGAAGTTCTGTCCCTGGAGGTAAATGGCTTTAAAAAGGTCACATCTGAGATCTTACACATTCTTACTAGTTTTTTTCCCCATTTTGTTTCTAATTTGTGTACCATATGTACCATAAATACCAAGCAGTGTGTGAGAATGGATCTGTGAGAAATAGATTTTGAAACTGTGAACTGGCTCTGGACAGAGTACATTGGTGGTCTTTTGTTAAAATTGTGTTTGTAGCAGCAACTTTCTTAAGCGACTGAATAGCTCAACAGCTCAAAGAGGATCCTGTACTACAGTGAAACCTCTATCCATCGTTCCCGGAACTATCGTTTTCCCGGATGCATCGTCCGTTTTGTTCGGTCCCGAATACATCCCATATAAAATAATGTTACATTTTCCCGCTTCTATCGTTCCTCGAACTATCGTTTTATCGCATCGATCGTTCAAAAATCTTAGTCCCGGCCAACAATTTTCCCGCAATGATCGTTTCTGAGAATTTAAAATGCTGGGTGTTGAGATAAATTAATACCGAAAGACGCACAATGTTTTTGGAATACACAGTAGCGATAACCTGTTATGTCGCCCAACCAGCACATTCTTTTGGAATGAGGGTCAGCGGTGCAGGGGTGATAGTTGGAGTGAATGGCGGTGCTCATTGTCAGAAATTTTACGATTTTAATTAGGGTGCACTCATATTTCGTTCCAGCGATGCCAGATGGCATGTGCAGTGTGAATTTCTTCACAAATGCTTTTATTACAAGGACAAAGGAAAGGCGAAAGTGCTGCTGTGGATGTGGAAATAACGGAGCTGTGGCTCGAGAGACTGCCAACACTGCTGGAGGGATATGAGCCGCGGGACATTTATAATGCGGATGAGACCGGACTTTTCTACAACGCCCTCCCGGATAGGACTCTGGCATTGAAAGGTGAATCTTGCCACGGGGGAATACGTGCAAAACACCGAATTACTGTTCTTCTGTAAGTTTCGACAAACCAGTTGTCCATTAAAGACTTTTTTGGTAAAAAGAAGTAACTTTGAAAGAGAAACATTGTTTTTTTTTTAAATTTTTAATGCTTTCCCGCATCTATCGTTTTCCCGCATTCATCGTTTTTATTTCCCACCCCCGCCGAAAACGATGCATCGAGGTTTCACTGTATAGAGATATGTGTTCTACAAAGCAGTAATTGGATAATGATTTATGAGAAATTGTCCATTTTAAAAGCGTTGCTGCACCAACATGCTCAGTTTGTTTTGTTGTATTGTGGATCATTTTCAGGTGGTACACATTGACTACAATGTGTGTTTTGAGAAGGGGAAGACTTTAAGGGTGCCAGAGAAGGTTCCTTTTCGCATGACACCGAACATTCGCACTGCCCTTGGTGTTACTGGTGTGGAGGTAAGTGTTGCTGTAATTAGTGTTTATTTATCATTTTGCACTTTTCACAGCCAGTCAGTCACCACTAAGGAAATGCTCGTCTAATACTTGTTTGGTCTTCGTATGTGTCTATCATATGTTGAATGGTAACAGTTCTTGTGGTGTGTTGCATATTATATTTAGTTAATGATGCAACAATATGTAGATGAACTTAGCACACGTATGATGCAGGAGACCTCTTTGGAAAATGTTGACCATGTTAAAACCAGTAATTTTTAGTATGTAGTGCAGTGTAAGTTAGGCAACAATAATTTGTGATGATACAAGGGTCACTCCAAAAGTAATGCACCATATTTTTTTAAAAAATCAATTTTTATTTCACAACTTTGCTATTCACACAGTGGCTAGGTACAGCCTTTAGGAACAAAATGCTACTTTTCAATGTAGTCTCCATCTCTCTGAACTGCCTTATGCCACCTCAGAGCAAGCCATGTATGCCCACACGGTAAAACTCAGGATCAGAGCTTTGGGTCACTTTTTCTCAGATGCCACAAGGGAGTCGTTGTCCTCAAACTTTGTCCCACGAATGTTGTCTTTCGGTTTACCGAACAGGCAATAATCTGATGGTACCAGATCAGGACTGTATGGTGGGTGTGGCAACACTGTCCACCTCAATTTTGTGATTGCCTCTGTGGTTCTCAGACTGACGTGCTTCTGTCAGTTGCTGCAGGACCCACCTCCCACAGACCTTTGAAAACCCCAACTGTTCCTATATTCTGCACACACTGTCTTCTGCTATGTCCAGTCAGAGTGATAATTGTTTCATGGTGATGACAATAGCAAATATTGTTTTTATGTATCACATAGTTAATGAGGGAAAAGAAGAATGAACATATAAGTTTTGGTTGGGAAACCTTAAAGGAAAAGACCACTTGTGCAATATAGGCATAGCTGTAGAATAATATTAAGATATGTCACAGGAATAAGGTGTGAAGTTGTGGAGTGGATTAAACTGGTTTAGAATAATATCTGGTGGTGTTGGTATTACTGAAGGTTGAGATATAGCTTTCAGGGCCATAATGTTCATTCGGTGTCATGGAAGTTTAAGTTGTTAAAAAATCTTTTAGGAACTCACACACATGCATGTTGAGAGACATGGAAGAGATAGAAATGGAAATTCTTTTTTGTAAGTTTGATGTTTACAGAAAAGTCTGTGCTATTGCTTGACTTGGATTTGAATAACTTTCTATCCCCCTCTGTCACTATTTATTTATTTACTTATTTGGTTATCTCAACATTTAGTACATATCTGCATTTTATATTGGGGTGTGATTCGTACAGAGTGAAATGATTTATGGTGAAACAGTCCTGGTGTTAATTTATTGGTTGAAGTGCTTGTAGTTAAAGCTTTTATTCAGTATTAGTAATTTCTATTCTACATAAATACAGCATTAAGATTCAGAAGTTCAAAAACAAAGTACTTCAATATTTTTTATCAGGACATTCAATTATTTACACTTTTTTGATTTTATGCATGTTTTCCATCAGTTACATATGCTGTAATGAAATTTACCTTTGGTTTAAATCAGAAGGAATATTAATGATACCACTGATAGATATTACAGACAAATTGCACTGAATATGTGATGTTCACAAACTAATATCCAATGAATTATCCCAGACATTTTCTTCTTTGTATGTATTTGCAATGAGACATTAATATCATGTTTTATTTTTGTAAAGATTTAAAACACTTTTCCCACATAAATGACGTTCAGTATCTCTCTCATGTGATTTAGTGGTGTTTTCACAAGACAACTTCTGTGTGCAAAAGTGACTTTAGAAATCCAGCCTTGAAACATTAATATAACTTTTTCTGAATTGTTTAGTTGCTAATTTCATTATTTAAAACTTAGTGTGATGATATTAAATGAGCAGTCTGTCATAACACAATTTGCTGACCTAGATTTTTAAGGTCCCAGCAGGTATAGAATAATGAGATGTGATATTTTGTGACATATTTGCATATCAGTTACTTGTTGTCTGCTGTTCACTGCCGTCTGTATATGTGCCAATTGTCTGAAGTGAAATCTTATTTGCTAAGATGAATGATGGGGTGACAGATATTCTGTTGGGTGAACGACAGTGAAGAAGTCTTTTGATAGCTTGACGGAATTCTGAGTTCTTCCAGGCATAGATCATTGGATTCATGCATGAATTGGCCATTGCCATTGAGAATGCTGCTTTGTAGCCAATGCTGATGTCACTGGTACATACCCCAGACAGTATAATGCAGGCTATAATCATATATGGCAACCAGCACACAGAAAAACTGCCCAGTACCAATAACACAACCTGCAAACAAAATACAAAACAGTTGTAGTTAAATTACAAGATATGAAGCTCCATCTAAAGACTGAAGTTGTGATAACATGCTGGCTGTTTGTCAATGACGCACATCTAGGGCAGAAACAGATGAATATGAAATATTTGTTTAATGGTGATTGGCAGGGAAAACCAAATGAACCTGCCCCATTGTCACTTTATTCTCCATAAAAGCTCATTTAGAAACCGTGACATTGAAACTGGGTTTATTTTGTAAGAAGTCTGCATCTTTCTAAGCTACAGCTAGAGTGTTTGAAACTGTTAAAGTCTGGCAGGTGTTTTTGTACTAACAATAATTCATTTTGATATTCTTGTATACTGTGGGCATTGTTAAAAGAAATAGTATCTTTGAGGGAAAGCATAGTGACACATTATGAACACATCTTCTTGTCCACTTGTACCTGACCTGACTGGATTTCCAATCGGAAGGACCTCCTCCATGGAGATAATTTGTCTCTTGTAACCTGCGTGCTTGATTCATTGCTTCTCGCCATATCTTCCAGTATATTACAAACATGGCCACCCATAGTAGGAGAAATAATGGCAGCATAATGTAAACAAAGTAGTTTGGTGCCATGACGTGTTCTATTTCACATTCATCATTTGCTGACCAATTATTCCAATAAATTGGCATTGTGGACAGTGCTACAGCTGTGCACCAGCCTGTAGCTATCATTACTGTGGCCACCCTGTAAAATGAGCAGAACGTTTAGTCTGTTAACATTCAACAAATTTGTCTTTACAGTTTATATTATTTTTGATTGATTTGTGATTTATTTAGAGATGTATTGTCATTGGTTGTACAATGCCAATTGATATAATGATTCTAAATGATTATTTAAAGAGAATGAAATTAATCAGTCATGGTACTGTCCCAGCATTTGGAGACTAAGGGAAGTATTGAAAACCTCATAATAACAAATCTCTGGACTGGGTATCAAACCTGGGACATTCTGAATATGAAGCAGGAGTGCTAACCACAGCACTGTACCATTTGGTGACAGTTTGTATAGAATAATTAAATTTCAAATGTGTTTGGAATAATTTATGCACTTTTGAGACAGAAGACCACAAGAAATACATGAGTTAAGTTTCAGCCACTTATATTTTTTCAGTGCATAAAGAAGCATCAAGATGTCTTATTCTTACAGTATCTTTACCAGTTATATGCGTATCTGCATGGTGTTTCTTACAAGTTACGGTGCAAAAATTTATTGGTTGGAATTACATTTTCTGTGCATTTGCTATGCAGTATTCAATACAATACGTTAAATATAAAATAGTTGTATATTGCTATGTTTTAGGGACTGACGTAATGCTGTCTATTGATGAAGACTTTAAACTAGTATTTTAACATTTTAAACCCTGGTGGTAACTATGCATCATGTGCTTTAACGATCAGTAACTACAAATTGTGTATTTATGGGTTTTGTGTGATGCTCTGTGCAAACAGTTATTTCTCTAAACAATATTAACCAGTTTGTTTTTTATAATGGTGAATTGCTATATTTTCTTAGAGTTAAAACTGAATTCTTAAATATTATGCAGAGTAGCTTTTGTGTTTCAAAAATATAGATGGAAGGTGTCACGGATTGTTGCTGTAATTACCTCTGTGATAAGTGTTATTGGGCTTGTGAAACTTTGGATCCAACTGAAGGCACTGCTTGCTTAATTTATAATGCATTATTAAAAATGACCCTGTTATTTAGCAGTATGTAATCATTGCACCTTGAAGCAAGGAAACAAGACATGTTACATTTCCAATAAACTGGTGTGTAGTGATGCCATTTTACATACCTGTGTGTTATTAATCTGCAGTAGTGTAGTGGGTAGACTATGGAGATATATCTGTCAACGGCTATTATGATTAGATTACACACAGAGGCTGTACATCCTAGAGCAAGTAGTACAAATCGTAGAATACACCTTTCCTTGTCTTGTCCAAGTGCTTCATAGAGGTAGAAAGCAATGTGATATGGCAGAGTGAGTCCAACAACTAAGTCAGATATTGCTAAGCTTAGAACAAAATGGTTTGACATAACATTAGAGAGACGTCTGCTGCATCGAATTGCCATAATAGTGAGTGTGTTGCCGCAAAGAATAATCACCAGAAGGGCACAGTCTAAGATGCTCCACAATGTGTGTGAGTTAAGTGTTTTATCTATGGAACTAATGTTATTGAAATGTTCACAAGGCATTTTGATATATTTATCACCATGAATAATACATTATTTGGCAGCCATTTGTTTGCAGTGTATTTTTCAGGACGTTTTAGGTGTAGTCTGCCACTGTTCACAGCAAAATTATTTTCTTCTGTATTGTAAACATTCAGGTTGAAAGTCACTTGTTCACATAGCACAGATTTTAAATTAAGTTCAATTTGAAGTGAGTCTCAGTAGCTATAGGAACTTTTCTTGATGGCTTTTTATAATTCTCTGTGTTTCATATCCCAGGGCACCTGAAATTATATATTTTACATCACAATTGTATAGATGTTTCTTTATAAGATACAGTCTATGTTCTTTATCATAGAAAGCGTATAAAGTGAATGCATTGCAGGAAAGTTATTTTTGCTTGGTTGCATGTTTTATCTCTGAAATTATTCGACATGTTTGAATAAAGGTAGCTATTGAAGGTCTACGCTGAAAGTGGTTGGGTGAATTTGATTCTTATCTGTATCTACCTAATATAAACCATGCTTTACATGTGTGTCAGATATTATCTTTCCATAAGAGTACAGCACAGAATGAATTTGAAAAGAAACAGTAATTCTAACACTTTTGTGTAATAACAGAATTTGTACCTTTTATAAATTAACATGTGACTGTGTATAGAGATGCAAAAGTTACAGTCCAGAAACTGCACGCTTTAAAGTAGAATGACTCTTCCACTTCTTTTTTCAGCTGCACATCACTGTTTGTATAGAAACAAACATACACACACACACACACACATGTAACCTTTATAAACTTCATGTTTGACACTGTTATCATGTATGTAATATTTAACCAACTGGCTTACTTTGAGGGCTGCAAGATATCTTCCCATTATTGGGGTGACTAATGCTACTTTGATGGCAGTGAATGTGACCAAATGAAAACCAGAATAGCATACTTGTAGGACAGCACATGCAGTTACTTATACAGATCACACTGATTTTGATGGATCTGTATGTAAAGGTATAAAATAGCAAAGAACACGTTTAGAAACTGTGTTCTTTGAAATGGATTGCTCTTCTCTCTAGAAGATGATAGAGTCAGAGGTACTTAAGAAAACAGCCGACAGACTTGTATGTACAACTTTTTTTTTTCCATTTCCACTGGCTGTTGTCCAGATGTGGGGTCCACCAACTAATATTAGATTCAGTTTTATTATGGCTTATCTGAACTTAAGAAAAGATTATTGCTCTTATGGGTACAGCACCACAGTGCAGAGTGTGATAAAGCATGATGCCCAGGTACATACAGTACAGACTACAAGTTAAAAGTGTAGCCAGTATGAAATCAAATTTTGAAATGAGCCTTTAATCCTATTATCAACTGAAGTGGTAGATATAGAAATAGGTAACATACCTGTACAATTTATTGAAGAGGCATTGCCCCTGCTATAAAACATGAACCCCTTGAAATTCCTGTTGTTTCAGTAGTTTCATTTGCAGTCCAGGTTATGTTTTTCTTGGGAATTGTACTTAACATAAACATGTTTAAAAAGGAATTGTTCTTTTCTTCTAAGTATTCCACTTGTGAACTTCACAAAACCAGCATTACCCATTTTTAACAGTGCACACTTTATTTCTGTGATAAAACAGTGATGATTTAAATTGTACTGGAGAAGACAAACTTTCTGAAATAGTATACCAAAAGCTAAAATAAAGAATTATAAAGTAATAAAATTGTCATATTGCAAGGCAATAAATGCTATAAGCATTATAATTTACTCCCAATAGTATTTTCATTTAGTTTTTAAACATACGTGCTGCTAATCTTACCGTGTTTATGCATAGAGTTACTCCTTCAAAAATTGTTTAATTAAATAGGATTCATAATGTTGATTAACAGTTTCTGCAAGCAGTACTGCCCACAATTTGTTGATTTCATCACATGTTCACTAAATGTTATAGCTGTTCAAGCTTAGCTGGCCAGTTTTATAGTAATGATATCTCTGTACTGAAATGTACCAGAGTTTCAGGACACAAAAATATTTCCCCAGACACCTGTTTATTTCCCCTACTAAAAATACTAATTAGTTGTAATGGCAATGATAAAGTGAGTGTTGGTGCTATAATCCTTTGGGTCTCTCACTCTTTGAAGCTGCCTAGTCTTTGTTTGCTTTGTAGGCTTTTCCCCTGTGTGATTGATACAGGTGTATTAATCCATTTGCTTACTCAGCATGCGGTAAGCACTGAAAACACAAAGAGTGAAAGATAATGGAGAATTGTGAAGCAAATCAATATTGGAACAATATTGAAATTAGTGGGAAGTGGAAGGTCATGTAATTTGCCATGTTGACACCATGGTAATGTGACTTGATTGTTGGTGGTATAGATTTGAACTACAAAGAATCTGAAACTAAAAAATAAGAGTTAGTATGTATGAATTTGGTTTTCATTGTTTTGACTAGATTTAATTTGCATATTAGTACGGAGAGCATTACCCATTTAAAGAAAATACTATCTGCAAAAGGATAGGAATGCTTCTGTCAGCATGAGGTTTGTTATGTAAACAAGATAAACTACGAGAAGATGGAAATGTCTCCACATTCTGGAATTCATTTTATTTTTCTTCATTGACTGTGGCATTATTGAATACTTACAACTATTCATCCACTCAAGTTTAATGTACAAAAGCTTTATCAGTTGATATGATCACATAAAGTAGAAAGAAACCGATTAGAAAATTTGTTGTATGAATCAAATACTTATGATTTTGCATATACATGGTACTCATAATGATATCGTATGAAAGTACCTGCATGAAATCAATTCAAAGATTTCCATTGAATTAATTTAAATTATCACAAAACTTCTTTCCAAATATGCTATAATACCTGTGACCCTACTAAGAAACTATTTCCACTTTCATCCAGTAATGTATTGCAGTTATAGTGATAGCTGTTGTGGTTCAAATAGGTTGACATTCCACATCTGTCAGAGCGTGCCAGTGAATATAGTGTAAGAGTAAATGTTTGTAAAATTATTTTTTCAAACAATTTGCTTCTGTGAGGTTTAATAATTTCATTATATTTGTCAAGGGACTTTAATACACTGAAGCTAAACACACAGTGTCATAATTTTAGATTGATTAGTTCTTTGTGATGGGTGGAGTAGGGAATTGGTTGTCTTTCCACCACTCATCTGCTGATATAAAGCACTCTACTCCTGCTTTATTACAAATTGATTTATTAAATGGGCAGAGCAGTTGTTATCATATGATCACAGTCTATAGCATGTTATGTGTATGTGGCTGTACATGTAGGATGAAACTGCTTACACAGTTAGATTATAATAACTGCTTGTGATAAACTGCTCTGCATGGTTTCAGTTTTAGTGCCTCTAATCTTATTATTTATCTCTGACCATTAGATTATCAGCCCTATGAAGATACTAAATGTTGCAGTCTAGACATTAGCATGTCTGAAGTTAAAATCTTGCCCTGGAGACCACTGTCCTGACTAATGCTGTTTGTGATTTTTCTCAATCTTTCCAGGCATATGCTGCTATAGTCCCTCAAAATAGGCCATCATCTCTTAATTCCACACACTTCCCATTTAATTATTCACATTGAGTACTGGTTGGATCTTCTGCTTTATGTATAAGAGGTCTGGTCTTTAAACCTCAGGCCTAAATAGGCTGTCCTGTCAAGGAATTTTCATAGTTTGCCTTCAGTCACATTCTGGGGTTGTACCTCAAAACAAGCCAAGACAGTTTTAATATTCTTCCTAATCCATTATCCATGGTAATTCTGTCATTAAATAGTGTGTGACTTAAACACCTGTTTAAGGATTATTAAAGTAACCTATGAAAAACAAAGCTTGTCATGGATAAACTTAGAGTGTAGAACAGGACTTCAGGACTTTAGTGGAGGACTGTAGTTAAAATATTGGCTGTGATACTGGCTTCTTTGAATAACACTTTTTGTGACTTAGCTTAGTCCTTTTGTGTGTCCTCAGAAAGTGCCTTTAAACATACATGACTGCTTGATCCCACATTCTACCAATTCATTTAATTTCTCATTCAACCCAATGTAACTTTGTAGTCAAGAAACATCAAAGAAAGAATAAAGTGATGTGTTTCTGGAATGCTAATTTTTGTATTAAAAGGAGTTGTGGCTGACTTGAACTTTCATTCTAAAATAGCATCTCTACCACCCAACCAACTAAAAGCAAAACATGTTCTGAAAATATTTATTTCTGGATTGAATACGGGAATCCGTTCATGATGAACACAGTGGAAATACACATATAACCAACACACATCTTTTGACACAAGTATGAATGACAGTGCAGGTCAGTTATGATTTTACTTTAGTCTGTGGCTTGTTTATGTATTTTAAAATTCCTCACTTAAGTTGCAAGACTTTTAACAAAGTAGTTTTTATTAGGGTGCTCTTTTCACTTATGGTGCATCCAGCCTTAAAAATATTGTGTTGCCTCAGCAGACTTTTATTTTTTAATAGTACCACTCACAATCTTGCATTTTATATTCTTGTCTTCTAACAACATTTAGAAATGTCTCAGGCTGGCTGAGGAGAAATGAGAGATTAACTCAGATACCAATTTCAAAGAGTGCAAGTTGTTGTTTGTACAAGAGTAATGCCAAAGGATGTATATAGTGGTATAAAAAATTAAATTATCCATTTTTAAATATTATCTTGCAAAAGTTGGTTGTTCTAACTGAATGCAGTTCTCTGAACTTCTATGAGTATAATTTACTACAATTTATTACCATAAGTATTTTTCACACATTTTGGCATGTTAGCTATCATCAGTATTTCCCCCCCAATCCTTTGAAGTCAAAGCTCATGTAAATAATATTTAAAACTTCTTTTACTACTTCAAAGGAAACACAACCCATCTCCATTTGAAAGATCACTTGGTTAATGCTGCTTAAGGTAATAATAATGCTTTGAGAATCATACAATGTCTAAATACGCTCTGGGCAGAATGCTGTTATTTGTTAAAGCAGATGCTACATACCACTGGATCTTAAAAGGTTAATTGTGTTTTGATGATATCATACTCCTTATTTAAGGAACATTGGTAAACAACATTGGAATCAAGAACAACAACAATCTGACTGGTTAATATTGAAGATTTAGCATTATACAGTGCATTTTACTTTATTCAAGCCCCATTGTCATTTTTAACCGCACATTAGAATAGGATGTCACAAAACTGAATAAATATGTCTCTTGTTGCATTAAGTGGTGGTATTGCTGATGAAGTCTTTTCCTTTGATTATTCTAATAATTACTATATAACTAAATCATTTTAAACTGCACAACATCAAAAAGTCTTGAAGTAATCAATCTCACTACCACACTTTCATTACTACTGTAAAAATTAGCCACATAACATATAGTCTCATGTTAAACACTTGAATATTGAACTTCAGTGATGATATTGCACCTTATTCAAGGTTAACAAGTCATGCTTATAGCTGCAGGCAGTTTTAGCATGATGGCTAATTTGTTCAGCTTCACAATTCTGTGTACATCAATTCATTGTTGGTCCCAGTAGTGAATCAAATCTGCGAAATGTGTGGTCTTGCATGAAACGTGCTGCGAATAGTTTGCTGGCTTCCAGTCAATAAGAACTGTTTCTCTCCTCATTGGCTACATGGCTAGCATCAGAAAGTATTTGTTTGTTACACCTTTGTACATGCTGACACTAGAGGTCTTCATCACAAGTTAACCATACTAATGGTTACTATACATTTGCCATTCTTGACCTTTCAGAGACGTGTGCTTAGCCAGTTTTGTGCCCAGGGTTGGGCCATCATATGTAAATTATCTATGAGACGTTGTGAAGGAGAATTCTGTTTAGGAAAGGGAGATATGAACTGCATTCTAAAGTGTTTAATGTAGTATTATAAATATTTTTGTAGGTTCTGAAGTGTTTCTTTTTTAAACCCCTATTAGAGAGAGAGAGAGTGAGTGAGTGCTTGTGTGCTTACATGCATACACAATCTCCTCTATTTAAAATTCTTACCAAAACATAGCTGCTGGACATTCACATGCTTTATGTAGTATGTGTTGTGTTATGTTGTAAATCAAATTGAAAATTGCAGAAACCAGTTTATTGTCATAACATTGTGAAAGTCTGGGTGAATCAATTAACACTTTAAGTTTATACTACAATCAGCATGGGTAGCATGTATACATTTTATAAATGCTTGATTTATTTGTGTTTTAAAAAGTGTCTACCCTGCTGTCCTGCAAAGAAGCTGGCCCAGTCTTTGGTGGAATAATATGTATCACTTCTAACACATTCAGTTCCACAGTCATAATAAATTTTTAATTTGCATACATTTGAATATCTTTTTATTTGTTGTAGGGTTTAGACTTTATTCTTGCAGTTTATATATGAGTACAGTTTATTGAAACACCGAGGCATTTTATTGGAAATGATACTAGATTAGACCTACTAGCATGCTATGAGAGTCTGCCTGTAGAATCTTTTATCTCCTGTAGTTTGTTAGTTTTTTTATTAAACTTATGAATATTGGCACTTGCCATTTACTGTTGTTAATTGACTTGAACTGAAAATTTTAATTTTATGCAGGATTACCTGAAGTTAGCTGTTTCTCATTTCTTGTTCCTTGCAGGGTATTTTCCGCCAGGCTTGTGAACATGTGCTGAAAGTTATGAAGAAAGGCCGTGAAACATTGCTGACACTGCTGGAAGCATTTGTGTATGACCCATTGGTAGACTGGACTCCTGGCAATGAAGCTGGATATACAGGTATGGATCAGAAATCTTCCCCACACAATTCATTCTTGCATGTGTGCGCATGCGTGTAGAAGGAGAAATGTTTGATTGTTGCATATTTAACTAGGTGCGGTGTATGGAGGTGGTCAAGCAATCACCATGGAGACAAAGCAGAGTCGCAAAGAACTGGAAAGGGAAGTGACACTAGGAATGTTCTGTGTTCGTGTAGCTGAGATAAAGGCTGACTGGTTAGCTAACAGGTATGTGTCTTGAGTCTTCATTTTGTGTAATAAGGTTGCTTTATTTTTAGTACATTTCAAAACTGAATGTTATGGTTTAGTGACACACTCCATCATATTCTGGTGTCTTGGTTAATATCTTTGTCTTACTGACTGAACAGTTCTTTCATTTTCCTCTTTGTCTTCAGGCAGTCACTTCAAAGTAGGCCATGGCCACTTCTTCCCAAATTGTTCCCAACTCATTATTAGTAATTATGCTGTATTTTTTAAAATTCATTTACCTGTTTTTTTGCAGTTAATACTTGTTTTTAACTTTAAACTGCTGTATGAGAAAACTAAATTTATGTTGAGGAGGTATAGGTTTACTGTTATAAGCAGACTTCTGTTATGCATATTATCTTGAAGGGGTGTAGAATAAAGCCACAAGGTTGAAGGTAAAATACTTGATAAACTGCAAGTGGAATGCCTGTGCATCTTGGCTCACATTTCAATCTACAATATTCTGTGCATGGTGTGAAACTCAGGTATGTTAACAGCTGTACTGACCAAGGATTACTGGCAAGGGATTTTAATCAGTCTGTGCAAGTGAATGCCAGAATACAGTGGAACCCCCTTATTAACACTTTTCCTGGCTGTTGATGGAGAATGGTGTAAATTACAGGAAACACAGAAATTAGTAAGCAGTATAAGAACCTTTTTACAATATAAAATTTCCCAAAACTAGACATATACAGTATCATAATGCAAGTCAACATCATTTGTCAAACTCTGGAAGTTTTTGTGCAGAATAGGCAATTTAGTTACTGCTTTAAAAAATAATGTGTTGCCTTGTTCTGCTTGTATGTTTTTGTCTGTGAATTTCCCTTGTTTCCTTCTTGAGTTTGTAAATAATTTCAGATGCCATTTGAGGATACTGATACTAGATATATTGTGTATTATAGTTTTAGTGACTGCCATCATCTCTAAATTCAAATTAAACAACTGCAGTGCATGTAGCAGACTCAGGTGACAGATAAAATAATAATGATGATGATGACAGTGGTAGCAGCATTTAACTTTAAAAAAAAGTCCCACATTGAAAGGTAAGGTCATGCTTACATAAGATGGAGATTAGTTTGTCAGATTAGCAAATAGATGAAAAAAAGTTGGTGCAAATTCCAGGAAATTTAAATGAAAAGACAGATATATCTTATGGGGTAATGGAACTGAAAAAATTATATAGATTGTAAGAAACCATACATTGCATCTCTTTCCATATGCATGTTACCTTTCTACCATACTGTCTCATTCAATACTTTGCTGTTAGAAAAGCATCATAAAACAACTAAACAATCATAGTCAGTGAATCAAGATAAATAAATGAAAAAGCAGACATTTCCTCCCTCTGTGTTGTTATCCTAAATGTAACTACCAATGTTTGTTTTTCCTGTAGGGATGAACTATTGGCTGCTATCTTGGAGCTTGTGTCAAAATTAAACCAGTGGCTGGAAGTTCAGGGACGCATTAAAATAGCCAAGGAATCACTTCAAGACTGCCACCAACAGATGGCATTGGTGAAAGAGGCAGAGGCACATGGTCCCTCTGCACAACACCCACTGTACACACTGGCTACACGCTATGCCAAGCATCGCCGTGCACGTGATGCACAAGAGAAGGCTTGTGTGGCACTCAAGGAGAAGATTGAAGACTGTGAGAAACACCTGAACCTCCATAAGGTCTTAGATACATCAGAGCTTTTATAATATGATTACTCCAAAACATCTTCATACACCAACCTTCAACATTTTATTCCACTGTCTTTATCTCCTGGTCCTATTCTTATGGACTCTAATTCCCAATTTTATCTTAATTTTACAAAAAGAAATTATTTTATAAAGGATGGCTAGTAAGTAAGTTCATGACGCAAACATCTTGAAGTGAGATTTGAAGTTTTCATATCAGTGATGATGATGATGATGATCTTTCAGGTTCTGGTGCCATGTGGACTGGCTGGCATTCTTATATGACACATGGATAATTAGATTTAACATATTTGCCGCTATAGTGATGAATTATGTTGTTTCACATTTGTAACACATTACTTAATGAAAGATAATAGAATTGAAACTGGTATTAATTTATCAGGTGGCTTTGGCATCAGTAAGAGGACCACAGCTAGCGCAGTGGGTGGCAGAACTGAACTTCCCAGTTGACAAGGATAGTCACATGGTGTTTGACTTGGTAAAAGAATTCCTCCAGAATGCTGGTCAGGGGCAAATGATCTTACAGGTGAGTTCTCCCCCCTGTTGTTTGTTGCCTCAAACCTTCTCTGTGTTTTGTTACCTGCTATTACAATTCACCATCCTCTTCCCAGTTTCCTTCTAGAGTTTCAGTAAAGAGTGACTTCATTTATATAACCTGCAGTTCAAGGTGCAAAGTTTGAACAACAAGTAGATATTTGACAGCCCCATTTTAATTACATCTCAGTATGTATGTATGAGAGTTTATATTGTGTGTGTTCTTTGCATGAACTGCATATGATTATGCAGTGGTAAGGTTGTGTGTTTGTATGCGTGTTTAATCACTGAAACATCAGAACAGATTTATGTGAAATATGGTATTGGGGGTCTGCACTAAAAATTGCCAAACATGAGATTTTAACTTGTTTCAGTACAGTATAGTCCCTACTTTGCCTGAAGCTTAAATTGAGGTATATCAGTTTTCTTAAAACACAACTTATCATCCAAAACATAGATGTCATATCAAATGTAAACCATGTTAAGATCATCTTTCATTTCAGAAGTTTCTATCCTTCTTTCTTTGGGTGGCGAAAGTAACGTGCCAGATCACTGTGTGGTCTGCGTTACCACCATTCATCTCTCAAACATTATAGATAAACAATGACTTAATTACAGTGTGAGCAGTCTGAATCAGAATTAGGACAGTTGGCACAGCAGCAGATAATATTGGTACGCAACTGTTTGGATCTGCTGAGTCAGTATGGAACTGTGGCGAGTCTCTACCCAGCCTCATATCTCAACTCACACCGTTCAGTATGCTATCGACGTTGGGCACAGCAGCTGCTGAATGATATGTCAGTAGAGAGGTGAGTTTTAAGGCGACAAGCATCATTATTTATGGACAAAGTGACTGAGCATTGTGGCTTATTGACAAGATGACTTAACTTGGTGGATAATTGACAAAGTGGTCGAGGTTTGTGGACTAGCAGCAAAGTGACTGGGTATTATGGATTATCAGATAATGGACTTTTTTAGCTAATAAAACAAGACAGTTTTGTTGGTAATTGATGAAATATATTCAAAGTTTAAAGGTTTGTTATGATGGGATAACACTGTCTATAATTCTGTTGGATTCTTTCCATTGTCTACTTGTTTTTCCTCTATGTAAACCACAAATTTCAGAGGTTGGCTTTTTCTGTGTGGATGAGAGGACATAACCTTGCTGTGTTTTGGCCCTTAGTTGAACTAGTCACAATCTTGATGAAAAATTTTCAGGCTAGCTCAACTAGGGGGCATAAAATGGAAGGGTTGTATCCTACCACCTGAAGATGGAATTAGAACCATCTTCCAGAACATGGTTGTTTAAATAAAAAATATGTAGTTAGACTGTGTATAAAGTCCAGCATTATAGTTGTACACAATGAGATGTATTATACAGTGTCTGGGCTTTGTAGCTTATTAACAGCATCTCTGAGCTTTAAGGTTTTCTAATGTTATGTGTCCGTGCCAGGATTGATGTGTTTGAATATGCCTTCTTTACAGCTGCCATGAAGTTCTGGCCCAATTCCGTTCTCTCTTCTCTCCTGAGGCAATAAATAAGCCACTGAGTCAGCAGGTTATTGCATTCTCATACCAACTTCAGACCTCGCTGGCTGAGGCTAATGCTCGCCTAAAGAAGAGCTATGAGTGTCTGGCAGCTGAAGGACTGCCTGAAGCATGTGTCCGATTAGAATCGGCTTACAATGAGGCTCATGCAGGGATCAAAGCCTTCCTGAGGGGGGAGAAAGGTGCAGCACTGGCTCTGGAGTGTGTCAACATAACAGTGCTCTGTTCTTTAAACAAGCGTTACCTCATGATGGAAGCCGCTGCACTGAGTGAGTAACAACACTTTTCTAAAGTTATTTATTATGAGATTTGGAGCATTTATGATTGACTGCATGATAATACTTCATTGATAGTTACTTTTATTCTTCATTGCCTTATACTTACGTAAGTAGGTTATAATGTAATGCGTAGCATTATAGATAATCAGTTGTGCAGATATAGTTAGTCATGACCATTTCATAAGAATAAGAAATGATAAGATTGCCAGTTTCTGAGACTGAAATGCTGATGAAGTTTTGGCCTAAGGGAGAAGAAGTAACAAGAGATGGAGAAGATAACAGTGAGGAATTTTACGAGTTGTATTCTTCATCTAATGTTACAGTAATTAGTCACTAAGGATTAAATTGGTAGGACATGGGGAAACAATAAATCCATGCAAAAATTGGACTGGGAAACCTCATTGAGATGGTTTAAGAGGTGTAGGCATTGGTGGTAGAGTTTGTTAACTAACATATGTAGTTAGACAACACATTTTGCAATGACTTTTGTTCAGGTGCTGGAGATTGCCTGGTGGACCTAACGTCTCGGGATGGTGACTGGTTCCTGGATGAAATGTGTCTGGTGAGCTCTCTGGTGACAGAATTGGCAAGTCTTCTACCATCACATCATCAGCTCGATTCAACCACTAGAGCAGATACTAGAGTGGAACTGGCATTACAGTGTCTCAAGTCTGCACATAGCATCTATAAAGGCCTCCAGGTATTTGTTCTGATAAGTTAGTTACTTGTAAGATTAAGGTGTCTTAATATAATGTATAGTAATTGATTTAATTAAGCACCAGGATCAGCCCCACCCCATGAGCAGAAATTGCTTAGTCTGTATCATTCTTGCTAGCCTTACCATGTAGATCGGTGCATTTAAAACATATTTGTTATCATAAGTTCATCTGAAGACTTGTAATAAGCTGTAAAAGGCTGATGTGGCAGTTTTAGTTGTACAGGAATAAACTGGCAGTGACAGGGTTAAATTAATTGGGATTGTTGTTTACACTACTCACTAGTGGCTTATTCCACTTTCAGGAATTGAACTTCAACTTTCACACCATTATTCTCCCTGAAGCACTGAAAACTATCCAGACAGAAGAACCGACAGTGCTGGCCATGGTAAATGAATTGAATGACATCATTGCTGGAGTAGGCTGTCCTCTGGAAGATTTACTGGCCCAATTGGAGATGCATCTACGTTACATAATTATGGAGATGGATGTAAGTTTTCTGTTGAAATAGTTAAGGGAAAGGCATTGGATAATTAACTGAGTTGGCATATTTTTAGCCTACTTCCCTTTTTTATTTGCAGGTTGGTTTTATGGAATCATGATGTTTGTTTGTTCCTGTGTCTCTTTCCTGTAACAACTTTTGAACCAATTGACATTTTCATGAACATTTGTATGAACATTATCCCACTAGAGGCAACCTAACTTTCTTATTTCTTAATTTCCTACCATCATTAATATCAGTATGTTACTAATTCAACTGCTATTGCTCTAGAAGAGAATCTTGACATTTTTTAATAGCTATGTGAAACTTACACAACTTTTGTTAAGGCAGTATTTTTTGTGCAGTTGAAAACAACTTGGTGGCTGCACAAAATCTTGCTTACCTTTCATTTTGTTGGCAGTAACTAATGAGTGTGGAAATTGATTATATACATACAAATTCAGTGTGAAGAATTGTTAACAGGTGTGAAACTTAATATGAAATTGAACTTACGAAGGGATAGTGGTATTAATGCCATTTAATACAATGCCCCAACACTTTATGTTGTGATAGAGTTTACAAGACTGAAGAAATATCTGGAGGAATGGAGGTATATTAGGTATTCCCAGAACTTTTTTTTGATAAATTTGTATTTATCTACCAACAGTCCCCTCACCATAGTGCTCAGCAAATGGTAGCTGAGATTCGAAAAAGGTTTGAAGTACTGCTGTTGAGACCTGCTGAGTTAGTTACGGATGAGACAGGTGACCAAGCTACCAGTGTGAACACCAGCTCTGTGGCTAGTGGTAGTGATGATGTTCTGACCCCAGGTCAAATGCTCCTTATGGGTTTCAATGGCCTTTTCGAAAAACTGCAGTTGGAGGGGAATGCACTGATTGCTGCTCTTGAGACTCTGGATACACCACATTGCTGGAAGAAGGTAGACCAAGTGTGGGAAGCAAAGGCCATGGCGGTGAGTACTAATGCATGTAAACACTTTGAGGTGTGCTGGCATTGTTTACAGTGTAACCAACTTATCAGTATTGGGAAACTTACTGTATTTATCGAAAATACCACATTCACCATTTTTCTGAAATGTTTGCATACAAAACTGAATGCACATCTTGTTAAAGGATTTTATTTGTGTAGTGCAATGTGCAAGATGTAGCTATAGACTAGGCAACATTGTTCGTACAAGTTGTATCAGCCATTAGGCAAAGTAAATAGCCTGACTTCATAATTTTCCCATTTCGTGCAGCAGGAGTGTATTGCAAGAGTCCTGTTATGCATATATAACATTCTAAGCCATGCTGTTTTTCCATTTGCAATAGGTCTTTGATACTGTTAGTGTCAACAGTGATAATCCATGTTACATTGGCACCTGCAGATTTTAGCTCAGCTCATTATTCCTTGGTTTGGAGGTGGTACTAAGCAGAATATCTACAGAACATGTCATACTAAACTCCCCTCTCAGGCCCTTTTCTTTAAGATTCCATGATTAATGGTGCAGACAAAGGCAGCTGTCAGAAATGAGTGATCATTTAGTCTCTAAAACTGAGGTTCTTTCTGAGCAGCAGAACAAATAGTGAATTTCACAGTGGCCAGAAATTTTGAGGTTTATGAAAGTTGCACCCAGGACTGGAGAAAAATAAAGATATTTTTATATAAAGCAGCAGCTAGTGATTGGCTCTTTTTGGGCAAAGTAAAATATTCAGAGGTAGCAGAAAAGTTTTCTTCATATTTAAATGAATGATGGATATGATTTTATGCAAAACCTTTTGCAGGTGTGCAGTGTTCTCAGAACTTGAAAGTCATCAAGTTTTTACCTCAAACATTTGAACAGCTTGGGAATTTTTAATTTCCAATGTACAAAAGATTTTTGATTCAAACTCAATAGGTTTGGCAATAATGAAACACCATTCCAAAATTTACTTGTTTGCAGATTTTATACGTTCATCATGTTCTTGTCTGTGGGCTTTTGCAGCTAAGAGTTCAGTGTATGACTTGGCTTTCAGGGATGAGCCTCATGCTGAAAGCTTAGTTGCATCTCTGTCATGCTGTGTTATGCTTATACTTAAAAATGAAATTGTACTAATCTCCAACATTCTTCTATCAAACAAAGAGCCACTAAAGCATATTCAATAAAGTACTGTCTCTGGTCTGGATGGTAAGCATTTTAAGTCCTGGCAGGGGCAGAAATATTTCTGTTTGCAACCACTGTGTCCAGACCAGCTCTGGGTCTCGTCCAGCCTCCTATCCACTGGGTAATGGAGACTCTCACCTGAGGTAAAGCGACTGAAGCTTGAAGCCGACCACTTACCTCCATCTAGCACTGAAATGTAGAAAGCATGAAGATTTAATTAACACACATGTTGTTTGCCTTTGTCGTGGTTAGTCCTTTTGATTTGAATTCGTGAAAATAAAATATCACCCCATCTCTCAACATTTAAAGCTTACTGTTTATGGGTTTTTAGTACTAGAAATTATATATTGTCATGGAAATATACTAACAAAATAAGATTTATTTAAATGAAAAAATAGCATGGAAAGAATTAAAATCATTGCACAGTAAGTGTTTCTGTGAAGTGGAATACTAAAGCCTTGTGTTCCCAGAGGACTAAGTATTGATGATGCCAGTGCCTAGGGAATACTTCATGCCAACTGACTATGGATATAAATTATACAAAATGTGATGCCATGTGATTGAATAAAGCAGGGGTCGTCAACCTTTTTATACCTACCGCCCACTTTTGTATCTTTGTTGATGGTAAAATTTCCTTACTGCCCACTGGTGCCGCACGTACTGCCCACCACCATGAAAGAGGTACAGCTCGAAGACTGAGTGATGGCCGGTGGTAAGCCCCACCTTCGTTATGCCCACTAAACTCGTACCTTTGGCTACAGAGCTCATTCGTTGCTCCCTCGTCCACGAGCATACTTTCGAGAAGCGTCCGGTGAATTATTATCTATATTCAAAGTTTAGAGATGGAATTCAAAAGTAAATTGCAAAAGCATATTTTAAAAAGTCATACTCGCTAAGTTGTTAGCAATGTATTCGATATAGGAGGAAGAACAAAATTTGTAACAACGGACAAAAACCCCCACCGCCCACCATGAAAGCTTGAATCGCCCGCTAGTGGGCGGTAGGGACCAGGTTGACGACCCCTGGAATAAAGGAATGGCATTTATTAAGATTGATCTAGTATGACAAGAGGAACAAAAACCTTCTTATTATCTGACCTTGTTATCATGTTATTGTCAAGAGATTTCTTTCTGTTATCTGTTGTTGCACATAAATGACTTACTCCGTAGTACATTGTCTTTCTTAAATATCAATTTTATGCTTATATTATCAGTAAGAAATTTTTTTCGTGGTACCCGATGGTTTATTGCCCATTGGCATGAGCCAGTTGAATTAAATTCATACCTTAATACCCTGTTTTTCTAAAATAAATTTAAGTACTGTGTTATTGTTCAATGTATGCCACTCTCACTTAAGTGGTATTTTTTTTCTTGAGGTTTTCCAACTGAAATTGTTTACGCTTTTTTCATTTCTTTTGCACACATTACATTTCTCCATTATCCTGTTAGCCTGTGTGCTTTTTCTGAGGTCCAGATATTCTCCTCGGTCATTTGCCTTCGACCAGCCTTAGTTTGGGTACTGCTTTACATATATAACAACGTCCGGTGGTGTTTTTTGCGCACTGTGTTTTCATGGCTCATGATTCACAGTGTAGGTTATGAAGGACTCATGCTAGAATTAGATAATGAGGGAATTAAGTGATCTGGACACATGCTGTATTATGTTTGTGTGGTGTGATATACTAATTGAATGTTAGTGATGTCAGCTGTAGTCCACAGCTGGAAGCTGTAGGAGTAAGCAGCCTTTAATGGAGGGACGAGTTGCATTGTGTGTGTGTGTTGAACATTGCACTGCTCCTTCATATTTGGGGGGGGGAGTCCTAGATTCGATTCTCATCCCAGAGGCATGGTACCTTGACAGGTTATATGTTGTCCTCAGTCCCTCCAAGCAAATTCCTGTATAGTACCTTAAAAATAATTTGTTGCTGTTCCCAGGTATCTTTAAGCTCATCTTCTTGTGAATGCAGTGCAGTTGAGGATGCATAGTTAAATAAAGCAAAACCAAATAACTTGCTACTTTCTTTGTTTTGGATTTTATCCATTGTCTGTTTTCAAAAGGTCTTGCTGATCCTAAAACCTTAAAGAGTCGCTATGCTTCAGTGGATGGATTTTCCTTTGTCTGCAGGTAAAAAGGGGAGACGCATATTCTGTTGGATCTGATAGACCAAGCTGTTCCCAATCTGTGGAACAGGACCATGACTTTTTAAAATGGCAGATGGTAGTGCAAAACAAAGAAACTGTCACATAACAAGTTTATGAAATAAGAGATGCTGATCTTGGCTGTTATGCTGTGGGCTCAGGGAGAACTTTAATGTTCAGAATGCAGAAAAATGTTCTAGGATGTCGGTGGTTTGACCTTCGTTGTACGGGGATAGGGGATTGAAGTCCCTGTACTATGGGGCTACTGGCCATGCTTTCTTTAACTGTGGGTTAGTAGTTCAGTTGTGTAATAATGTGATGCATGGTCACCTGGACTGTGCGTAAAATGTGACGCACAATTGATAAAGGTTAGTGGAATTAGTGCCACTTTGGTGATTTGCTGTTTTCTAATGGACCTTTGTATGTGTGCTGAATGCTTCATCTTAATTATGTCTGTAAGTGACAGACAGGCTGCGTATATTTATGCATGCACATTGTGTGTGTGTGTGTGGGGGGGGGGGGGGGGGCAGGGTTATTGACCCACTGAGTGTAATAATGTTTTCAGCTGTATTTGGAATAGTCCAAAAGAGTGAAGGTGTGGATTGGTTTTAACTGGTTCAGGATAGGATCCATCGGTGAGAATTTGTGAATGTGGTAATGAAACTTTGCATTTTATAAAAGCAAATAATTTCTTGAGCAGCGGAATAATAATCACCTGCCAAGTGAAGGCTTGCAGCTATGGAGTAGCCTGTCACTCATGTTGTAGACAAAATAATCGTGGTTTGGTTACCATCAGCAACATCCAGAATGGCTGTTGACTGTTTACATCAGAACAAGGCAGCTGGAGGGTAAAGTTAACCCCTTCCACACGTGTCATTGTGTTTAGGAATGTGTGTTTGTTTACCTTATTGCACTCTTTTGTAAACATATTGAAATTTCAGAACTTTGTTGAAAAATTTTATGGATAGGATGTTAATCGTCCCAGGTTCATATCTCACTGTCAGCATTTCTGTTGTTTGCAAAGTACATTTCCAGTTCTGTGCCTTTTTAAGATTTCCTGACATTGAGCATCGTAGCAGAGATAATGGGACCTTGAACTGTTTGTTTAGTGTAGGTGAGTTACATCACTCCTCTGCGTTTCTTAGTTAGCTATTATCATTAGGGATAATATCTAGTATTTACGTGTTTTTCTATGTAACGTTCTAAGGAAAAAATACAGTTGGAAGAAAGTGATGGCGATAAATTAAAAGAAGATAGGACATAAACATGAAATAAAAGACAGGATGGAAGGAAAAAGGGAAGAATGCAGAGTTAGTAAGGATGGACCAAAGGAATACACAAGAGAAGCAAACGAAGAAGAGGACAAACAAGAGAAGAGATAATAAGCTGTGTTACTAAATAATGTAACGGGCGACGGGGAATGATGCGCTGTGGAGCACGCCAGAGATCGTCCCGTAGAATGACCCAGTAGAAATGTTATCAACAGGAGATAACTGTACCGCGCCGTACATCAGTAATCGTCTTAGTTCCCTCTCCACACTGGTCGGACCGACCGGCCGCGTCTGTTGTGTACGAGTCACAATGAGACCACGAAGACCAGTCGTCGCCACTCCTAAGACGTTGGAGACACTTAGCGTCGGAGCGTATCTTCGTGTCCTGGAGGCCGCGTGTTCCGTATCCGGGTACGTTACCGGAACCCGCCCGGAGCAGCTGCACGACGAATGTATGAGGACCATTCCTTGGTCTCTCAGGCAGAGTCTTCTTGAAGAACTCCTGAAGACAGGCCGCCTCTACAACACCCTGCAGCTTTACGTACTCGAAGTTCTGTTGTCCCCTGACGTGCGTCGGTTAGCTGTCCGCCATGTGAGGCGCTGGTACCGGAATAGATTCCTTGAACTTCTGGCCTCAGGACGTGCTTCAGGACTCACTGTGCTGCTCCTGGAGGACATCACGTGGCTTACCGGGAGTCCTGTGGTGTCAGCTCCGTTGGCTTCAGCCTTGCATGCTTTGACACACTTAAGACAAGTCTCTCTAAGATTTGTGTGTGACGATGGAATTTTGGAAAGTCTTGGAGCTTCGTGTCCGAATCTTGAAGAAGTTGATTCCAGTGGTTCTGTCGGTGTTTCAGACGTGGGGGTTAGGAGATTGTGCATAAAGGGCAGTTGTGCTGTAACACATTCTGAAGACAAGGCGGCGGAAGAGGGTTGCTTTGCGCTTGTAGGACGCGTGTTGCGTAGTGTTTTCCTCGATTACTTTTTGGAGGATGCGCTGGATGAAGAGACGTCTTTGCCGAACTGGTGGAGGTCCAGTGTGATCCGTCGTGCTAGGAAGAACCCTTGTTGTGCCACCTTGAGGCTGGTGAATCTCTCGTCGACTAGGGTGACGCGACGCGGGTTCGAACTCTTGCACTCTTGTGCCACAAGCGTCAGAGTTGTTTCTTGATATCCAGTGCGTTTCGTAACAGACGTAGTGATATCGAATTCTGACAGAAAATGGTGTTTGTGTTTGTGCTTGGACAAACAGCGCGTGCTGATGACACGCTGGTGATTTATTATAAACAGAACTGGTGATGAAATTTTCAATGCCGTCCATTGACGCAAGCATCCCGAATGAAAGACAACTAATGTAGAAAATATTTTTATCGTTATTATCCATTGTTTTCTTTCATATCGTCCAAGAGAATGCTCATCATTTCAATCCACCATTATTCATTGTCATCATCTTCTCGTGTATTGAGATTGTTAGCCTGTTTTACTCCAAATATAATTATCACAATTACGCTTTGAACGTTTAAATGTAAGTGTACAGTTGTCAAAGTTAGTCTTAATGATGTATCTGTCGCTGTCCTTGGTGTGGCCTTTCTTGTAGTACATGTTCTTAAGGAATGTTCCAATGTTTGAAAACGGTGCTCAGAAAAATGTGTAAACGCGATAGATGAAGAAAGAGTGGAATGGAGGATATTACATTTCAAGTAACGTTGTCAGTTACGACAGTGAAATCCCGGGGGGGGGGGGGGGGGGGTACGTGGTTCTGTTAGGGCAAGGAAGAAACGCGTGCAGAAATTGGGAAACGTGTAGGAAGGAGATTACATTAAACGCTGACAAGTTGGAAGATCTTAGGAAAGTACGTTGTGAGTATGAGAGGTGAATACAACTGGCTGTCGATCGTGTTCAGTGCGTTGTTATTAGTGGTTTTTAACCTTCGGCTTCTATTATCGGAGTTAGCTGTTCTAACGTTCCACACTGCCTGAAGGTTTATTTCTCTTATTCATGTGCAAGTATCGAGTATTTGCTGTTATTTTCGTATATCTGCTCATTACTTACAATCAGGTTGTCGGTATCGAACCACTCCCCTCGGGAAATTAAGCCTTGCTACTTCTGTTCAGAAAATATTCATTTTTAAACCAAAATGATCCTTATAATTAATTCCATGTCGCAGGAATTTTGATAATAACTTGAACGATCGAGAAATTCCTTGATTTTACGTAAATCGACAATTCGTCGCCGACTTTACAAAATCCCACATTCGAGCTTCATCATGAGTAGAGATGAGAGGAAAGAAATGGAGAAGGTGGGAGGGTTCCCCGGAGGAAAAAAACAACAATTAAATGTTGGGAGTTAAAAAAGTGGGTGGGGAAAATTCGGAATTTTTATGATTATATGGATTTACACATTAACAGGTTGCCGAGGCTGCTGGAACTTACCTTTGCCAGTTAAGTCGAATGATTTTTTGGAAGGTATAATGCCTTAATTTTATGTTTGGCGGCGTATTAGCCTATTGTATTTTGTATGATTCTAAGTCAAGCTGAAATATGCAGCTAGAAAGTATAACTAAGTGGAGCAGTCCTTGAGAAGTTAATACTACACTCAGCTAGTCAAGGAATTCCCTGCCTTTTATGGAACCTGAAGGTTCATCACCGTGTCCACAGGATTCTGCCAGTGGTCCCTATCCTGGGCCACATGAATCCAGCCCACACCCACCACATATATTTGCATGACATCCATTTTAATATTATCCTCCCATTTACGCCCAGGTCTTCCAAATGGTCCCCTCCCTTCAGACGTTCAAACCGAAATCACGTACACTTTTCTGATCCTTCCCATGTTTGCTACAGGTGCCACCCATCTCATCCTCCTTAATTTTATCATCCGAGTTTAATAAAATTTTCTTCTAAATGCTCAAAACTGTTATCATTTCTAGGCACCAGTGTTTACTGATGCAACTCGTGCTGTGTTAGAAGACATCTTCCTGTTGAAGAGGCTCACAACAATGCAAGAATTCTTCACATTATGTGGTCATGTGGCTCATGGAGTGGCTTCAGTGCATGATGATAATCATTTAAATAAGCCAATCAGGCGTTTCACTGCTGATTATGTGAGCCGTCAGCTGCTTGGAGTCACTTCACAAACTCTGGCTTTGGCTCTTTGTCTCCTGCTACAAAGAATTGGTCTTAATGTGACAGGTAATGTTTAGTCATTTAAATTTAAACTTGGCAAGATGTATTTAGCAATCCATTTTCAGGGTTACTGACTAGGAAAGGAAGTTCAAATAATAAAAGGGCACAGATTATTCAGACTTCAATATTTTCAGCTTTCTGGAATTACAAATTACACTAGAATTGCATCATATGATTCAGATTTTTCTTGAATATTGTCCATTTTCAAAAGGGACATATAAATGTTACATTTTTAAAAATATATCATGTTTCAGGCCCCACAGAACAGAACAGAAATCCCTTTCCTTTGTCTAAAAATAAAGACAGAACTAGCCTCCAGAATGTCATATATTTTTATATTGACAGCCTCTAAAAAGAACCCCTTACATTATGATGGTAGATCATTGTCACAAACCTTTGGAGTTTCAAATGTATTGCAGTTATTATCTATTTTTGGGATTTGTGAAATGTCTGGGTAGAGGGGAGGTTTGGTCTTTAGTTTGCCCTGTAACCCACTGCATCTCCCAACAACACATTGTAAAATGTTAAGGATGTTGTAAAGTAAAGTAGGCTATAATGAATTCTTGGGCTGTCAGCCATGTCAGTGGTTAAAAACACCAGTTTTCACCTTTAAACCACCTGACATGGCTCATAGCCCAAGAAGAATGCATTATACTTAATCACCATGAAAGCTTCAGGTCATAAAGTAGACTCCTAGAAATGTTAATGAAGCTGGGAAGAAAGCTTGGTTCACAGCTAACAATGCATATAACAATGTGAGATTTTATACATGTTATTAAATTCAACAATAAATCAGGAGTATGATGCGTGCGCAGATAATCCACAAGCAATAAGCTGTGTACAGAGAATAGGTAGTAGAATATATTTTCTCATTTTGTCCAGTTTTGACTTTCAAAGGTTATGTTTTATGGTAATTTTGTTATTCAGTAGCTGTACAGGAACCATGAATATTCTTTGGACAGCCAAGGCTTAACATGTTAAGGCTTGTAGACGTTTTTAGGCTTTTATATAAGCTTGTAGGTGATCTTGTTTTCTTTCTTGGCTGATGACACATGCTTTAGTGGGTTGGTTTTCCAGCTATTTGGAGAACATGGCATCTGCAAAGTAAAATGACAAAATATCATCCATATACCAGTGCTTATAGTTTCAGTCCATGCGGCAGTGGGGAATTCTGCACTCTGATAGTGATTGTGTGGCTAATTTTAAGTTATCAGACACTACCCAATGTGTATAAAATATCCCTAATAATATTTATCATTGTCTCATGACCTTCCTTCTAGTAGGGGTAGACCAAGAACTTTCAAGAGAGCATTTGCAGAGTTCGCTCTAAACTATGGAAAAACATGGAAATAAGTTAAAACATTAGCCAAGAATAGTCTAATTTGGCAGCACTTGTGGGTGCTGTATAATTCCTTGAGTAATGGGAATAATGGTAATAAATGATGATGACTACCTTCAGAAGAAAATTTAAGAAGTTTTTATTGAAAAACTTGCTAATTTTAGATGTGCTTGCCATTTATTCATCATTCAGTATGTGTAATTCTCCACTGTTTCATGGCCTGGAACTATAAAAATCAGCACCAGTTTGCTCTGAAAGTGGATACAACTGAGTTCTTAAAAATGTTTGAAAGCCATGAATTTATTGCCCTGTTACTAAATTATTTACTCCAATGTGTACACAAAACCAGTCAACTGTTAGACACTTCAGTAATGTTACTTCCACTCTTATTTTGCTTTAGTGGAAGTAGAGCAAAGAGACATTGGTGCTGAGAACAAGGTGCCACTAGAAGAGTTGTGTAGGAAAGCAGTAGATCTGAGCATGAAGAGTTGTCAGTTCTCTGGAGGCACACTTGCTCAAGCTTCAGGACTTACTAGTACTTTAGAGGTCACATGGAGACATAGGGAAGTAGCGCGACACCTTCAGCAGCAGGTAGAAGCCCAGAGATCCACATTGCAGCGTCTGCAGCTCCAGCTAACAGCACATCACTGGCTGCATGAAGACACATTAATGCTACAGGGAGCTCCCATCACTGCCATGGCTCCTATCAGTGAGTATCATGGCAATATGCCCTTCAGGGACTGTTGGTTGATGTGGCATTGTTGATATTTTGATTTCTAGTAGTATACCTCCATGTTGAAAGGCTCTTCTTGCTCATAGAAAAAGTTTAATCCTTGCAAATAAATAAGTAAATAGTGGGGACCATTATACTTATGAAAGTGGTATCTAATGTTTGGCCACAGTTGGGGTCATCATGCACATGACTGGTCATTTTTTAAAAAGGCCTTTTTTAAACATGTAAGGGTATAATATATTTTATCCATTAAAATTCTCTTCTTTATACATGCAATTTTGACTGACTGAAAATGTTCAGGAACGTTCTTTACATAAAAAGGTTAACCCATGTTATGACATAGCTGACTTGTCCTCAGGTCGGCCAAAATTCATGCTGGAATTGCGGAAAACATCGTCTGCACTGCTAGCTTTGCAAGCACGACTTAGTGAAGCACGAGAACAGCAGAGTACTTTGGTGGCTAGTGTTGAGCAGCGTCTCAAGTGGGCTGCAGGGGCTAACCCTGCGCTTAGTGAAGTGCTGGCTGCATTTGAGTCAGCGGTAAATTTCCGCACTGAGAGGCTTAACCTGGAACAAAGACTGTCAGCTCTGGTTGGAAATACATGCAATGCTGTACTGCACCATGAAGCCTTGCGTACCAGAACCTCTGAAGCCCTGGCACATGATACTGCTTTCCTTCAGGTTTGTCCAAGAATAGGAATATTTCAGGGGTTTACAAACTTTCATGTACCTACAACACATCTCCAAGATAGGTTCATCACCTTACCATGTATGATTTAAAAGAGGGATTTGATTAAGTTGCTAGTTGATATTATGTATGGGTGTGAAACCTAGTCTGTAATGCTAAGGGAAGAACACAGATTGGCGGTGTCTGAGAACTGGGTGGTGAAGAGAATATTTGAGCTTATGATGGATGAAGTGAAAAGAGGGTGAAGAAAATTACATAAGAGCTTTGTCATTTTTTAGTCTTTGCTGTGTGCTGTGCGGATTATAAAATCATGGTGGGTGAGATGGTTTTGGTATGTAGTTTGCATTTTAAGATTAGTAAATGCATTCAAAATTTTAGTTGGAAAAGCAGAAGCAAGGAGACCACTCAGAAGATGTAGGCATACATGGGAGGGTAATATTAAAATGGATCTTGGATTCAGACTGTGGACTGGATTCATGTGGCTCAGGATACAGACCGGAGATGGGCTTTGTGAACATGGTAATGATCCTTCGGGTTTCATAAAAATGGGGAATTTCTTTACCAGCTGAACTAATCTTGGCTTCTCAATAAGGACTGTGATCCGTGGAATTTGTTAGTTGCTTGACTAGGTAGGTTGGTAGGTGCTAATGTCCGAAGTTTGAAACATGGACTGAAGCTTTGCATTTGATGTAACTTTAAGGCTTGTGACATGTCTGGTGTTGCAAAACTTTTCCAAATATCAGTTACATATTCTGCTTCCCTTAGTTGGTGGACCAGTGTGAGAAAAGTTGTGTGCTAGCCGCAGGGTGTGAGCAGATAGTCACACCAGCAGAGGAGAGTCTCGTTCAGCTTCTGACTCCAGATGGACCTATTGATCACACATGGATACATAATGCTGAAGTGATCATCTCAGGTTAGTTATTGTGTTTGCATCAAAGAATAAATGAAATGTGGTGATTCTGACACAAAGTAATATAATCAATGTGAGTTTAATGTTTGCCGGGGTTAGTATGAGAGATTTACTAAGCTAGATAGACACCTGTCACTTGTATAACATGACACCAATGTCATGATCAAATGTTTAGCAGTCATAGTTTGTATTTTGGAAGTTACGAATTCATATCTTGACCTGGATGTTGGCTGCTATGGCTGATGTTTGTGATTTTCTTTAGTCCTTCCACATCCTTTTCTGTTCATTATTCATTAATCATCGTATTATTTGTCACTATATAATGTGGGCACAAGAAAACTTCATTAAATAAACAAGGAATGGGAATAAATAATGTGATTTAGCAGCTGTTGACTACTTTCATAATTTTAATTGTATACCCTTCCTGTAATTACATTTATCTTGGCCAAATCTGTATTTGTGCTGCTGCATGGAAATGCATGGGCTTTGTGTCCAGACATTCTCTTTATTACATAATATGTGTTTTCTCCAGATACAGTGAAAACATTGCAACAGCAGATGGCGGCACTTCAAGATTCGTTGTTTATCGCTCAGGATTGCCTGAAGAATCAAGTGATAGCTGTAAGAAACCGTCTCTCTTCACATCACAAGCTGATGTCCGATGTGCGCAACTTGTTGAAATCCATGGTGAAGGTTAGTTCTAAAACATTTGTGTGCTAAATTGAAAGATGTCGGTTGTTATACATTAATGTCCCTGTCAGGGTGGATCATGTGGCAAAACCCTGTACTGTCTTTCTTATCCTTCCATAAACACTCCTCTTTACTGCTGTGTCCACTGTTCTCTTATGCCTATTTTACTTTTCCTCACATAGTCTTACCAGTTGTAATGTATTTTAACTTTTCATGTTTGAAGTTCTGAAAGGAATCTTATTGTCATCATTAGCTTGGTCATCTTTCCTTGTAGTGTTTCTGGTTTCAGATTAATGCCATCTGAAATGTATGACTGCTAGTTATTTCTGTTTCATCTGTATGTGGTATGAGGAAGTATTGCAAATTGCTCCAACATTTGGTTTTATTAAACACCATGGAAAGAAATAAGTGGAACAAGTTGAAAAGTGAGCTCAGATTTTTCCAGCTGTTGGTTTTACAAAACATTGTTGAAATAAGTGGTATGAACAAGTTGGATGATTGAACTTTGACAAGGTTTGAAAAATAAATATTAACCCAGAGGAAGAAGATACATAGGAAGATGTCAGAGATGAAGTGGAATCCCACCAAATGAGAAACTGTTTTATAATGCTACTAAGAAGCTCTTGGGCTCTGTGCTGGGAAGGATGACAGTCATACAGTAATGGTTTTAGCCAGGTTAATTAGTTATGTGTATAACTAATTATGCCATAGTCTTAAAATATACTCTGAATTATAGAGTTTGTGCATTCTTTCATGTCAAAGCAACCTCATCTTTAGAAGAGTGAGTTCTCTGTCCAGACTACATATGTATATATGTGTGTGTGTGTTTTCTTAATTTCATTCTTCATTCCCTATTATGTGAGGTACGAGCAGAGATATTACTTTCAAATTGCCATGGATCTTAGCTGTCATTGCCTGGAAATAGTGATCCACATTAAACTAAACAGATTAAACTGGGAAAAAATTTATCTCAGTGATTTATTTACATGATTATTTTGTTCGTAGTATAACTGAAATAGCACAATAAATTTGGTACAGTAATGTCCATAAAGCCACACTAATAAGAATAAAAAACAAGATTTAGATGTGTTTGCCAATTTTGATGTTCCTACTCTCCTTCAATAACTAAGGCATATCATTGGAAAGTGAATGCTCTTTTTTCATTGGCCCTTTTGTTACAGCTGGAGGACTGTGGTTTGACTGGGCTGCAGGATTATGTTATGAGTTACCGCACATACTCTGAACATTTCTCAGCACTGATTCGAGAGCTTATGTCAGATGAATTGGATATTGACTGTGTCCATAAGGCAATGGATCAGTTGGAACATCTTAAGGAAAAGACAAGTAAGACCAGTATTAAATCTGTTGTCCTCAATAATCAGGTTCATAAAACACATATGGTGCTGTAATGTAAACTTATATTTTAGGAATTTAAATTAAGGATGTTATGATAGGCTGGGGTGCTGTAGCTCGTGTGGTGAAGACGAAGAATAGGTATAGAATGTAGGGTTTGAGGTTCTCACAGTGCTGAGTATGAAGATGGCTGTCTTCTGGGTTATAGTGTGGTAGAAGTTTACCAAGATTTCAGAGGTTCTTGCTGCCTGGAGGCAGCTTCAAGCTAGCTTCTGTTATAAAATGTCCCTGTGATCATCTTTATAAACAACCTGGTGTTCAAAATCCAGATCCAATTTATGAGGAGCTGGTAATGTTTGCAAAACGACAAGAGGGGAAGCAGCTGGAAGGGGCCTTGGCATGCAGCCCACCTGCAGCAGGTGAGGATGCCGTTGCTTTTGGAGGTTTGGGGGGTCGATCCAGACGGCCACCACTACTCCGACAGGAGAGCATTTGCTTGTCTCCAAGGAAAGGTGTGCCAGCACCTGTTGCGCCAGTTGTCGCCAAGCCTAGCAGAGATCCACACACAGGCAAAGGTACTACTAGAAAAAAATTAGAGTTTGGCAAATTGAATTTAATATGTTCAGACTCAGCTGGAAACTTGTCAGACTATCCTGCAGTACACTATGAAGTACACTTAATTGATTTCATCATTTTTTTGACTGGACATTATTGTATTAGCTATTATAATTGATTCTAATCATTATAGTACAAGACGTTCATTTCGTCACCAAACATGTTCATGTTTTTGAAACAACGCGGTTTTCGTGATTTTCCAACTACAATCGGAACCCGTTTGTCACTACCGTCACTGTTAACACACAGAAGAACAGTAATTCGGTGTTTTGCACGTATTCCCCCGTGGCAAGATTCACCTTTCAATGCCAGAGTCCTATCCGGGAGGGCGTTGTAGAAAAGTCCGGTCTCATCCGCATTATAAATGTCCCGCGGCTCATATCCCTCCAGCAGTGTTGGCAGTCTCTCGAGCCACAGCTCCGTTATTTCCACATCCACAGCAGCACTTTCGCCTTTCCTTTGTCCTTGTAATAAAAGCATTTGTGAAGAAATTCACACTGCACATGCCATCTGGCATCGCTGGAACGAAATATGAGTGCACCCTAATTAAAATCGTAAAATTTCTGACAATGAGCACCGCCATTCACTCCAACTATCACCCCTGCACCGCTGACCCTCATTCCAAAAGAATGTGCTGGTTGGGCGACATAACAGGTTACCGCTACTGCGTATTCCAAAAACATTGTGCGTCTTTCGGAATTAAATTCTAAAAATATCACGTAAATTTCGTTACAATTTCTCAGAAACGATCATTGCGGGAAAATTGTGTGCTGGGACTAAGATTTTTTAAGGATCGATGCGATAAAACGATAGTTCGAGGAACGATAGAAGCGGGAAAATGTAACATTATTTTATATGGGATGTATTCGGGACCGAACAAAACGGACGATGCATCCGGGAAAACGATAGTTCCGGGAACGATGGATAGAGGTTTCACTGTATTTGAAATGCTCGAGACTTGTGTTGGAGAGGTAGTTGCTTTGATTCTGAGGCAGGCTAATGGATTTCCTGACTGAACTTTTGTTACACCTACTCACCAGTTACATTCAGAGGTTTCAAATATATGCTGTAGTTTTCATTGTGTTTTGAAGAATTGTCAAAAAGGCTAATATTAATAAACCATCCAACCCCATTTTTTTCCATATATTTCTTTCACTTTTTCATGAATGATGCAGTGTTGCTAAATTATTGTCCAGAACTTGCAGGATTTGAGGTTTTCACAGCAGTGAGAGTTTAGATTGTGGTCTTCTGGGTTGTTGTGCTATGTAATCTTGCCAATGTATACCACTGTTTTTTTTAAAAGGAAAATGATGCATTCTCCTTACAGGTGGCACTTTATTCTCTGAAATGTTAGTATATGTGACTACATGGTGCAGCAGACCACAATACCACAATATGAGGATAGAAAACTTATCCATTATTTGTTTATAGCTGTGCAAGAGAGGAATACGTACGCATTGGGAGTATGGCGGAGGGTCAGAATGAAACTGGAAGGGCGAGACCCTGACCCAGGTCGTAGAGCCACAGTGCAAGAGCAGGTGAGTGAAATTGTTGTTCATTTATTTTCTTAGTATTCCAAGTATGTGTGCTAAAAGTCCTGTAAATATTAGTGATGTTGCAGGTCTACAGGTATAGTATTTTGTTTAGTTCCCTCATAAATTTGTTACATTTTTTTAGAACTGCTTGCAGACAAGATGAGAATGGTTTATATTTTTCAGCTGTTTTCTCAGGTGTATAAAGATTTTAATACCACACACACACAAATTACTTGAGTAATGTGGAGAAATGTTCATTGAAAATCATTGTGGCGTGATGTTATTCTGGGCAAATGATCCATGATTGTAAGAATGTCTTCTGTGTCTTCAAATGACATATAGTTTTAATGATCCATGATTGTAAGAATGTCTTCAAATGACATATAGTTTCATATTCTACCTAACTCTGTCGTGTTACAAACCCGAAAGGTTCACTAGTGTTATACCAAAGTCTGCTACTGGACAATTCTGAGCCAGCATCTTCCATCCTCGCTACCTACTTTCCTAATATCCAACTTAATGTTATTCTTCTTCCTCATACATGTCAAATATGTATCTCACTCAAAGTAAAATACCATGTTTTGATCCCATATCAAAACTGGATAAATTTATTTATTTTTTATATATTGTTCCAAATGTTTTGTGACTTCATTGGTTCAGGTGGAGTATGTCATCCGGGAAGCAATGAGTCTTGACAACTTGGCTTTGTTGTATGAGGGTTGGACGCCATGGGTATGAAGAGACTCAGCTGGATATGGATCAAGCATTTGGTTTGAGTTCTGGGCAAAAAAAGTCCCATCGTTCATCGTAACACATGGCCGACGTCCCCAGCACGCGGGGAAGAACAAGCGGGAGATCAGATGCATACATCCATCTCTCCGCACGTGTACATGACGTGCGGGTGTCCAGATAAAGAAATAAATAAAATGTAAAGCCAAATGTAAAGCTTGTCATCTGATCACCAAAGCTTTACGGCCAAGTGAGTAAGTGGTACTTGCTAGCTTGGTTATCGTGCATTCGCTGCTAACCAACGGATTGTTGGTTGCCATTATGAATTTAATGGACAGCTCTAATCACAACAATTTCGTAAGCAACACATAAACATGTCCCTCTCTTCTTCATCATCTCTCTTGGTATTTGCAGTTATTCATCATATGCATGCACAATACACAAGTGTTGACATGCTAATGGTTGGTTGTAACTCCAAGTTATTGAAGACTCAAGTATGAACTAAATGGTAATTATCTTTTATACCATTTAATTCCACAAGCAATTTAAAAGATAAGCATATAATATTTTAAATCTTCATTATCTCTCTTTTATTTATCAGCATTTAAATTCTTTGTTTTTTTCTTTTCATTACAGAGCACACACTTTTGGTAGTTGTTTGCTTTAATAAGACACCAGTGTGGGGTATCAGCAGAGTTATACATATTCTTGGCTTTTGGTGAATATTATTTTAATGGTGTTAAACCACAAAATTTTAATGTACTATAACGCATTTTCTTCAGAAACAAGTCCCAAGATCACGTCAGTTGATTACAAGATATGCTCTTAAAATGTTGGCTTCAGTGGGTAAGGAAATGAAGGAAACTCAAGGAATTTTGGGGGGCTGTGTAATTGTACTTTCTTGAGCATACACATACATTTAGTGGGCTTTGGTAGTTTAGTTTAGACTTTGAATTAATTTTATTACAATAAATTGGGCTTGGACATCTGTGGATCTTATATGACTGAGGTGGTGGGTTTGATTAATTTATTTATTTATTGTATATAATGGCTAAAGTTATGAGCCATGTATTTAAGGTGTTTAGTATGTTAGCTGATGAATTTTATTATAATAGAAATTTACATTGTAAATGCGTGGAATTGTAACAGATGCACGATTTGATTTACAGCTTTGTATTACATGTGTGACAAATATTGCATTGTTCCTGGAAGTTAAAAGTGAAGTAGGAACGTTATAACTATGGAGTTTATTTAATTGTATGTACAGTTCTTTGCAGATTTTACTTAATTAAAAAAATAATATGCCTAGGTGACAAACTGAAATCAAGTTTGTGACGTTGAAGTTCTTGAGTGATCCACATAAACTGGAATAATTTAGGCTGGCTGCTAGGGGATTGGTATGCATGAGGTTTTCAGCTGCATCAGACAAGAGACTTAAGAATACAATGTTGGCAAAGAATTCTGTAAGTAACGGCTGCTGTATAGTAGTTCCTCTAAATCTGGGGTGGGGGCTAAAGTGATTAATAACCAGGTAAGTGTAACAAAAGTATTTGTAACTTTGGTGATAAGAGTGTTTGCTCCATTAATATAAATTATGCTCTAACCCTTTCATAGTTAGTGCAAATTTATGTGCCAATAGTCTGCATTAATGAGTAATCATCGCTATGTGCATGTTGAAGCCTCGTACAATATTTCATCCCTACACATTTCAGTAATTTTCTTACATTAAAAAAGTCTGATCATGATTACCCTCTGTTAAGATGAACTTACACTATATCAGTATACTGTGTGACAAATGAAAAATAGTGATAAAATGGCACATTATTCAGTGCCGAATTGTTCCATCCAACCTTTATCATGTGGTGGAATTTTTATATCCATAATAAGGTTCATGTAAATGAAATATCTTATAATCAGAAATATTCTTGTGAGTGTGATATGTGAATTGTTTTTTGAGGAAAATGCAAGGAACATTTCAAATTCTGTTTCAGGGGATTTGAAATCAAATTTGTAATCTATTTGGATTTGAAATCAAATTTGTAATCTATTTGGATTTGAGATTCTCATAGCTGTGAGTATGAATATAGCTTTCTTATGGGTTGTAGTGTGATGTAGTCTGGTAGACGTTTACCATTGTTTTAGATGTCCTTTCTGCCCCCATCGTCAGGGTGACTTATCACTACCTTCATGATGATGAGTCACCCTGGTGGTGGAGGCAGCAAGACCTTTGAAACAATGGTAGACTTCTACCATGCTACAACCCAGAAGACAACTATTTTTGTAATGTTTGTTTTGTTCAGATACTTAGAAGCAGTAACTTGACCAGTTTGTGATTATTTTGTGTTCTGTAGATATTCAGGGAGGTAGTCAGTCATACCAACATTTTTTCTTTATATGTAATGTAAAATACTGAGAGAGGTTACGTAACTACAGTTGTGTATCTACATGTACGCATGAAATGCTCCTTTGGAATGGTTTTTTAGAAGCAAATTTTGCAATTAAATTCCTTCATTTGTATGGCAGATAGTCTATAGAACGTCTTGTAACTTGGTCTTTACAATCAAACTCCAAACCAAATACTGCATAAGGCATTAGTTTCTGCTAATTTGGGATACTGTTTTCCCTCAAAAATTTTAAAATGTTGATTTTTGTGTAAGTCCACTTGTAAGTAAACTTGGTTTATAATACCATGCATATAATGGGTGTTATGCCTGTAGGTGATAGGTTACTTGTTTAAATATAAATTAAGTACAAGATAGAATATTATGTTTTGTGTTTGTGAAATGAGAGATTTTTGAATGGAGAGAGGGTATGTGTTGCTGAGTTGTGGTTGTCAGAGGAGCACCACCAATAGTAATGGAAGGTGATAGAGCTTGTAAACTTAATGTATATTTAATATTTCAATTGGATTTAGTGACAGTTGCACACATCTGATATTCCATATCTGTACTGTCATGGGCATATTATGTTCAGTCCATATAACTGATAAAGTATCTTTTTTATCTCTTCTCAAAGGACATGTAATTAAATTTCAGAGATGCCAGCCAGTGATGTAGCTATAAATTTTGCAAATTAGATTCATTGATTTAAAAGCATGTGTCCCTATCAGAAATTTGGGGGATACTTTTGGCTATGCAAAAACATTTCCAAGTCCCATCTCATTACATTATTGAATAATTAATATAAAAATGTGGTAACATTCGTACAAAATTTGTTAGTCATCTAAAAAGCTTGTGCACATGTAAATTGGATGTAATGATGAGATAATTTTATTGTAGTCAAGTGTGTTGACTTTGAGGAAGTTCACGATGTGGGCAGAATATATGGTTCTTGTGTTTAGTGCCTCTTGCTCGAAAAAGAGCTCTTTTTTTTCTGTTATGAAATTTTTACAGTTTTGTGTGGCATTGTTCTCAGAAACCATATGAGCATTTGCCAGGGCAGTAGCTTTTTATGGCTTATGCTGCCTACCCCCAAAACATACAGATTTTAAAATCCCAGTTCATCCTGCCTTCCACAGAAAATCTTGTGTTTTAAGACTTTTAAAAAATATGAACTTCTTAACTTTCTTTTTTATTTAAACAAACTGTGTAGAGTGCAGATTGAGTTGACAAGGGGGAAAAATATACTTAGATAGAGAATAATAATAAGAATAATAATGAGGATAATGATAAAAAGAGTCTAAAGTAATAAGAAGTAGTTAAATTTTTAAATGGTGTGAGGGTTATATTAATACATCAATTGTTAATTTTAAAACAGCTGAAATGTAGTAATCAATTTATGGTATTGGTTTAAAAGTGTTTTCTTACCTGAGTATGCATGAACTGAATTTGACTCTTTGTGGGCAGTTATAATTGCATAAAAGAAATCTGTGTACTAGAGGCTAAAGTAATTTTGGTTCAGAATTTTGTCTCTGCCCCACATCCATACACTGAGTCCTTGTGCTCCCCTCTCAGGAGACTGCTTGCCACTGGTTACAAACCATGTATCCAGAGTAAGGTACCATGTATAAAACAAAATATTTTCTTCATACAGTTTACATCTTCTGAAAAGAGGATAACATCTCCATTAGCATTACCACTGAGTATTGCTTTAACTGGACCACTTTAATATAATGTTTTGCTTTCAGTTTATGAGGGAAACCTGCACTGTGTTTCTCTGTTTATAACAACCCTGTTTCGGTGTTCATTGAAACTTTGTTTACAGAAACACTTCAAAAAAAGGTAAATTGTCACTCAGACGAAAGAGGAGAATGGTAATATGATGCAGTTGATATGACTTCATTTTCTTTTCATTACAGCTGTTATCAGTGATTTACTTTGTACGAAGAATTTAACTTTACAGTAACACATTTACTGCCACATTTGTCAATGTATGTCAGATCATTCATACCATCATAACATACCGTTGCACATGATGATTTGCACATTACACAGACACCTCTGTCTGATTTGGTGTGTTTTTGGTTGATGGTTTTATTAAAAGAATTCCTGCAATTCTTATGTGACGAGAGAGAATAAGAGCTATAAATCATAACATATTTTTTTGTTACATTTGACAATACTAGTTCAAAAATTTGATCTGCAGATAGTGCTTATTTTCTTAAAAAACAAAACAAAAAGCATTCCATTAGTTGATTATGAGATTGTGTATTTTGTACTTTCTTTCCAGGAATCTCACATTTTCATTATTTACCAGGGAATCAGTGCGTAAGGTAGTATTTTATATGAATCTGTAATTAATTCCTTCAGCATTTGGAAGTATTTTGTTATATTGTAAGGAAATCTGACTGTTGGAAGGCTAATTGCATTTTTCCATTAAATTTCTGTAGAATGCAGAGATTTCCTGAGAGTATAAAAAAGCTGAGCTATTAATACTTATTTAAAGCAATTTAAATTTTATTGTCATCCCATATCAAAAGATGTACAATGGGTGGTTTAAGTTGTAAGCTACTGCAGTGATTTGCCATGGCTTAGTTCTGCAGGAAAGTGAGATTTTGTACAGATAATGGACATGGCGATTGGGAAATAGCATGATCTGGTGACAAAGACAATTTCAATAGTAAGTCCTAACATCCTCCCTGGTAGTAAAAGTGTGTGGTAAGTAGGGTAGGTGCACTATCAACCTTGACTTAGTTAACTTATTTCTCCTAAAGTAGATTTTTGTATAATTTGGATTGTTGGGTTTTTGTCTGTCTTCCATTGCTTCAGTGACTGAGATTAGCTTATTCTAATGGACCCCATAGAGTAGATGATCTTCCCCTTCACCACACCTAAAGATGAGGACAGGCCCAGTCCTTGAAACATAGTATAATTTATTATCAGACAGTGGACAAAGTCCAAAAACCCAACAATCCAGATTGTCAGAGTAGATTTGAGTATAATTTGAAGATGCTTCCCCCCATTGCACTGAGGGGAAGTTTAATTGCCAAATACTAATAAAAATTGCCCTGAAAGTGTACTTCCTACTAACAAGAGATGAGTTAAAGTTAGTTGACTCAGTTTTATTTTAATTGTAAGTGCTTGAAGATTTTTGTTTCTCTAATCTTTTACTCTCATGGTGCTCTGTCATGTTATTTGAAACTGTTCTGGCTAGTGCATCCTTTCCCTGCAATTTATTTGTTTAGAATATATCATAAAACCAGCCATCTACCAAGTACTTTGTTTTTTTGTTCATTGACATCTCTGAAATTTACATCAGCTAAATAAAATTATTTCTTTTATAAAAGGTAATGTGAACTTGTAATGTTATTTTAATGTCATTCCAAACCTGAAGCAAACTTACATTTGGCATTGAATAAGGATAAAGCATTCTTTTTCCTGCTTTTAAGTAATTTCTGTCTCCATCCCATGAATAAGTTTAATACAAGAAAGCAGTGCTTTTTTGGTGATACTAGTGGTATTGTATTGGCACTTTTTGTATAACATAGAAACATTTGTTGCAAAGGGATTAAGAATAAACTTTTTAATTTAAATTAGTATTTCCCAATCCCCAGTTACATCTGAGAACTGTCATCTTTCTTTCTAGTAAAAGAGGCACTGAGTAACAAGGGAATGTAATAGAAAGTGTTCCTAATATTGTTGAAATAGCGGAATTCAGATTAAAAATATTTTCACTCAAGTTGCAGCTGTACTGGAAAGTAATAATCATCTTCTTGATAGTTACATTTGTTCTGTCAAAAGGAATGAAACGTATCAGCCTACCCATTTGTAACATCTGAATACCAACTTTTCTAGAAAACCATGGTGACTGTTGATTTACATGAGATGTTTTCATAAAATGTAGAATTTCTCAAAATCTGCAAATTTTCTTCTGTCCTGAGCCAGACTATGGGCTGAAATTAATGATGATAATTTTTTTAGATATTTTATAGTAATGGTAAATGTTCATACAAATTTGTCAGGAATTATTCTAATATGAGAAATCAGTTTGACTACTTGAAATTCATGTTATTTAGAATATCAACAGTTTCTTTAACAAAGTGTTACTAAATCCATGTTTAAGTCAGACACGAGCAGTCTGTAATTTTTGGCTTATGTTTAGTTTATGACAGCTTTCGTGTAGCCCATTGCAGTCTTACTTGAAATTCAGAGATCTTGAAATATCTTCAGATGACCCGTGCTTCTGCAGATTCTAAAAATAAATTGAAAATAATTGTCTTTCATTTATTTACTTCTCGCCAAGAATGCTTGCAGTCGTTCAATGTATTTGCACAATTGGTGATAGGGAATGCCAAATTTAAAAATTATATATATATCAAGTATTTTATTTGTCAAACCTGTTTGTGCAGAGCCATGTTCTTTTACAGTCAGGGAATGTGTAAAGAGTGTTTTATTTTGCTCTACACATAACATTAAGAACTGTTATGTTTTAAACAGAGCTGAAGAAATAAATACACACTTGTTACCAGATTACATTTTCAAAGGGAGTTAATCTATAAACAGCATATTATGTACCTGGTTCAGATTTTGGCTACATTTGGATTTTATAATCACCAGCCTACAAGCAACTTTTTTAAATTAAATTTACAAATCTGTAAATTATGTCAGCCTTCCATAATTAAAAAAAATTGTGTTTGTATTTACAACCCAGTATTTTGTACCAGTCATGTGTTTTGTAACTTAGCAAATAGAACTGGGTTCAAAATTAGCCATAGGAGACTGCTTGAATGATATGATTGATTCATTGAAGTGCTTTCAAAACAGATTTTACTTCCAAGAAAGTCAAATGGCAGTTCTACAGATAACCCTTTTTGTGCTGAAATTTTACTAAAAAATTGGTCTTCTGTTACTTTATGGTACCATAAAATTAGTATTTTTTTGAAAACCACAAGTACCTTTCTAATGATCTTGTCAAGTACTAAGATGTTTTAGATCAAAATGGTAAATATTTCATTGGGGGGTTGAAGGGTTTGAAGTTTGGAGGTGATGGTGTGGACATCATGACATTGACACATCATTCTGCAGTACATACCATCTGATCCCAGTGGGTGAATTATACATGTATAAATACCTGCAAAGTAAGTGTGTTTTCCATGTCAAAGTTGTAATAGGTGCCAAGTGTTGAGACTGTGTAATGTTGGATTTGTAGAATGATAGAGTTTGTGGTTTTGTCGATTACTCAACCAGTATTTGTGCTTTGAAGTACAAGCCTCACTGAGATGGTTATTGTGTCATGCAAAGAGTATGGGATATTTTGCTAAAACAGGTGTTCATATGCCCTTGCAAAAATGTTACCATAACACACTAATAGTAATCAGATCATCAACAGTTGGTAGTATATTGCCCTTTTTATTGTACCAAGCAGTATGAACAGTCATAACTGATTTTCCACATTCAAAATATGATGAGAACATAAATAGGAATATCACATGCAAAAATAATTGGCATAAATAATGATATAGATTAGAAATTTAAAATGGCATTTGTAAAATTCTAAATTATGTTTCTTTTAGTATTTAAAGCATTAAAACATTTGTGTGAATTTTGCTCAAAATTTTAAATATTTGGCACATATATGTCTTTTAATTTGAATCAGACAATGGCATTAAAAGAAAGACAAGAAAAAAACATGTTAGCTAATTTGGATTGATATTTGAAATGCAGCACTGTAAAGAGTATCATAGTGCTTGTAATTTGTTCTGGTTGTTAGATTCTGAACATAATTTTCTGTATTACTTAACGAAGTCCTGATATTACAATCCAGGTTTTCCTACTGCCAAGCAATAGTATATTTTACAATCAACAGAAGCAAGCTTAAGAACTTCAAAATATTTAATATTACATAAAAATTATAAGTGGAAGAAAAAATAGTTCCAAAATTTGTTGATAGGGAGTTTTAATTTGATTTAATTTTGGGGTTTATTTCTTTATGTTTAGTTCTTATAGATTAGTGATATTTGTAATTTTGAATCTTGGGTTTTCATTATTGGTAGATATTTTTTTAAGATGCAATTGTTGGAGCTTCCAGTAATTTCATCTCTGAGAGCAATGGGATATTATGTTCTGAAGGTGAAAGTGTAATGTGTGTCTTAAGTATGCCTGAATCTGTGAAAACATTTTTGTAGGGATTTTTGTGTATGATGTAATATCTTTTCTGGTTCTCCCAATGTCCATAATAATTAGCTGTTCTCTTTCCTCTTGTAGGTAGGTTTTTATATTCAGTGAATTTGAAGAACAGTACATACATGAGGCATGTAAGAAATGTGGAGTGTTAAGAATGGAAGTGTCCGGTATGGGTTAATGGTATATGACAGGAAGCAGATATCTCACCTGTCTTCTGAGTATTGGCTTGATAATGGTTTATGCTGTGGAAGTAAGGTGTGATAAATGTGTTCTGAAGAAGGTAAGACAGACAGTAATAGTAATGGTTTGTCATGTACTGTGATGGGTAATCAACATTTATTTGTTATATAAGTGTGTTAAGATGTAATGAACATGTATTTCCCACTTTCAATATCTTATGGACATGGTACTGTTTTTTGTTTTCTTTTCATTACTATAATAAAGAGCAAACTTTTAAAAGTTTTAAATCTCTTTATCTGCCTTTCAGTGTCTCAGATTTATCATGGAATGGTAGGATTCAGGTTCTTGCATTGGTGAGTACAAAGATGGCTGTCTTCTGGGTTGTAGTGCACTGTAGTCTAGTAAATGGTTACAAACATTTCAGACGTCCTTGCTGCCTCATCATCAGGCCAGTGTCATTCATTGCATCTGAACATAGAATGGTTTATATGTTAAAAAAGTTAAAATTTCTTATTATTTTGTAAACTTCTTTGGCCTTTATATTTATTTGTTACAGATACAAATATATTGTTGCAGACCGAATCACACTATAGATACACGGAGGTGGTCAGAAATCAGATCTTAGTAAGATCTGTTTTCTGTTTGTTTATTTTTTGCTGATTTTTTAGAACATTATGAGTAATTTGAGTATAAAGTAGAGTAGGGGATATATTGGCTCAGTACAGTCCATATTATCTTAACTTGGTGACTTTAAGAGTATTACAGTATCCCCCATAACAAATCTCATTTAAACCCAATCGGAAGTCTCGGAGGTGAGAAAAAACACGACTCCCATTTTTTCTAATTTCTTTTAATTTCAGTTCTTTATATCTAGTAATCAGTTTATGAAATCTGAAGTTCTCATGATAGCCAGATGCTACAATCATCTTGGCTATAGCCATATTTTTCTGGTGTAAAAATCAAAGATTTAGGGAACTCCATGTCTCCCATCAGGGGTGGATGAATTATTACTTCCTATCACTGGTTGATCATCTGAGAAGACTTATCCTATTTCATTATTTCAATCAATTATGAAAACTCTTTATGGCATTTATGTTCTGGACTGGACTTTTAGGTTGTTAGAAAAACAAGCATACAATCAGACACTTTGCAGCAACTTGGAAAATGGGGTTTGAGATTGATCCTAGAAAAATATGCTGTAAATTGAGATTTAGATTAAATTGACTGCAGGTCAGATAATAGGATATGCTTTGGTGTTAGTGGTTTTGAACATTTTAGATTTATAATAACCAGAGTTCATTCAGTATTACTGAGGTGATAAAATAAATATGAGATGGGTGGGGTATATATCATGAAAAGTAGACAAGAAATACACAAAATTTTAGTCAGGAAACTAGAAAGGATGAGAGAACTTGTAGACCAAGGCATAGATATGAAAATTGGGTATGATGTGGGCTGGATTCATCTGACTTAGAACATGGCAATTATTCTTCAGATTCCATAAAAGGTAGAAAATTTCTTAACCAGCTGAGTAATTATTAGCTTTTCAAGAATATTCTGCTCTGTAGAGTTAGTTGTTATGAGAGGTTGGTTGATTCAAAACTTACAAGAAGGTCCACATTAATGCTGCACAGCTACATGAATGTTGCTTATTATTCTTGGACTGTATTAGACACAGTGAACAAGTCCTTGTTCAAGACTTTACAAAGCCCTCATATGTGGTATAGCATGAACTTAAGGAAGGATTGTAGGACCAGAAATTGAGACTGTCTCTATCTTATATGTATGAATCTCATAACAGTATTTATTTATTGACAGGAGTACCAATTATACATAACATAAACACTGTAAATATTCCATTGCATTGTACATTATTAACATAAAGAACCTAAAACATTTTTGTTTATACAATATGCATAGAAGTGAATTTATTTTAATTATGTATACACTACAGTGTATATGTATTGGAACATTTTAGTAACAATATGTGACATGTGCCACTTTATATTACATTGTTAGTATATATAAAAGAAGCTTCTCTCACAGAGATAGTTATTTGAAAAAAATTCTTGATAAGGTTTGATATCACAGGTAGATACATAAGTAACCTGGATGCATGTCAATTGACAGTATAGCACAAATTAACTAGTCTGTGTTTTAAAAAAATAATACATCCAAAATGAACAAGACGAGTAATGATCGAAGTAAATGTGTTGTCCCCTCAGTTATCTTACAAAGAAAATGATGGTGTACTAAACTATATATACATTTGTTTTTGTGGAAAAACATTTATGCATCAATTGTGTCTATTTGATTTTATATAACATCATTGCAGTTATATGTTACTAATACAGATGAGTGCACAGAAGTACATCTGTTTGCCTAAAAATAGTGAATCAGATCTAGGCAAGCAACTGCTTAGAAATAGTGGATTGATGCAGATATACAAGCATTTGTCTAAAAACAGTTGATTGGATGTAGGCAAAAATGTACCTAGACATAGTGCATTGGTGCAGCTGTGTAGACAGGTGACCCACCTTAAGAATTATTCCTCCTGATAAGTCAGATTAGTATCTTGTGATGGCATATTCTGATGATATTTCTATTCAGCCTTCAGTGCATTTATTACGTGAAGCTTAGCCAGAGGATTCAAATGGAGGCAGTAGCAGACTAGACTAGATGATTTCTTGAGGAATACTGAAAATCTGAGTCATGTTTCTAATTAAGATGATAATTTCTGCACAAATTAATTTGGCTTTGGAGATTAAATATTCTGTATAAAATGTTAAAGAATATTCTGGGCACAGCAGTGTAAGAGGCATAGTGTTGAAGAAAGATATCCATCATACAAAAATATGGTGACAATGGCAAATTTCCTTTTATACCCAAACACCACACCATTGGCAAATCTCCATAATCTCAGAATTATGGACCTCAAATAGTGGTTGTGCTACTATATCAGTATCATTGGTGATAAATTAAGAGGTACAGAGGTGAGATGGTCTCTAGCAGTATGATGTACATACCAAGTTTCATAAAAATCCATCTTGTTAGTTACTGGGATGGGGACATGCATAGACATGATAATATTTTACACCTGTATTTTATTATAAAGTAAGGAAATTATATTTATGAAGCAGCTTCAGAATCCTAGGATCTTAAATATAAACAACTATTACGTAATTTATTAATTTAAATGTATTTTAAATACTAGAATCAGTGTTTCCAATTGACAATTGGTTGTACCCCAAGATAAGGAATTGAAAGTGTTACATATTCAAGTTATTGTAGGGAAGACAGCCATGATGCTACAGTTAATCTAATGAATATGACATTTGTTTCTAAAACATAAAACAATTCTCTAAATAGAGTGGATAACCCTGACAACACACAAGCATGAATACAGGAAGAAATCCTTTGTAATGGGTACAAATCAGTCATGCAAATGTGCAAAGTTACTCAGTTTTAAATTAGTTATTCTTTTGACTTATAACATGGCATCATGTTCTGATGGAACAAATTTCTACTGTTTTGCTTCATATTTAGGAGGCGCCCAATTAAAATCTCAGGCACATTACTGGTTATCATGACTGAAGATTCTTCTAGTTTTATAAATTTTTATCAGGTGAATACTCAGACAGTACCTTCAGATAGTCCACATCTGCCTTCTAACAAATGTTTATCTAATTCACAACTTACACAGTATGCAATTGAAATAGTGTCATTAAATAACAAAAATTAATAAATATATTAACTAAACATCAACTTGAAACAAATTTGACTTGCTGAGTTTTGATTGAGTTTTCGGATGTCACGTTTCCAACAGTGGTGCATTTATAACTGCATAAATACAAAAAACTCTTTTAGACACAAAGATAAAATTTAATTTGCATAACATCACTTCAGCCTGTACCAAAATAAAGGGGCAGCAACAAGATGTTTTACTTTGAAACAACAATGAGACAGGCTCTGTGGCACATCCACTTCCTATCCAATGCGTACCAGTGCCTTGTTGACTTTAACAGAGACCCAGAGCTGTTTATTTACTTTATTTTGCTGTGTTAAGGTTTATATTATCTGTAGATGGTGGTAAATAAGTTGCATTAATATGGCTACTCCACTGTATCCATAATTTCTTGGTGATTACATACATTTTTAACTATGTGACAAGTCAGTTTTAAACTATGACACCCCACAACGTTTGAAAAATCAAATATTTTAAGCCAAAAATACATATGCCTAGTTGTAATACGTGTTCTGTTCAACACAGAACTTGTGATAATCTTATGAAAATGTAGACTAGAAGAAAAACAAAAATGTTGACACTAACAAGTAATTGCTCAATGCATTTTTATCAAGGAAGCTTTGAACAATGGACCAGAATGTGTAGTTATTAAATAAATATGCTTAAAAGAGGTACATACTTTGCATATTTCTTAAGATATCTAAAGTACTGAACTATAAGCTTTAAAAAAATTATTATTTCAATTACTGTTTTTTAAATGTTACTGTTCCACTTTCAGTAACCTTGCAACATATAAGTGCATTTTCACTCCTTCTGTTGGCTTATGACACAATTAATTTGGCAGGTCAGTAGACTAACAACATTTGAAAAATGATATCCTAGAAAACTATATTGTATAAAGTTTTCACTGTGCTAAAACTCCTATGGACACTACTGCCATGTAGTTTAACACCAGCCATTCTATACTAATAAATTAGATACGTTGCTTTAACATAATTGTTATGTTTTATAAATTAATGAATTTAACTCACTGTGTTGAGTAACATACTAGGCTTTCTTCGAATGATGTGGACTTTTGGGTGGCTCATTGAGTCATCCAAATCTGAACTGTTTTTGAGGTCCTGTGGAAACTCATTACCATGTGTATAAAAATTAATATACTAACTTGGCAAAAACAGGACAGGTCATTATGATGTATAGGAGAAAGTTACAGGTTTATTTAAATGAGTTTCGAGAGTGTCTGGCAGTACAGCCGTGTTTTAGTAATTTAACGTTATGTTTTAGTTGTAATAGCTGTGGTTGATTTAAATACTTGTGCAGGGGAAATGTCATTATATTACAACCAATGAAAATGTTGCATGATTACCAGCATTTATGATATGATAGTTGTTTGTTTGTTGTTATATTTGTGGTCATATAAAATTACTGTTTTGTTAAATAATGAGCTAAAATGTTTAATTCTGAAGAGATCTTGGTGGGCTAAACTTGGAGGTGAGAGTGAAGGGAGCTTTTTGGCATAAACCTTGGTGACTTAGGATATTTTATATTACAAGAAGTACAGGAATGTTTCTGACAGGCAGAGTTTGAAGCATTTTGGCCAAGTCCTATTCATGAAATGAAAACTTCACTTACCAACCAAAGTCTTTAAAAAGTACTTTATTTGGGCTGGTATGTAAGATCTTAACACTTCGATTCCCAATCTATTTTAAACCAGCAGTACTAATGACAGTTATTTTTATCATAGGAAATAACAGTTTTAAAACATACTTTTTTAATATTTTGGAATTGAAGAGCCTCTTGTTATTAGTGAATTTCTGTAAAATAAAATTTTACTCACAAAATCAAGTTTAAAGTACAAAGATATAACTAATAATGGAAGTTGACAATTGAATTTGTTCAATAAAAAAATAAACAAGAGGAACACATTTCTAGTTTATATTATCAGATGTTATTGTTTCTTACAGTTCATCTCACATACAGATAAGTGACACATGTTACCCACCAATATACATGACCATTTGTGCTCCCCATCTTGCTACATTAACTACTGAGGTGAGCAGATAATCATATTTTAAAGCCCTGCTGATAGGCATATAGTTTAATCTTTATTTTGATCCTTTCTTAAAATTTTGGTAGAACTGATCACCAATTACAATTTTAATTCTAGAAAATAATATCCCCTACATTTCAAGCAGAAAGGTAATACAGTATGTAATGGACACAAGTATCATACATCTTGAAATTGTATTTCAAAATATTTCTGAATATTTTGTTATAATTAAATGAGCATAAATTATACATTTTAAATGTTGATAAAAACAAATTCCACTTATTTCATCATTTTTCCTAGCATTAGGTGCTGCTGACTTTGATACTGAGGCTCTGGTGACCAAGTCAACAACATAAACATTACATTGATGTGTTCAAGAAATGCTGGCCTAGAGAATGAAGGTAACAGCTGTACTACTGGGGTTGGCACTTAATGATCAGCAGTGAAGAAAGTTGTAGTCACTGCTTACATAAATTTTATGTCCTTCCTAGTCACAATTTGTGTAATTACATTTATTTTTAATGCATTTTGTAATCAGGCAGAATATCTTAAAACTTAGGATTTATTTGCTGTTATGTTATATCAGATATAAGGGTTCTTTAGAGAAATTTATTTGGGAAAAAAAGTAGCAGGTACTATCTTGAAATTTGTCTTGAGGGGCTGAGGAAAACTACAAAAGACATCAATCAAGATAGCTGGTCTCTGGGCCAAGATTTGATCCAGGGATCTCTCAAATATGAAGTAGGAGTGAGAGGTAGCCGGAACCAGGCTAGTCAAGTGATTATTGACCAAGCTTGACAATTGCCATCGCTCAAGGAGGATCCTGTACCATGTAGGAAGTTAGAAAGTATTTAGAAGATTCCCTCCTCTCTTTCACCCTTCCCCCAAGAATAGACAGTTAATTTGTGTGTGTCCAACTAAATAGTCATTGTCTTGGTTAATTGAATCATTCAACAACATAAATAAATAAATAAATAAACAATTTAAATCACAAAACTGACAACTGAAAAAACAAAGTGCAAAGCAAACTTTTCACTGTTATATCTTATCACTAGGCCAACAAAACTCTGCTAATAGCGATTCTTGTGTGTATAAAAACAATATTTTATTTAAATGAGCAAATCCTTAACAAGGAATAAACACAGTGGGTTTCTTTCCTATGCTGTAATACATGCAGAGAATTCACACTGTAGGCTCCTTCTTCAGCAGCTGATCAATCTGAAACACAGTTTTGCTATATTTACATTGCAGTGCATTACATATTGCAGAATACTGCATTAGTTCAAATCTGTAGTAGTGACTAGTTTTGCAGCAGTATATTTCTAACCCCTTTCCAGTTCATTATTAATCAATCATCCTGTCACTTGACACTGTATAGGCTGAGTCTATAAACAAACAAAGAAACCTGCAATGAATGAAAATCAAAGCCTAAGATACAAGCAAAATAGTAAAAGACAAGATTTGAAAAATGTGTTTTCCAGTGAAGTATGACTTTCCATTCTTTTTCACAGTCAGTCTAACTAGTGATGGTGCTAGCTTACCTGAGTCTTGTACATTTCTTTAACATCTTCCAGGTCGAGCTGCAGCTCCTGTGCCTCCTCCACCTTCTCTCCATACATCTGCAGCAAGGCATCATACTTATGCTGCAAGTCCTGGAACTGGCTGCGCAGTATTTCCATCTCCTTGAGACAAGCCTCCTGCTCCTCTACTCGTGCAGTCAGCTGAGAGAGTTCACTTGTCAGAGCACTTCTCTCTGCATCTCTCCTCGACATCTCCCACTGTAACTGCTGCACCTCTCCTGGTACAAGTAAGAACACAGCATTTGTATATTTTTTAAAACCATATAGAATCACTGACTCACTGGTACCCAATGAAGACTGGGTATAAAAAGTTATTTGTTCTTTATAGGAAAATATGACTGTGTGTGTGTGTGCGTGCGTGAACGCTCATGCACATGTGTATAGCAGAGCTTTATTCTTTCCATAAAATTTGCAGTAAACATTGAATATTACTATACAATCTGGAAAATCTTAGTCTTTGCAGAATATATACAATTAACCAATGGCTGAACCTTCTTCTCAGAAAAGTTGCAATACACCACTGGTTGAAACATTCCAAAAAATATGTAATAAACTAGCAGCTAAATCTTTCCAGAAAACTTGTATCTTTTTTCATACTTTATCTAAACCAGTGATCAATTTTTTTTCATATAATCAAATTTTTTAACCTTTATCATATAGGAACAGGGGACTGTTGACTGGACATTTAACTCAAGGTATGCTAGTGTGATACATGTCCATCTAGGCCACACATCAGCCACAATACATGGTCAACAAAGGTCAAATACTTTAAGCTTAACCAGTGGTTTCATCTTTCCAGAAAATTTGCACATAAACCAGTAAAGTCACAAACCATCCCGCAATTTGAGTTGAGCCTGGAGTCCCTCCAGCAGAGATGTAGTACTGCCTGCCCGCAGGCTGTCATAGACATTGCTATACCGGCCTGCAGTAGACCCGCACTCAAATGCATCATCCTGAAACTACACAATAAAATACAAGTGTCTAAGAGACATCTTCACAGGACTTCACCTTCTAAGCTCTGTGGCCTGGCAATCATATTTAAATTAGCACCTGGCTAAAATTGCCTGAAAAAGGTTAATCGGCCATACTCATAGAGTAAAATATAATCAATCATTGCACCCACAAGTCAGGTCTAATATGCTAAAAAGAGAACACTCATGCAACTTAAATTATCTTCTTGTCCTACACCATGGTTCAGGAGCAGTCTATGACTTTTCAAACACTTTTATACATTTCTTCCTGATGCACACATTTATATATTACGTGGAATAAACTATAGTGGAAGTCAGGTAAATGTATTAACCTCTATACCTGACATCTCTGCTGGCAGTCATCATTACATCTCAGGTTGATACTACCTATACCCGCACATCCTATTTTTATCTGTGTGCAGTTCCAATAATTATGGCCCTTCATTTAGAATCTTAAATAAGACATAGAAACATTGCCTATATATGTTACTTCTCAAGTCAACCAAGTGTATAATGATTCATTCAGTATCAATAAGCTTCTTGTAGCATGAGAATGCTGCTGCACCATATCCCCTGGTCACAATGGTATCCATAACCAAATGCTCTATAACTTCCCACCTACAAGCAAGGAATTTCTGCTATCCAAGTGAAATTGTATAAGGATAGAGAACTTGGTACCAGCTGCCTAGGCATAAGCACTGGTTGTTCCAATTCTTAAACTTGGCAAGGACCGTTCCCTTGCAACTAGTTACAGGCCCATCAGCCTCACTAGATGCACATGCAAGACCATGAAGTACACGGTAAACTGTGGTAATTTAATCACAGTGGCCAGTGTGCTATCCACTCGGTACAGGGGTTCCTTCCCTGTATGTTAAGTGGCCTGAACATGAAGCTGACTGCTCGGCTCCACCCTGTGCCTAGGAGCAGGACAAATTTCACCTGCACCTTGTTCAGTTTATTTCTCAAGAACTCTGCTACATGGAAAATCCTCATTATAAGTATTATACAAAATTACCTGTGGCCACGCATTGCTCGATAGGGATTCAGATAATGATAGTCGACCAAAGCTGAGTGTGGGAGAAGAGCGTGGTGATGTAGGAGACCCACGTATACCATGGCGATCTCGATCGGTATTAGTCTCTCGTTCCCTAAGCTGGTCCTGACCGTAAACAAAATATATGTAGGATTTCTTAGTAAATGCATCTTATGCAACATATCCATTTTAATATAAAACTACAAAACTAGGAAATGTGATGGTATATTTATAAATTGGTTTTTCTTAAATGTTGAGTCACTTAAATAATCCAAACCAGTTACAAACAGGTGGCAGTGTTTACCCATCTTGGAAATATGGGGTAAATAATCCTTCCCTGTAAAGGCTCATATTACTCTGACATACAAACAATCAGGAATATCACTATTGGTCTTCTATGCTGTAATGTTGTGTGGACTTCTGGGTAGTTTCTGTTTCAGAGGAATCTTCAGTGCTAAAGATGGAGGTAGTATGTTGGTATCTGCCTATAACTCCACACAGCATCACAACCCAGAAGACCAACACCGACATCTTCACAACCATGAGAACCTTAAGTCTTGAAAGTATACTAAATCAGCTCATTTTCTATTACTCCTTCTTCTTTATGTATGTTCTTACATTTCTCATTCTTTGACAAACAAAAATCTTCACCATTAAAATATTTATTGCAATCACAAAACAGACTGAATCATAGTTATGTGGTCTAGCACCTAGCAGCTCACTGGTGTTGGCAGTTTCTATACAAAAACATTGGTCTTACTGTTTGTCAGACCACATGAGCACATTTCCAGCACTGTCCATTATCCCTCCTGCCTCTCACACCATCAGCCATCTTGTGCTGTTTTAGTCATCTTTTAAGTTTTATCTGTTCTACTACACCAGGACTTCCAAGCACTCATCAACATAATTTTCACAATATATACATACACCCATACAACACCCTCTCCAGTCAATATTGGGAGTATGGAGGAGATCAGTCTCTTCCATCAATTGCCAAGGTTAAGAATGTATGGAGTTTACCTGCATACCACTGTACATATTAATGGTGTGGTGCTTAGGTAAAGGGAACAAATATATTCCTTTAATATACACGTGCACGTACACGTAATATACTGATCTCCTTTACTGCCTGTAAATTAATTGGAAATTAATTATGTGCAACAAATAACTTAAGTGTATTCCTTTTGTAAAATGAGGAGTTTGCACACATTATTTTTCAGTCCCTGACTAGACAGACTAACTGATACTAGAACCCAAAGTTTAAACACTGGTAATAACCAAGTCAATCAATGGAAACAATTCTGAGCCAGTTTAATCTACATCAGATCCTCACATTGTATTTCCCTTGTATCTATCCACCTTGATTTTATCCTTCCCAGTTCCCCAAGTAGACATTTTTCAGGAGGTTTCTCTACCAAAATTCTAAGTGCATTCCTTGTTAGCCCCATCCTAGGTACATCCAAACACACCATAGCCTTTCTACAGCCAGTGTAACATAACAGATGATCAACCTGCAAGAGTGTTGTCCTGCGTCTCTCAGCCTCAGTGGCTGCACGTTCCACTGCCAGCTGTTGCTCCAGAGCTGTCACTTCTCTCCGCAGCTCAGCAAGTTGCTCAGTCATAGACTGCCTCAAGGACTCTGCCCCTGATAATTCTCTGAAAGTGCAATGATTTTATTACAACATTCACACATCAAACAGCTCTCGGACATTACAGCTCTGCTACTTCTAGTCCTTTAGTACCTCTCCATGCTACACACATGATATACATTATTCAGAACAATGGATTTTCTAATCTGGATTTATCTGATATTTTAGAAGATCTGTGAAAGCAAGGTCTCCCCCTCTCTCAACAGTTAAAGCTATTTGTAACTTTTAAACAATATGAATTATAAGTCACCATGGAAATATACTTACATAAAGTTTTCTAAATAATGATTAGCATGGGAAGGATTAAAATCTATATTTCACTCTTGCCTCAATATTTAACTTTCAGTGTCACAGTTTTAATTACATATCTGTTGTAATTAATTTGATAAAATTTGTTTTACTGTGCCTCTTATTATACTGATTTCTTTTACTTAAAATTATTAATTGTCAGGACTTTTTCCATCGTCTGTTCTTTAAAAGCCACGATGTTTCGGAGGCTGGTTCTGTCTCCGTCTTCAGGTGAGAGGTACTTATTCTGTTGGGTCCCTTAGATAGAGCTAGTCTCTGTCACTGGATAATATAACTCATGCTATTATTTCAACTTATCCACCCAAGTACAGGTTCTGTCAGCAGATTATAATACTTATATGATAAAATAAAATTATAAGACCGCTCATACAGCTCTATAAGTGACCAGTAAAACCACATGTGGTTTCATTACTGGTCACTTATAGAGCTTGCATGGAATGAACAAAGGGTTAACATTTCAGAACCAAAATATAAGAAACAGGTACATTTTTATGACATTGTAAATTTAAAAATATTAAAACATCTTACTTCTTTTCAGTTTTTATTACTGCCTTTAATTTCATAACTCTGCTAATTATAAATTAATATACTCTGAATTTTCCCCAACGTCAAGTCCCTGCTGGTTACAGACATATAAGTTTGTAACCTGTAGCCTGAACGTACTTGTCCTTGGCTTGTTTCAGCTGGTTGCACTGTGCTTGCTGGAGCTCTAGGTTTGTCTTATACTGAGCCACCTCCTTTGTTGCTGCTGCCAGTCTTGACTCCAAGGCAGACACTGAGGAGCGTAACATTATGCACTGCTCCCTTGACACTCTCTCCTGTTCTGTCAATGAGGACAACCGACCCTGCACTTCACCTGTAACATAATGTGTCTACCCTTACAAAACACATTCATATTGCTTCAACATCATGAAATGAATCTAACTCCATAGAACAGGGTGTTCCTTCAATAGTTAATAGTTACTCTGTTAGTCAAGAAATTTCCGGCTTTTATGTGACCTTTGAAAGATTCATCACCACATTCCCGACCTGACCTGAACTAGCTCAGTCCAGTTTACATTTTCACAACCAATTTCTCTGATATACTTCTTCGTAGTATTCTCATATGTATATCTTAGTTTCTTAAGTAACATCTTTCCTTGAGAAGATTAGAATTACTTAGCTAGTCAAGAAATTCTGTCATATGTGGGACCTCAAAGTTCAATACATTGTTCACAAGTCAGCCATCAAGCCCTATCCTGAGCCAGATGAATCCAGTCCCACCCTATTTCTTTAAGAGCCATTCTAATTCTCTTGTCTCCATTTTCAAAGAACCTAACATATAGACTCCTGATAATCCAAGTTCCAAATCTCATAACCATTTTTGATCACTCCAGGTGTGAACATTAATAACATTTGCATAAAATCTGGACATTAACCATACAGAAATGAGAAATGGGATTCAGTCTTCAGTGATAAAACTTCTTTATAACAATTAGTCATTACATTTACAGTGTAACTTACTCAATGCATCTGAAAGATTACGTTCCTGCTTCTCCCATGAGGCCTGTTGGGCACTGCTGGCTGCCTGCAGTGATTCCAAGTGCCGCAGCAAAGGTCGGGTTGCTCCTGATACTGACTGTGCCAATTCCTCATTCCGTGCCTCTGCTTGTTCTAGTCGACGCAATAGAACACTGTATTCTTGTCGGATGGATGCTTCACGCCTGATAGCAATATTGTGTTATGTAAGTATTAAAACAGTATAAGTTACTCCAAGGTGTAGGGTCTTACTGGACAAGTTTGAAGTAACTGTTTCTCAGCAAATTTTCCACTTTTATGGAACCGAGAGGTTTATCATCATATTCACAGAAGCCCACCAATAAACCCCATCCTGAGATAGTTAAATCCAGTCCATACCCTCACACCCTATGTCTCCAATATCCAGTTTAACTTTTACCAAATAATACAAAAATATCCCTTAAAGAGTGGACCATGTCCAACATAAATGTGACATAATGACCCACAGACAGATTGGTTTATTCTTAAAATTTGTAAAACTATTCATTACACCTAATTGTATGAAAGCAATATTTACTCAGAGTGCTGCTCCTCGGCCTGACGCACTTTGAGTCGTAGATCTTCAACCTGTGCCAGCAGCTGTTCCTTCTCCTCTTGTGCTACTTGCTGAGCTTCCTCTAATGCAGTCACTAATTCCTGTTTTGCAGAAATCTCCACACTCAGCATTGCTTCCTTCAGTTCCTTCTCAAGTGCAGCAGTTACTCTCTTGCTCTCAGCCAGTTCCCTGTGGCAACATAGGAAAGTGCTAACACATAAGAGATTGCTCTCTTCAAATATAAATGACATATACCAAGAGCAAGCAGCCATTGTGTTGCCACTGAAGTAGCAACAGCTGTCGGCCTACAAAAATGGATCAGGCAACTAAACACTGAGACTGAGTGATTAGTGTTCCTGCTTTTTATTCAGGAGGCCCTGGGTTTGATTCTCAGCCTCAAGGCTAGTTATCCTAAATTAAGTCTTTGTGGTTTCACTCCAGTTACTGGGACAGTAACTTCAACTGGATCACAATCTGTTTCTTTCATGCCCTTCCCAATTCATTATTTGTAACCAGTCTCTCATTTGACACTATATATCATATGCAGTTGGGAAAGCATTGTTAAGTAAATAGAATATTGTCATTATGAAATATGTGATCTCAACTCACTTTTTAGTTAGTTCAAATGATTCCTTGGTTGCTTCCAATCTGTGCTTAGTATCATCTAGCTGTCCACGAAGACTGGCAAGTTCTTTCTCTTGACGTTTTGTGCGGGCTGTCAGCTGATGAACAGCTTCAATCTGTGTTCTTTCTACCTCATCTTTGGCAGCAAGTGAACGCTTCAGTCGTTCCACCTCTTCACTCAATACATCCAGCTGCTCCCTGTAATATTGTTTCATATTACTGTCTGTAATATTTCAATCAAAGAGGCTTACAGTACCAAATTGGAAGAAATATTAAACATGTAAAATGTATTGTTTCATCACAGGAGCATAATATTAAAATGGATCTTAAATAAATGAGGAGTAAAGGTGTGGACCAGATTAAACTGGCTCACAGTAGTGTCTGTAGTTGGCTTTTGTGAACATGATAATAACCTTTAAGTTTCATAAAATCAGGAAAAATATTGACATGCCAAATTACAATAAACTGTTCAACAAAGACCATAAACCATATAGTTAGTAATATTTTACCATTCATTGCAGTATACCTGGCTGCAATAAATGCATCTAAAATGCTTTTTTTAGCAATAGTTTTGGCACACTGATAAAGCATCTGATGTAACTGATCCATGCTGGAAATTTGCTATCCTGACTTCAGTTCTCAAGGTTACCTTCAATCCTTCTAGATAAATGCCAGGATAGTAACATAAAGTAGACCATGAGTGCTTCCTCCCAAATCCCTCCTTCACACTACCATCTCTCATTGGAGCTTCACAACCTCAACAACCGATATGGTGCCATACATAATTGACTAAATGATTCTCTCCAACACTAAAGTCTGATTCAGGTCTTTCTCCTATACTGTCTAATGTATATAACTGAGAGCAGAACAAAACAATTACAGTATACTCCAACACCAAAGTTGGAAAATTAAGACAGTAATCTTATAATCTTAATGTGTCTACAAAGACTCATATTTAATTTAATACTCATGTTGTTATTTATTGTTCTCTTCTAAAAGGAAATAGTTGGATTCTTAGATTATTTACTGAAGTGCAGATGTAATGTATCATTGATTAAAATGAGATATAATCATGAATGGTGCGTAGATAAGCACTTGAGGCAGACATTGCCTGTTTCAATGTACTATCCTGGTATTCATCTGAAGAAACTGATGAAAAACTTGAGAAACGCCAGTTACAACAACTCAGTTATCTAGCAGAGCTTTGAACAATGTACTGCCAGAATACAAATATTGAAAATTACTGCTATACTGCCCAGTTCAGATTAAAGGGAAGAAATGAGCTTCAGCTCAACATTTAATACTATCTTTCATATTTATTACATTTAAGTAACATACTTCTGATTCTTTATTGTATTATCTGACTCCTTCTCCTTTGTTCGCAGCTTTTTTATGATATTGGAGTGCTGAAGCTGTTGTTTGGACAGCTTCTCTCCTTCCTCTCTTAGCTCTTTTATGATCTCATCTTTCTCTGCCACCAAAGACTCCAGCTCTCCCATTGACAGCCTAGATGCTGCATCTAGCTTTGCTTGCTACAACAACAAGGTATTAATTTTACAGCATTGTCATTTATGCTTGCCTTACCTGTGATCATATTCATGCGATTTTCATTATTTCTAATGTTTTAATATTTACACACAAAAATTTTAAAAATTGTGGTTGGATTACTAATGATTTTATATCAGTCACATGTGCATTACAGAAACTACCAATTAGTTATTGTAAACACTTTGCTGCCAACACATGCTGAATGATGCTTTATGAATTTATTTGATTGTCAGAGTCAAAGCTTAAGGTTTATCACATGTCACACTCTGTTATACAACACTTAAAGTACAGAGGAAAATATATTTTGTCACAATGTGAAATTTCTGCAAGAATTGTATGACAATTAAAATCATATGATCGGGGATTTATATCTGTATTTGGAAGCACCTACCTGTGTGAAAAGACATTTTCAAAGATGAAATATGTAAAATCTCAATACAGGTCAGCATTAACGGATGAACATTTACAATCAATTTTGATGATAGGGAGTACTGAATTTAAACCTCAGTTTTGTGAAATGTTATCTCATAACAGGTAATTCTATTCTTCTCATTAGTAGAGCTGTATTTCAAACAATTGTAGTCTACTTAATATTATTACGTTACATTTTGTTCAATAAATTTGTTAAAACTTGGTTTTTTCTTGTTACATAAGTAGGCTTACCTATATAAATATCCTCGAGTTTGCCTCTTGGCCCGCAGAGCCTAAAATATTTACTGTTTGACCCTTTAGAAAAAATGTTTGCCAACCCCTGATCTAAAGCTTTCAGAGCGACTAAGTATAATCTTCATCTTTGTCCTCACAGTATCCTGAATGAAAATGGTTCTTGAAATGTTGGTGTTTTCTCCATTAAACCACCTTACATGGCTGGTAGTCCAAGAAGAATGTCACATATGTATTTGTGAAATGAGCCAGTTGAAGGTGCTAGAAATTGTAAATTCAGGGCTTCAATGCAAGATGATATTGGTTAGAGATTAAACAATAAGGCAATCTTTAGTATTAGTTTCATTCATATAATAATTTTGTCTTAAAACACTATAATACAGTGGTGCATATCTTATTCAGGGATGTGTGGTATTTGGATAACTACATTGTAAAAGTGAATATGAACCTCCAGTTGTTTCCAGAGCACTTCTTTCTCTCTTATAGCCTGCTGGAACTTGCGTTCTAGTGTCGACAACCTCTGTGTGTATTCCTCTGTGATCTGATGTATATCCTGTGACTCTGCTGCTCGTGACTGTACTGTGGCTTCCAGCTGACTAAAGGTGAAAAGAAAAATTATTAAACATATTACATAGTAATCCATTCATATACTTAAAATATAAGTACTAGAGGACAGTTAATCCTTTGTCGCATCATTTCGTAGATATTAGATTAGCAGAAAGGAAATATATTAAAAGACTTGGTGTGCTTGTTATGTTGTGTGTCCTGCTACAAATATAGCACCCATTGCTCAGCAGTTTTCTTCTGCCATCAGTGTTTCACAAAACTTTATTGTCTTTTTATCCTCCCCTTGCTCATGACCCAGCTGTTCCATAAACAGTACCACACTGGTCAGTTCTGATCTTATATGTGGTTACTGACATTCTGGAGGAACTATCAATTCCTTCATTAGGGGAGGAGACTATAATGGTTCAAGGGTAGCAGTAAGCTAAGCAGTTAGCTTAAAAAGTATGGATGTGTGAAACAACTAACAATTTATTTCAAAAAGTAAACACGACATAATTTGATGACGAATACCTTTTCAAGTCTGAATTACTCTCTTGAAGCTCAACATTTGTTCGACAAATTTCAATCAGTTTCAGCTCTCTTGCCTCAAGAATTTCTGTCATTTCTGCTATCCTCTGGAAAAGCAGAACATTAATGTGTTATGTTTTAGTCATTCTTCAAGGAGAAAAATCTGGTAACCTACAAATGCAACAAAGTCAGACTTATTACAGTTAAAAAAAATCGTTTCTGAAATATATAACTGGAACTAATTTAATCCATAAACTAAATTCTCTTTGAAAAACACCAACTACACTGGAATTTTCAATATGAAAAACATTAATTCTTTAACAATATCCAATGTTTAAAAACAGCAAAAAAATATTTTCAATGTTAAAAATACAAATTGTTTCACAGTATAAAAGAACTGCAACTCATTATTTGAATTTCAATGCTCTTAAACATGGTATTTCTTACCTTCATTAATCTTTCAACCTCTGAACAATGACTGTCATCTGAACCTCCACTAGACGCCCCTGATAACTCTCTCTGATGACCTGTAAGAGATATATAAGAGATATTCCACACTCTTAAATGAAAGCTGTGGACATCTATAGTAATACTGGCATGCACAAAAAGAAAACTTAGAAGTACAAGGTATGGACTGTTTTATGCAGAAGATTCTGTGATATAGGATAACCTGGGCAGTAAAGTGAATAGCTATGGGCTAGATGACTGTAATTTGATTCTCTACAGGGACAGGTAGTTTTCATCTTCAGTACGACATCTGTGTCCTACCCAAAGTTCTGTCTGAGGCAGTGTTTCACGACTGGTGTGCCACAGTAAAGTTACAGGTGTGCTTCAGGTTTTTATAAGAAACTGTCTATTCACACATTAAATTTATAAAATGGCAATATCTTATCTTGCATAATTATAATTTGTAACACACACACACACACAAAGTTCATCATCAATAGTGTCATTCAACATGTGTAATCTTTTGTTTTCATATGCCTGCATTCTTATATGGGAAGGATTTGCATGTTGATTCACATATGTGTGAATGCATATGCACACACATGCACACATACTTAGTGTTTTGGTATGTACATTTGATAACAGATTTTGAACTGAATAATAATAAGCATTTTTAATTTTTTTTTCATAAATGGTCATGATGTAACTCATTTCTATTGTTACTGTTATTCTCAGATATTCAGATTTTGAAACATTTTCAAATGGTGTATCACACATAATTATATTAATCATAAAATTATAGTACCTTCACTAAATAACCAAAGTTAGGAGCATATGATGGATGAATGTACTGAAACCAACAAAATGTGTGCACATGCCAGCCAAAGCAAAGTTAGAGGATGTATAATTATGTGCATATATATATATATATAGGGCATCATGCCAGAAGAACATATCAGCATATCTGCATAATCTAAGGTATCTGGTCTAACAACAGAAAACAGTGGGATGTATGTCATGCAAGGAGAGTGTAATGATGCTGCTGTACACAGAGATACAGATTAGGGTGTATTAACACTAATAATACACATTTGTCAAAGCAAATAAGCACAAGAATTTAGTCTCCTATGAATCAGTAATTTTGTTGATATGCACCATCTGGCATGATGCCCTTGATATGGTGTTTAGCCAACTTTCATTTACATGTCAGATGATTCTTACCTTTCATCTTGCCACTTGCTGTCTTTCCCAGTTGATCTGAACTGTGTGATTCTGAGCGTTCAGCTGCTAATGCTAGCTTCCCCCTTGTAGCATACTGAAGAAGTTTGGCTGGACTGTGGCGTGACTGGGTGCTACTACTGTCACCATTTGGACTGTTACAGCATCAAAATAGGCATTATCAGTAAGATGTTCTTAGAGAAATAATAAGCAAGTGGTCCTGCCACCTTGGAGTCTAGTATGATCACAACAGTTCTTTTCAAATGGAATAAGTCATTGCAAAATACTTCTTTATCAGAGAATAGATATATTAAAATGATTAAAAAATAATTGTGTTCCATATCAGGAGTCCCTCATTTTCCATTATTCTGAGAGCATAAAAATTACAAATGTTCCCATCCATTTTTCATAGACTGGTCACACTATACATAGTTCACGACTGTAATCTTGAGACTTGTGGGGTGAAAGAGGAAAGATAGCGTCAGCCTTTAACGCTTCGGACTTCCTGCACACAGTAGCCAGCTGCTCTACTGAATGAGCCATCTTGGTTCATTGTTTTGCCTCCAGTTGAAATGTAAATTTACATTGTCATTTCCAAATGTCATCATTGTTGTGATGCTTCAAATGAGTCACTCTTTCACATAAAAAACAATAGCATGCAACAACATCCTTGAAAATGGCATGTGTTTCATTTATGCATGCCACCCATCTGATTAATTATATGGCAGGAGATAGCAGGAAATAGGACAACACTTTTTATGGTACATACATAATTAGAATTCTTACAATATCAGTGATTCTCTGAAGCCCAATAAGTTTAATGGAAGTACCGCACAACACATAACATCTATATCCCAAAAACTTCTATTCAGAATAATTCTTTTTCATTCTTAGATCATTATGTAATGTGCCTTAAGGTGAATTAAAGTTAATGGAATGTAATAAAATTGTCATGTAACAAGAGCCATCATAATCTGTCAAAAGTTTAAAAGGCTATGAATAAACATTCACCATGACTTTGCTTCCAGTTCTGGCAATCTCAAGTAAGCAAGCCACCTGCTGCCACAATCAGAAAACATATAAAGCTGTTAGAATTTGGTTATTAAATTCCTGTCATTGTTTCACTTTGGAATTTGGTTTCTGTGAAGATATTACTGATGTATTGTAACTTTGTTTGTCAGATTAGTTGTTAACACTGAAAATGTCATTGTTGAAAATTGGGTTGGAAGAAGCAGCTCTTTTCTGTGGCTCAATGAACCTTTATTATTTTTATTGAGTGTTCTGTCTGACGACAGGTCCATATGAACAGGATCCTTCCATCCTTTTCTCGGACTGGGTCCTGTTCATATACGTTCTTGGCAGATGATCCAGAAGTGGTTTGCCATTGCCTTCTTCTGTGTGTGAATGGAGTAATTGTTGGGATGCCACGGAGAAACCGGGGAAGCCCCCAGAGGAAAACTCCGTGTTGCCTAGACCACGGCCTTGCCCAACACAAGTTATAAATTCGGGCACCGTCGGGAATCGACCCCGAGCCCCCAGGATTACAAGGCCCGCGTTCTAACCGCTAGACCACCGTGGCAGCCTCAATGAACCTTAGATTATTTAATGATACTGTGTCAGCTGCAGAGGTTACTTGAGTCTAAGAGTTAGTAGAAGAAGATGGTCACATTCAACAGATTCGAAAAAAATGGAGAAACACAATCATGGCCCTTTTCAAGATACTGTCCAAGAATTCACCAGGATTGGTAAAGAAAATCACAAATACTTGTCAGAATAATCAGTGACCCAGCCAAGATTTGAAGCATACATCTTCTAAATACAAGTCAGACGTGTTACTGCTTGAGTCAACTTGTCCAATCTCTTTTGTGTAGCATTCCTTTCTGGACCATGCTCTCTAAATCAGTAAAAGAGATAATCCCAGATGGTGGCAGCACTATTTATCTTCGTCTAGGATGGCAAGATCCATGCTGCCAAGGCTCAAACACAGACAGGGATTCAAACCTTGGATAATTTCAGGGCAAGGACCTCAAATATATGTCTCCACAATAGTTACATATTCAATATGAGGAAATTTACAGTCAGTTACCTCAAAATGTCAAGATGTTGGGTGAGATTTAGTTGACTATGTCACATACTACAGATAAAGCTAAGTGCCCAGTTTTAGTGTGATATATCTTATTCACAACACGGAAAGGGTTAATTTGCTGTGATTGTTATGAACAATGTATGTTTTAGATTATTATTTCTTAAGTAACACACAGACAAATTACAGTTCTCCTAAACTATATATTCTCAGCAACTTCCAGTTATTTGGATGTATATCACAATATTTACAATTACCTAGAAATAATCTCGATATCTGAAGAAGTTGTAGTCTCCAGTTCATCACCTGATGTATGGCCGCTGGTCTGTTCTGACTCGACTTTCACCATGTCAGAGCGGCTAGTGAGGAAGAAAAATAACATGTAAATATCAAAATACAGAACAACAGTGACCTGTTGCTTTGTTTGGGTGTAACACTTAGTCATTTACCCCAAGAAAAGAATACAGACTGAAAGTATTTGAGTACATGGTGCTGAGGAGAATATATGGACATAAAAAAGATAAAGTAACAGAAGAATGGTGAAAATTCTTTTCATCTAGTATTATTGAGATGATTAAATCACTGATAGGACATTAGCATGCATACACAATTTTAGTTGGAAAACATTGTGGAAAGAGACCACTCGGAATACACAGGCATTGATAGGAAGATAATATTAAGGGAATCTCAGAGAAACAGGGTGTGAAGATGTGGACTGGAATGAATTGGCTCAGGACAAGATCCAGTGGCAGGCTTCTGTAAGCTTGATAATGAAATTTCTTGACCAGATGACTGACTGAACTAATTAGTTAGTTACCACTGAAATAATAACAAAGGAACTCTTGAAAAATGCCATTACTGTAGGAAAAATATATTCTCTAGGAAAACAGTACCATTATTGAAAGTTTTAGCAGTAAATTTTTACATTAATGTTTCTGCCAAACACTTTTACACACTATAAAATGAAATGAGTGTTTCAATTTAATAACCATCTTTAGTGAATGTGCAGTAATTTTAATATACCTCACCATTCAACTGACTAGACTACAAGTTGGATGACCAGAGTTTGATTCCAGTATGGATTTTTTCTTGCCACTGCATCCAAACTGGCTCTGGGGCCCCTCCCAATCTCCTATCCAGTGGGTATCAGGGGCTCTCTCCCCAGGGACAGAGTGGCCAAGATGTGAAGCTGACCACTGAAGTTCAACTAGTACCAACATTAATAATGGTGTGAAACTGTACTAAATTTGCCCATAAAAATTCATAGTGTGGTGCTTAATTAAATACAAAGATATGGCATGGTAACTGATTAAGCACATGGATAAATTTATCATTTATTATTCAAAGAATTGCCCAACTTTATTATACATGTTACTACATCCAACATTTAGATCTATCATGTTCATCTTAATTGTACATGCTATATTAAATTGCATGATGCAGGTAGGCAATTGATTGATAGGAAAAGTATTAAAATGATTATATTATACACCAAAGGTAGTTTATTGAATCAAATCATATCTACATGTGATTTTATAGTGTATAAAAGTATCTGTGAAATGATAATGTAATATTTGGTATTGAAACACTGTGGTATGGCTCCTTTCAATAATATTTTGGAATACATACCTCTCTGAGGATATTGGTGATTGGTCCCTGGTTGTTATCAGTTGTTCTGTCCTTGATTCCTTTACAACTTCTTCCCCCATTGCATCTGCCAACATTGTTTTCACATAGTATGAGCTTGTCTGTTGGAGTGTCACCTTGGAATTTCCTTCAATTGATGAGTCGTCAGCCGCCACAGTACCTGTAGTGTCTTCAGAACTACTCTCCATTACAGATGTCCCATCGCAGCTACTGTCCATCGGAACCAGTGTCCTACTATCTGAAAACAGCGAACTTCCTTCTTCATTACAGGAATCAATGGCAGTAGCTCCAACTTTATATATTTCACCTTTCTCTGACTGATTGTCCACGAACAATGCTCCTCCTTCACTTGTTGACACCAATGCTGCTACTGGAGGTACCTCCCCATGGGGCAGTGGCAGTGTAAGGCCAGTTCTGCCAATGCCATATGTTAAAATTGGTTCTTCTGTCCTTACTTTAGGTTGGACTTCTGTTACAACCATATTCTCATTGTAAGATGAATCTAGCAGTGCCAAACTGTGTTGTGAAGATCTGCTACTTGCAAGAGGCGATTTAATTTCTCCTGAGTCAGTTTTAACACTAACAGTACTAGAATAAAGAGAACTCTCATTACTAGAGGATGGTTCAGCCACAAAGTATGGTTTGTGATGTGGGGACCTGGCCAGATCAGAATCTGCCTTTCCTCCAGAAGTGAATGGGAGAGGGGGTTGTTCCATGATTGTTGTAGTGGCTGTGGCAGTACTCTCTGATGCTGAGGTGTAGCTGTCATCTGCAATGCTCATATCTTCTTCATCATCTTCTTCTTCTGGTATAACTTCCACACTGTCTGGAGATGCTTTTTCTACATTTGTTCTTGTTTCTTGGTGCTGGTACCTATACAAAAAAAATTAATATGATGAATCCAGAAACAAACAACAAAACAAAGATTGTGGTACACAAATTTCAAATACAGACTGAATTCTCCTGGTTCAGAATAGAGATTATTCTGCTTCATGGGCTCAGTATACAGAATGATGACATTCATTTACCACAGAGCAAAATTTATTGAACAGTAGATACTATGCATTTAGTAATAAATTCTATTAATTAGTCAACAGTAACAATATTACACAACATAAAAGTTATAAATAAACTTTCCTTGTACTTAATTATACATACAAAATAATGCTAATTGTTTTAAACAAAATTTATAGACCTCTGAAAATAAAATTTCAATTAAATATGTTTGAGTAATTTTGTGGATGAAACATGCTAGTGAGTGAGTGATTTGATTCAGATGAGTCACCTAACTGAATAAGTGACTCAAGTCATCAATAATATAATCACTCTAGTCATTAAACGTCCAAGGGATTGAATGTTGAACCACAGACTCATTAAAATATTAAATTCAAGTGGCCTCCAATGGCATAACTTTCACACCAGATGAAAATCAGTCAAATGGTACAAAAGTTGAAAGGGTAGAATAGGAATATGGATAAACACACCATAATAATTACATTAGCTTACTTTTTTCTTGAGAAACAAAAATAGGTCAAGAATTATGTAAATGAAAATATAAAAAAGTATGAAACATAATATCAACATAGGTTATGAACACAACTTTATAGTAATACATGATTTCAAGTGCCTAGAGATAAAGCTATATTTTAATGTACCACTACATACTTAAGAAATGCTGTACTAGTGGATATTAAACATGGGAAAGTGATGAATATTTCCAGAACATGGTTTAATAGAAACAGTAACAGAAGAATAACACTGTGTCATTTCAGTTATCATGACAGATTTCCAATCAGGAAGACCACAGTGTGGAATGAAATGTCAAATATTGTCCAGTAGAGTCTGGTGTGTACATAACTGCCTGTCTGATGTTATGTCCTGATTTTGTTTCAGTATGTAAAGAATGCCTCTTGAAAGACAAGACCAACAAGTCAACAAGTTGGCTCTGCAGCAAAACCGGTAGCTGACATTCAGAAGGTCCTAAGTTCAAGTCCTGAAGGTGGTTAACCAGTCTAAATTTTCAGTACCATCTATTATTTTACTCATTCAGGTAAATTATAGAGTAATATTTTAAAACAGATCACAATAACTCTATCAAACCCATTCATCATTGATCATTTAATGTTACATTTCCTTAATATGGTTCAGAAAATTTTGTGACATTGACTTAGTAATGCCATATGATTTTATTATGTGGGGTCTGTTAGATACAATGAGTCTAGACTCGCTCTGTTCGTCTTCAGGTTAAAGGAAAGGGTATCTAGTCTTCTGGGTCTATCATATGAAGCTAATTTTTATTGATAGGTCTGGACTCTGGCATTGTCTCTGGGTATTAAGAAAGTGTACCTACTAGGCAGTCCTTATCACTAGATCTGGACTGGCTCTGTCTTCAGATAAAAGAAAAGGGTACTTACTGTGTGAGACATAATCTTATCTTGCAACCTTACCTGTCCAGAACAGAGATCTGTTCTGAGTTTGGCTGAGTCACAATGGCAACAATTTTGGGCAAATCTTGAGGATCATCTGGAGAGACATAAGGAGAAGATGACATGGTAGTACTAGATGCTCGACCACTGGATACTTCTCCAATGATTTCTACAGAACTGGGTGTATCTGGTATCACTTCTACAGAGTCTGGTGAGCTGGCTTCTACTGACAATCCCAGTCCAGTTCCTGATGATGATGCTGACATTCCAGGACTGATCTGTGGTAGATCTGTTTCAGGAGATGTAGTGAAACCACTGCCTCCCTCACTGCTTGCTGAACCTAGCACCTCAACACTTTCTGAGGACTTCTTATCACTTTCTGATGAAATCACAGACAATCTGCTGTACTTGCAGCTCCCAGCTGCTGAAGGTTCTCTCCTTTTCACTACATCTAGTGGGACATAACTGTCTTTGGCCACAGCTGATGTTTGTTGTAAATCTGTTTCTCCTGCTAAACTTTCCTTCTTATCAACCTCAGAAACATCAATACTCCTAATTCTACCAGAATTATCCCCTTCCAAAGTCCGCTCTTCATCAGCCTCACAACTAGATAACCTAGACCGAATGCCCATATCTCCATCTTCACTTTCAACAACCAGTTTACTCCTACTGAAACCTTCCTCAACTCCCAATTCACTGGAGTCATCACAGAGTCCTGCCTCTTCACTGTCAGAAGTTTTGAACAAATCAGCATGATCCCAACTACTTTTCCTATCTAGAGTCCTTTCCCTGTCTGATGTGACTGGCTCCTGATTCAGAGAAGAATTTCGAAAAAGGCTGATCTTCTTGGGCTGTTTAAAAACAGGATCTTTTTCACCACCATCCAATTTTTGTGCTTCAGAGTCACCTGTATTTAACACAAAAATATGCATGGAAGCACCCTTCTGGAAGGACACAAATTATAAATGTTTGAAAACAAATTGACTAGGGAAATATTTCAGTCTAAGAAGGATGAAATAAGTGGACAATTTAGGACATGTATTATGCAATGAGGAACTCTCTGATTTAGACAGATCACCTAATATTGTTAGGTTCAATGAAAGACTTTTAGTATTAAGTTAAGTAAACTATTATAATTTTTTCTGTTCTCTTAAAATACTAAATAATTTGCATGTGTGCACACACACATATGCACAAAGTAGTCTTTCAGTGTGAAGAAAGAACACAAATTGCAAATGTTCTGGAAAATATTTCAACCTAATATGAATAAGAGAAGCTGACAGTTTTAAGACATTATACAAAGATTAATTTTGAGATTTATACAAGTCATAGAATATTGTTAGGGTAGTGAAACCTAGGAAGATATGATGGCCAAACGTGTACATAAAAAGTTCAACAGCTGTTACTTTGAAGATTTCTGTCTTCTGGGTTGTTGACCTCTGAAACGTTGGTTAACATCGACCAGACTACACAGCGCAACAACCCAGAAGACAGAAATCTTCATACTCACCGCTGTAAAAACTTCAAATCTTACACAGCTGTTACTTTACCTTTTAAATGTAAAATATTTTCATTGCTATTTATGTTACGTGCCAGGTATTACAAGAAACTGAAAATGTTAATGATAGAACATTAAGTATTTGGAATTTATAAATTGCTTTGGTATTTACACTTCCTGCTTAAATTTTTCTCTTTCAATTCAGTGTATGAGTACACATTATGTTATGAATTTGGATAAAAATTAAGTTCTGGCAGATGGCCAAATTCCACTATCTTACATATATGATGCTGCTCCTGTCAGAAATAAAAATCTGCCCATTTTTACTGAATCTGAAAAGAACTGACATATTGCAGTGAGCTCTTCACATGACAGAACTCAATGCCAAATAAAACACCAGACTGTTATGACAGTCTGAAATATGGCATGAATAAATTAAATGTGTTCTGTTATTGCCAGCTTTTTCTTTCATTCTTTCCTTACAAAAAAGGTTTTCATAATTTTCTTTCTATACAGCCTTCACAATTTGTTATACAACACAATGCTCACTTTCTTATTGTAAAGCAATCCTCAATTTGACAGTCAAATCCAAGAAGGGAGGAAAATTGTGTAAATAGTAGGACTGGCAGGTATGCCACATTTCATACATTTTTATTAACATGTTTACATCAATGATATAATTCACCTGAGCCTGATCGTGGGTTTTCAAAAAAGGATCCTGTGAAAGAGCCCCACAGACTAGAACTCACTGCCATTCTGTTTATTCCAAATGATGCATCTTTATGTAACTCCTGTTCAGTATCTGCAGTGCAAGATGATTCAACGTTCATCTTTTCATTTGACATATCAGATTTCTCCTTTTCTCCACTAGATTTCACACCCCATGATGCAAAGAAATTGTCTGTATCATCTTGAGGAATAATTGGTGACGTGGGTTTGCTGTGTATTGTTTGATGACTTTCTTCATCCTTGATGTCAAGTGCTTTATCTATAGTTTTCTGAGCCTCTTTTAAAGCAGATTTAGCAAGATTAGCAAATCCAGTTGCATCAAACCAACTCATTATGTATGCATTAAACTAGTCCACCTGTTAGAAAGATAAAACGTAATGATGACTACTTATTCATGTCACAAAATCATTAAACATAACCTAGAAGACATGATACGCCCCCAGAGCATACTTCACTCTAGCACCTACACAGAAGTACACAACTAGTTGAAGTAAAACTTCAGCAATAACATGTGGATATCATCTGACATAAGTAAGAATGATCATTTTAAGAGAAAAGAATTTCCAGTTGTTTAATCAATCAGCTGATTACGCACTAAGCCTAAAAATGTTTACGTACATGCACCCGTCCTTTAAGTCGTTACTGTTGATTGTTCATACAATAACTTATTTCTGCGTGGTAATTACCATTATATAAAGCCTGCCGTAGTTACATAGTAAAAATACAACGAAAAAGGAGTGCCCATTACGTTTATTTACAAAATAGAATGTACACAAGCAGTAGACGACTCAGACACCGGAAACTGAAGATATCAATACGTGTCATTAATTAATGTATCTCAAAATAACGTTAAAATAATACACTTATATAATTTTCGACTCATAAATAATTAAATGTGTATTTTCAAAGTGCACGATAGTATAGGAAATCAATAACAATACAATATGATAGCTACTAAAGAAAAGCAAATTTGATAGCTTACGTTGGAGAAAACTGTATGTTTAGACCTTATACAGTGAATATGTTTTATTGTTTTATAAGTTGCTGGAAGGTTACTTCAGCAATTTAATAAATAAGAACCAAAATATATTTATAAATAAAAGTATCACGTGCCTCTCTCTGAAATAAACTTATTTGCGCTCTACATAATACGTGCCCCAGTGGCGCAATCGGTTAGCGCACGGTACTTATAAGACAGTAGTTGTGAGCAATGCCGGGGTTGTGAGTTCGAGCCTCACCTGGGGCAATTTTTTTTTCGTAACTTATAATTTATATAAACTTCTAATGAAAGTACAAAATGTGGACCTTTTCATTTGTGCGTTTTTCCTCGGTCCCTCCAGGCAAATTCTGGGTTAGCACCTTAAATTAGGCCACAACCACTTCCTTTCGATTTAACACAGTAAGCTCTGAGCTGCTGAAAAAAAGTGTTAAATAAACTGCAAAAAATGCCTTATTAAGAAAAGCAGTAAAATAAACTTCAGAAGCATGACAGCTTGAGTAGTTCATGTAAGTACAGAAACTTAACAATTTTTAACAGCTGACAGTTACTCGGCTAAACACAAAATTCCCTGCTTTTATAAAACCTGAATGCTCACAACAATATCCACAGAATTCTGCAATCTCACCTTATCTCAAGCCACTTCAAAGCAGATGCCAATCTCAAAACCTGTCATAATGCTGCATGGCTATGGTCTCACAATGTTTGGATTCTAAACTGTATGATAATAAGCATGAACAAAGCTGTGCCTCTCTGTATAAAACAAATCAAAATATGATGTCCACCCATATCATCTCTTTGTTTCATTACCCCAACACTGTAAATTAAGAATGGAAATTGTAAGGTTTCTTATCATGTAATTTTATGTTCTCTCTTAGGTCCAGATGTTTTCTTCAGAAGTCTCTTTTCAAACATTCATGTTCTTCCCTCACAGCGACAGACAACACCTCACACCCCTGCAAAACATCAGGTAAAATTGTTCTATATATTTTAATCTTTAGTTTTATAGAGAGGAAACAGGAACACAGATTCAAAACTGAATGGAAGCACATATTTAACAAATTTAATGTGCTTTATTTTGCAAAATTAATAGAATCTCAATAAATATTGTTTAATTAAGATAACACTACATATGATTCATAATTTTTTCTTTTATGAATGCTAACCCATACGGAATAAACAAGACATTTCAAGGACTGTAGAAAACAAATATAAGTATCTTCTGACTGAAAAATAAAAAATTCCTGTCATGTTATATAGTACAGTATAGTATACAGTCCATCAGTTATACAAATGACAATTATTTTTAAAGATTGAGAACTTTAAATATAGTATTTAGGAAAAATCCCTCATTTCTTGTCATGAAATTAAGAAAACCAAATCTCTGAATACGTCATATTCCAATCTTACATGAATAAAAATACGTGGGGATAACATAAGGTCTATGCTGTGACCTTTCAGCCACTCTACTGTAACAAATACAGCAGGACGTAACATGGAAACTAACTTAATAATGGCTTACACAGTTTTAGTGAATAAATATTTCATTTTCATAGATAGACAATATAGGCAGGGATGTTTTCCATGATGGACTACTGCTGTAATTTGTTGTGTGAATCATACTCCCAAGATTTTAATTCCATAACTGTAGAAAGAACATGCCTGAAATAAACAGTGAATTGTAGTTACAACTGGTGACAAGGAATGTTGATATTTTGTTGATCTGCAGACTAAATGGTATGGTCCCTAAAGTTTAAACTGAAATTAACCAGATTTCACTGTATTGTCATTTCATAATTTTGTACATGGGACTGACTCTGCTATTCAGTTATAATTAAAAAGGAAATGTATATAATAAATAAGGTAAAGATCAACTCTGTTTATAAAATTCACTGGAAGCACTTAATTAGAATGTGTAGCATGTGAAAATATTACAAATAATATAATTAATACAGTTGTGTCCACAGCTTTAAAAGTCACTGAATATTATACATAATATACATAAATCCATTTTTATCACATACTTGTCAATGTTTCATCAAAACCAAATACATTCAAGATCAGTTGGAAAATCATCATTAATATGAATGTATGAAATTATGTACATATTTACTGCAAAAAATCACTGAATGCTTGGATATTACTGTAAATAAAGTTCATGACATGAACTAAAAGATCACAGAAACAATTAGTAACGAAGTCAATGAATGTGAAATGTATGATTGGGGCATAATGTGTCACTTCACACAATTCAAACTGATAACACATTTTTCACTAACTCAAAGACATGCTGATTCATATAATGTTGGTTTGTCCTCTCATGTTGCTTGGGGACTGACTGGGTCTGGCCATCATAGATACCACCTGTAAAATAAAATAAAAAATAGTTACCAATTAATGTAATATCGTACATTAAGAGAGTAAAATGAAGGAAAATCTCATCGCACTTGAACTTAAAAACACCTAATTTGAACATATAAGAGTGATCAAATGAAATCAGTGAGATGGGTAAGCTGTGTACCACATATAGTGAAATGAAGAATGCATGCCAAATCTCCATTGGAGACCTGAAAAGAAGACTTTGCTTGGAGACCTACACATATATGGGAGAATAATATTTATTAAAACATATCTAAAATAAATGTAGTATGAGAGTGGGCTAGAATTATCTGTCTCAAGACAGGTACCAGTGATGTGCTCCTCTGAACATGACAACCTTTCAGTTCCACAAGAGGTGTAGAATTTTTTGAGAAACTGTGCTTCTCAAGAAGCCCTCTGCTCCACGCAGTCAGTTTTGACACATACGTACATTCTGAATTACTTGTCTTCTGAAAAAGTCTGATGTCATACTTGTAAGAGATGTGCCGAGTTTCTCGCCATGTCCAGTCTTACATTTGATGTACCCATAGAGATTGGCACCATTCAGTACAATTGCTATGCATATCAGTAACTGTAACATACAGAAGATTCACCATTATTTTTAATAAAAAAAAAGCCCCACTTGGTGATGCACTAGCATAAATTTTGCCCCTACTTAAGGGGTTAAGGTGGTTAAATTAAAGATGAACATGTAGAGTAGAGTACATGAGAAAAACAAGAAAAGCATAACACTTTTTATTGCAGAACCTTGTAATCAGAGACTGCTTGAAGTCATGTGCATATATGCAAAGATAATATAAAAACAGATCTTAAGACAAGTAGGTTTTAAAAATGTAAACTAAACTATAACTGGTTCCTTATTTATCTTTGCCAAATAGCTCAGTTTCATTAATTCCTTTTGAAACTTTATATAACAAAAACTATAAAATGAGCACAATTTCACTCATGGTAGTAGGACCACAATGCAATGGCATGTGATATGTGAAATTTTTAGTGTTACAGTCATTTCTTGTACTCACCAGCCATTTGAAATTGAGACCAATCAGGGCAATAAGAAAGAAAAGAACCCAAAGTACAGGACACAGAATTAGAGCCATCCAGAAAATTTGTGCTTCATATGGATTTATCCGATTCTGTTGGGTGCCCTGAAAAAGGGACCACATGACATTACACAAGTCACAGAAACATACTTCTACACAAAAATGGCAATGTTCTAAACAAAACAAGATTGTTTAATTAATTTCTTAGTTTCAACTAATAATTACTCCAACCTTTCTTGCTTCAAAAACCCAGTGTGATTTCCCTTCATCGTCAACATAGTTCCACCATCGCAGACCAACCATCAGTCGCCCTGTAAGCACAAGCAAGAAAATGGTTTTGACAGACATATTTGAATTCATAGTACTGAAGTGGAGTAAGGATACCCAAACATCACTCCATGAAGACAAAGAGAGGGTAAAGGTAAAACTTCATACTTTCTACATCTTGGTACCAGATGGAAGTAAAGAGTGCCTTGTGCGAATGACAATTTCTTCACTCTATAAGAAAGAGTTCACAGTATACAAGAAAAAGAGACTGGGTGGGCCCCAAAGCCAGTCACTATACTGACTGAATTATAAATCATCATTCAACACCATATAACCTATGCAGCTGAGAAATGATTGTAAAATAATCTTAGAAAAGCCTGCAATCTTCATAACACAAGTAGAGAATGTGTGGAATTCTGAACAACAGAAATTATCAAACAATAATGACTGCTTACCACAGAATCCAAACTTCTCACATTCTATTAAAAATACAGTACTAATATCACAAACTAATTACTTATAAAGTTTGGTGATGCCATAAAACACAATACAAAGATGTTGTACTAATCACAAAATTGTTGCACACATCGCATACCTGTAATATTCTTTACTGTCCAAAAGTCCACTGATAGAAGTAGGACCACAGTAACAAAACTTGCAATGAAACTGTTACTAAACAACCCACACAGCAAATATGCCACAATTGCTGATACTCTGAAAGCCAGGTGGAAAAATGTTACATATGGATGTCTGCAATAAAACAAAATATATTTTTACAAAACGTTTTCTCCAAATCTTGATAACAAATACATCTTTCATAAGGAACTAGAGTATACCATACTGAATGTTCATACATCTGCTAACAGTGTCATTTTTAAACTGCATTACAAACATGTGAAATACAAAAATGCTTTTAAACTGTTCTTTCACTGTGTTATGAATTGATCCAAATATTCTAGGACATAAAACAATGCTCGTATTATACACTTCTTTACAAATTTGAAGAGGCTCACAATGATCATTAAAAGTTTGTTACTCAAATAAAATCTGTCCTCATCAGATGGTGGGGACAGCGATTGTTACCGAAACGTTGGTTTCTTCATGAAACCATCTGAAACAGATGACTGCCCGAGATTTTACTAAAGTAAGTCACCGCGAAATCTTCATATCATGTGTTACTTACTTGAGTGATTTACTATTTGTTTGTATCTCCTCCTCCTCCTCCCCAAACCCCAGTGTGTCATCATCCAACAGTGGTGCCTAAAAGTATAAATGTGCTTCAAGTTTACAACGTATTTACAAACTTTAAATTAGTAACCAACATTATAATTTCGTTGTTAATAATACGTGTCTGACATAATTTGGTAACATGTTTCATATTTTAGTGGGAAACTCTTTCATATAGACATTTAAAGCTACAAAATTGAATATGTCCTGTTGCATAAACATTTCAAAGGCATTATAAGGAAACATGACAAAAACATAATTAATCTTTGGCTACAGTAAGAATGGAAAAATACATCACAAGAACTTCCACCTCACCGTCGCTGACGCCATGTTTTATGTTGTGTCAACTGTAGCACCTTGAGTCACAGATTTTAACGCTACTCCGCTCACACCGGAGACTAGAACGTAAATACTACAACATTGGTGATTATTGTTGCTACTAGTGGACCCTGGCGGTAGAAAACATGTCTATCAGACGCGGTCATTTTGATTGTAAACTCGGCCGATTAGACTAGTCGCCATTTATAAATTCCATTTCATCTTTAGCGTAAAGACACAAAGTATCGCTCCATGGGAGACCAAGTTGTAGCTGGAGATATTTATGACGAGGAAGAGGAAGAGAGCTTCTTTCAAGATGTTGAAGTACTTCAGTCTTATGGAATTGTAAGCTAAATGGCAAATTCCATATGACAAAGTTTTTCTTGGAAAGCTAATAGTCACTCATCTGATAAAGGAACTTCCTGCATTTTGTGATTTTTAAGGGTCATTACTCTGTAACAAATGAAATTTCACAATGTCAAATTCTGTTTCTTTATGTCACATTTCAATATCATCTTTTCATCCTCAGGTTTTCCAGCTGCATTATTGTATGTATTTCACATCCACCTTTCATGCTACATGATCTGCCCATTTTCTTTACCTTGATTTCATCACTATAATAATATATGTGAAGATAGCAAATTATAAAGCTCCTCATTGCACAATTTTATCCGTCTTCCTGTTACTTCCTTCTTTTTTGGCCCAGATGCTGTTATCAGACACTCCCTATGTATGATATAAAATTTCACACTTATATAAAACAAAATTTAAACTAGTTTTCAATGTTTTAGCCTTAGGGTTTAAAGATAAGAGATCAAAAACTGAATGGTAGTAATGATTCTCCAAATTTGAATTAATCTTAGCTTCTTTGTGAACAAGGGTTTCATTTATTACTGTCATTCCAAAATAGACATTACACAATTTTCATATATACATACTTTGCTATGCTTTCTAAGGTCTTATTACCTACTTAAATGCCCTATTTTGTTTCAGAATGTTGCAGACATAAAGAAATTGAAATCTTCTGGTATATGCACTATTAAAGGAATTAAGATGTGCACTCGCAAGAAGTTATGTAATATAAGAGGATTTTCAGAAGCTAAAGTAGACAAAATAAAGGAAGCATGTGCTAAAGTTGATACAGCAGGTTTCCTCACAGCACTGCAAGTTAGTGACCGACGAAAACAGGTGTTTCGTTTAAGCACTGGTAGCCAGGAACTGAAGTAAGTATTTCAAGACACTGTACAATATTAACCATTTTGGTGCCAGCCTCCAAACATTGTAGGTCTTACATAGAATTTTAGTTGTTTTTTTTAAAAGTTGGATTTAATGAATTATTGAAAAATTTTAATTGCTCAGGCTTATTCCCTGCCACAGGTGAATTTGTTTTTGCCTTTCTTTCTCTTTTTTTCTGCAAAGAAGATATTGTATATAGCAATGCAAAATGGCTGAAATATAAATGATCTATGGGAATTTATATGATACTTTATTAATGCTTTGAACAATCCTGGCACTGTAAGGATTAAATATTATCCTGTTATTTTATGGTGGTCTCAAATCTGTGTGAGGATGGAGAAGTTTTAGCTTTGAGGGAAAACAATACTGTGACCTTAGATATCGGCAGCAGAAGGAGAGATAGTGACAGTGTAGCTATAAACCCACTGGAAAATATTAACAATTACTTATCGTAAGATTTATTTATATAGTACCAGAATTTTATTATATACTACTAGACTTTTGACTTATGATCACCTCTTTTGTCTTCTTATTCTTTTTCCTAAGATGTTTCCACTTTATGTCAATAATCTGACTTGTCTTATTTCTAAGTATAAAATTGTAACTTGTAGTTTACTTAATGATACTTTACAAACTGTACAGGTCAGAAAAGATGATTATGAATGATACTTTTGAAAAGATGGCGTGTAAATAGGTGTGACATTTTCCAAATTATTATCCTAGCATTTGTGTGGTGATAATGAGGGAAACCATTCATGACCTCCTGAATATCAAGCACCATAACTTTCTGATATATTAACTCTTTTCTATACGTTACTATCCTGAGTGTTGTGCACACTTTGTAATGGAACTTTCCCTTTCAGCAAGCTTCTAGGAGGTGGCATTGAATCCATGGCTATCACTGAGGTGTTTGGTGAATTTCGCACAGGCAAGACACAGTTATCACACACGCTCTGTGTCTCAGCTCAGATGCCTGGAGAAAATGGATACATGGGAGGAAAGGTCATTTTCCTTGACACAGAACATACCTTGTATCCTTTGTTGGCATTTAAAAATGCTGTATCATTGAGTTGGCTGATGCCCAGTTAGAACCTTGACTATGGCCCTGATTATTCAGGCAGATTTAATGCAGGGAAGGATGACAATGATGGAGTACACTAAAGAAAGAACTAGGTTGCACTGACTTATTTTCCATAACTTTTTAACTTCAGTCGTCCGGACCGTTTACGTAGTATTGCAGATAGATTCAACCTTGATCAATCAGCAGTACTAGACAATGTACTGTATGCACGGGCTTATACAAGTGAACATCAGTATGAACTTTTGGACTATGTTGCTGCAAAGTTCCATGAAGAGGCAGGTGTCTTTAAATTGCTTGTAAGTTATGAGGTTATTATATGTTAGTTACATATTTTAAAATATTTTAATTTTTATTGACATAAACTAGGGTTGCCAGAAATTCTATATGTATGAAATCTTCTCTTTCAGTGTCTTGCCCAGTTTTATTCTGGAATGATCTTATTAACTCATAATTATCCTGAATTTGTGTGAAATTGATACATTGACTTGAAGGACAATACAAAATAATTATTATTGTTCAAATAAAATGTAACAGTGTTTTTATTTTTATACCTAAATAGTACCAAAAATTTGTGGAATAGTGAAGGGCAACATTTCTGAATAAGGTATCTTGTTTATGATATGCTAAATTTTAAGCGGCATCATCGCCACTTGCCATTAAACCTGTGCAACCATTAATGAGAATCTGAATCCAGAGAGCACAGGTTCTTTGAAGTTATTTAAATAAATTCATGCATGGAAAGTGATTAAATAAGAAGATTTACTGGCACCACACTTAATATTACAAGTATTTAAAAGTGTATGTTTGGGATAATTTGATGTTTCAGATCATAGATTCAGTGATGGCACTGTTCCGAGTAGATTTCAGTGGACGAGGAGAGCTGGCTGACAGGCAACAGAAGCTGGCACAGTTGTTGTCCCGACTACAGAAAATATCAGAGGAATACAATGTTGCAGTATTCATAACAAACCAGATGACAGCTGACCCAGGGGCCACACTTATGTTCCAGGTGATGTGATTTTGTATGAATCTTTTAAATGTAAAATATTTGCTTTACTTTTGTTCATATTAATCTTATTTTAACTCTTGCCCAATGATTCTCTTCCCTCTGGGCTACAATAACAGGATCAGGAATGGGATTATCAAATGATGAAATGTTGTATGCACAGAATGTATCATAAATGTGTGTCACAAGTATACGGAGGTTTGTATGGTCAAGAACAGATAACAGCTCCTTCTCATATAAGGAAAGCACTAGTGGGAAAATAGGCAAAAATGGAGAATACTTTGGAAACATAAGTGAATTTAGATGGCGATAAGTGTAGTCTTGTAGTTTCACCCATCATCCACATACCTCTCTGTCCATTAACCACACTGGAATATTTTGTTTATTATCTAAATTCGAAGTGATATGACTTTGATAAAATTCTTAATCTGAATTAACTGCTTTCAGGCTGATCCAAAAAAACCAATTGGAGGCAATATTTTAGCTCATGCTTCTACCACTCGAATTGCTCTGAAGAAAGGAAGGGGTGAAACACGAATTGCTAAAATATATGACAGGTTAGTTTGACATAAGAATGATTACAAGAGTAAATGTTCCTAGAGATTGAAACATAAGATATTTTAATCAATTAAACACTGATGCCTCCATCCAGTATATGGAGCATCTTGAGCTGGGATAACTCAGTCAGTGAAATGATTGTTCATGAGCTAGATGACTGGTCATAGGTCATTGTTTGGGTCTGGCACAGTAAGAATGTTTCTCTTTCACACAGTATCTGGACTGGCTGTGGGGTCTACTTTACCTTTTATGTAACAGGTACTGGGTAAAATGGTCAAGTTAATTATTGTTATTGTAGCAAAGGGGGCAGATATGTTATTATGGAATTATGGCTGCTAATGGGCCTTTTAGTTAGTTAGTTAGTTAGTTAGTTAGCCATTCTGTTATTTGATTAGTTAGTTATATTCTTCACTGATTATTTACTCAGCTACTTACTTATCTACTTGGTGCATCAGTTACTTGGTCATTTAGTTAACTAATATCTTAGTTACCTATATTACTAGTTAACTTGTTGCTATTTGAGAGCTAGTTAGCTGTATATTTGAGAAGGTGAAAAGGGATAAGTATATCTTTACATAGGAAATAAATTGCAGATTAATGTGTTCTCCTCCACAATAATTAAATATTTATTTTCTTTCCACCAGTGTCCTTTTGCTTCGTCCCCTGACAAATAATTTATCACCCTTTCTCATCTAAGTGTGCCTTACCAGGTGTTTTCCCTTGAAATTACAGCCATTGCGATAGTTACAGCTCCCTGAGATCATACTACTCATTCCATGAGATTCTAATGCTCTGAATAAATTGTATTTCCATCCATTTTTGTCTTGGAGTTGTGTATTAGGCAAGTTAAAAAATGATACTTTCTTTCCATATTTATAAATGGACTACATTTAGGTAAATTTTCAGCTGTGTGAACCTTATCCATGTGTGTGCCATATTTATGCTGTGATTATTATTATTCAATTTTTATTAAGGAAAGGCAGCTGAACTCTGTTAACAGCTTCTTTAGGGTATAAAATGCACATTCTGTACTTTTTCAGCCCAGACTTACCTGAGAGTGAAGCTACATTTGCTATAACAGTGGGTGGAATTGCTGATGCAAAGGACTGATTTAGTGTAATTTGGTTCAAGTGTTACAATGGACTAGATAAATATTTGAAGACTTAGATATTATTTCAGTGATTAAATGTATTTGTAACAGAGTACAGTACTATCTGATTTCTTAGTCATGGTTGCTGGTATATGTGTGATGGGAAATATGGCAGGAATGGTAAGAGTTGTGTTTTGTCTGTCTGAAGACAGCATTAGAATGAGAAGGTGACACTCAAGAACAACTTGACTTTCTTACAGCTTGGTCTTAGTTAACTCTAATTCCAATTAAATCCCCACTCTCTGTTTGTGGAGTTGATGAAATCCACTGTTTGTTTACTTGACACCAGTGGACTATTAATATTTCATATAACATGTAATTCTTATCAAATTCCATTACATTTGTGCCTCAGTTATATACAATATATTATTACTTACTTATCCTGAGGTCATATTAAACATTATATGAGTGTATAGGAAAACTATGTTTTCCATTAGGCTTTGTGATTTTAAAGTGTTATTTTGATGGACAGATATAAACAGATATGTAACAGTGAAAGTTATTTGCTACAATTTTGGATTTGAATGTAGGACCAGTGGAAGAATATTGTTATAATATAGTAGGCTTCCAGAACTTACAAATGTTTTCTGAAATATAGCTATAAGTCCACATAGTGTCACATCAACATCTTCACTACCACCAAACATCATGGTCAAGTAGTTAACACTCCTGCTTTGTATTGGGAAGGTTCTGGGTTCAAATCTTGGCCCAGATACCAGCTATTGTGACTGGACTTTTTCATGGTTTTCCTCAGTCCTTCCAGGAAAATGCCAGGATAGTACCTTAAATTAGGCCACAACCGCTTCCTTCCACATCCTTTCCAATTCACTTTCATTCTCACATTCAACGCTATATAGTCTGAGCTACTGAAAGTGTCATTAAATAAAACAAATAAAATAATCTTTACTGCTGTGAGAGCCTCAAATCTCACAATATGAATATTTCTGTTTACCCTGTGACTATCTGCAAAATAAACAGTGCTCTTATTCCTATTTGGTATGGGCTCTTATTTTTGTAAGAATGCTTTTCTTACAAAAATAAGAGGTAATTATTTGTATGAGCAAATAGAATAAAATGCCTACCAGAGCATAAAGTAATGTCCATTAAACATAAGAAATTATACACAGTATTTGTTAAACTAACACTGAAATATTATAGTGAAAATGGGTATGGGGTGACATGATTTTCAGTTTTCTTACAATAAAATTAATACATTGATCTGTTCCACATCTTAATTAATAACTTTCCATGGACTGCATATAATCTACAGCCAATATCTGTCTTATCTATTGTATATTACTTCTATATGTATATTGGTTTTAAAATCTGTATATTGTTTGGAATTGTTCTTAAATATTGCAACAGATGGGATACATAGCAATGATATCTGTTTTTTAATTAATTTCAAAGTCCTACTTATGTAGCATTTCAGAAATAAGTTATTCTCACTTGGCATTACTCATTATTTAAATTAGGCACAACATGTCACATGTGGCACTCTTTGATGGCTATGCAACCTGACTCACTTCTTGAATTATACTCAATATGTGACCCCCAAATGTCTCAATGCTAATAAATTTTAACTTTTAAATGCATGTAGAATAGCCATTTGTGTACCATTGTTTTATGAGGTGGAAATATGTTTCAATGAATTTCACGTGTTTGTGGTTGAAGATTTTCTGAGTTGTTGCGCTCTGTTGTTTGGTGGCAGTTTAATAACACTTAAGAGGTACTTGTTGTTTCCATCATCAGGGCAATGACTCAAATTAGTTGCTTGGCTTTCTTTATTCAAAGGGCTTCAGATCGCTGTACAAAGCCCTGATAATGGAAGCAGTAAGCACCCTGAACCGTCCATAAACTTCTGCCTGATTTTACTACCCAGAAGATATCCATTTTCATACTGAACGCCTTTAGAACCTCGATTGCAGTCCTTTCGTACATTATATATTTATAACCCATGAATGATATGAGGGGTTATGGAAAAGGCCATGATTGATAAGCAGTGGTAATCCGGGAGTACATACTACCGTATGTTCTGTGGGTACAGGCCATTAGTCCTTGTCATGTCATATGTCAGTGGTAGGTAACCTCGCTGTTGTGTAATTATGGGCATAAAAATGCAGCAACGTTAGCTATCGCTAACTGTTCGTTGCGTATCGTCTGTGTTCTGATTTTTATTATCTGTGATCCGTAGTGTTGGGCGATGAGTTTCAAAAGTTGAATGTTTTTAATTGCAGTCATGAGTGAAGAAAAAGGGAATCAAATTCGTGTGTGGTGTGATGGGTGGTATGACATTTTATTTAATATTCGTCAAAATTATTATTTTGTTGAGAGAAACGATTCTTGCATATTTAATAAGCATATCAGGTAGACTGAGGTAGGCGTATTTGGAAACTCTAATCATTAGAATTTAGAATTGTGGATAATGTAATCCCGACTGAGTTTACAGCAATTGTAATTGAAGAAGTGGAATTTGCCAATACCAATTGCCATGCTGTAGATTCTATAGATTATAATAATTTTATGACGAGTAAGACTCGGTGATTTTAATTTTGGTTACATAATTTCAGCTACGATATGGTCCATTTTGGACATGCAAATTCACTGCGGCAAGCCAAAGCCCTCGGAGATTATCTTATTGTTGGAATCCACAGTGATTATGAAATAACTAAACATAAGGGACCTCCAGTATTCACAGAGGAAGAAAGGTATTTATAGTTGCATTACATCATTGAATATATTTTCTACAGTTTTAATAAGATGTGAAAAGTTTTGTTTTCATAACATGTTATGAGATTAAATTCAGTAAACAAGGTATTCACAAATTATAACATGCGAGAAGTTGCTTAAAAGAACATTCAAAAGTCACTGCTGTTTATATTCGATCTATTATGGTTTTAGATACAAGATGGTGCGTGGCATAAAGTGGGTTGATGAAGTTGTAGAGGGAGTTCCATATGTCACAACACTAGAAACACTGGATAAATATCACTGTGACTTCTGTGTCCATGGAGGTAAGCAAACAGCATGGTTTGGTACACAATGTTTGAAACCTGGATGTTACAGTTTTCATATTTTTGTGTTGTATTCCCATGTAAATTATCTGTCTCAGCTGGGATACTAACAATCCAGACTGAGATTTTTGTTGTCTTACCTAAGTCCCAATATTCTGGAACAATCCTATATAGTCCACTATGTAATCATCCATTTCAGTAATGATTGTTAGTTACACTTTTTGCCATAGTGTTGCCCAAATCATATACTTTTAATGGCTGATGTGATCACAAGTTGTCTTTAATATTCTATGGCAGTCTTTCCCAATGGATTTCTGCTGACATTCAGGTTTATTCAGCATTTGTTATTGATTTACCATTAGAGAAATGCCCAGCCCATTTGAATACATGAAGTTTGTGGAGCACGGTTTGGGAATTAGTGTGCTATCGTGTTCAGAATCTGCAGAGTTGGGTGGGTCAGGACATTGATGAAAAAAGGTGGAGGAGAACAGGATGAAAAAGATGATAAAAGAAGACAATAGAAGGAGAAAGTGAGGTTAATGAAAATGAAATAAGTGGAGGGAATACAAGTATGAAGATGAGGATATTTCTCCAAAGTGTTGGCATCTATTTATGAATCTAGATGGCACCAAAACCCATCACCGTCCTCACTGCTTGTAAGGCTCCCAAATCTCACCTAGATAAACTCTTCTGATACCATGAGGATACACTAAATTTAAATTATACTTTAAAAGTTTATGTTATAAAAATTGTAACTGAGACCCATATCGAAGCATCAGCCCTTTGCTGCAGATAGAGTGTAGTAATGTTAAGTGCCGCTGCCACACTTAACATGTTGATGCATAGTATGTGATGGATATTACAGGGAACATCAGGATTAAATGGTAAAAAGAAGTTAATGCTTTGAGTGATTTTTTTTGTTAAGAAATTCCATTAAATGAATGTATTGGTTTTAAATTTTGTTTTCCAGATGATATTACAATGACTGCTGATGGTGTTGACACATATCATTTAGTTAAAGCTGCGGGCAGATACAGGTATGCTTTTTTTCTACTTTGTGTTATTTATAGGTAGTACATCTTCAATAATACATTGATATAGTAATAACATAATAGACTTGTATTCGAGATATACCCATTTCAAATTTTGACTGGTTTACCAGCTATGCTGGCAAGTTTTTTAATGCTTTTCCTCAGTCCTTCAAAGAGAGTGCCATGATACCAGATTGAAATGAGCCATGACTTTCTTAATTCAGATAATCTACTCATCATTCTCAATTTTTCATATCTTTTAGTGCTATATAAATATAATTAAATAAATGTGAATATTTGCTGCTGGGGTTTTAAGTTTCAGTTTAAACCTGTAATCCTAAACAGCATGTCCAAAAGAGACCAACACACAGAGGTTCTATAGGAAAACATATACTTAAATCAAATGCATTTTCTAGATCTGTAAATGTTTTACATTTTTATGTAAAGATTTGTGGTAGTCAGACAGTATTTCTTGGTCTATGAGTAATAATCATATTTAGAACAAAATGTATCTTTTATTATTATCTTGCATTTCACCCTTTGGTTATGAAGACATGTAAGTTAGGAGGAGTGAAAATAAAGCTCTACATATTCAGCAGTGGATGGAAGTGAATGGTGAGCTTCACACTCTGACTATATAACTTAATGTGCAGCAGTGTAATGTAGAAAAGGGTTTGAATTATCTGGTCATATAGCATCACGATTCAGTAAATTTAAATGATGTTGCTTATGGTTAAATTGATGGTCTGTGTTTTTGTTATTCTGTTCTCCAGTTTTATGCCTAATTGTCATTTGCCTACATATCTTGTTTTAGTCTTTGTCTTCTGGAAAATTATTCCATCAACTGTCTTATTCCAGTTGGTAACTGTCAGACTCACCACCAGTTGTGGCAGATTTGTTTTAGGGTCACCATCCTGCAAGGAAATGGTTGCTATCTATGTTTAATTTGTCCTTCATTTTACTATTTGTACACCCTATGATGAAAAGTAACTTTATGGGTCACACAAAGGAAGTACCCTATGCCTGAAGATGGAGGCAGAGGCAGTCTCTGAAACATCATGGATTTTAATATTTTAATTTTTAAACAACAGACAATGAGTAAGGTCCAAACAAAATATTATAATAATGCAGTACACCATGTCCATAGACTTCAGAATGGTGCTACTGTTACTCACACCTTAGAAGTTTATACTACCTGCATATTGGTATTATTGATGGAAGTAAATTTAAAAATTCTGAAGTGGGGTGACTTATAATGGCATGGTGTCTATGCCAGGGAAGGTGTGTTAGTTTATTCAGGAGTTATTTAAGGGAGAGAGACACAAGTATTATGTAATTCTAGGCATATCATTTATAAAATATTGTAGTAGATTTTATATGGAAAGATAGGTAGTGATTGCTTTTTGGGAATGATGTTCTGCTATACCTCTAATATTTTAAGCTTTCATGGTAACTGAATACAGTTAAGTCTCTTGGACAGTCAGCTGTTTAAATACTGAGTTACAGTTCAACATTTACATTACCAAAGTTGGTGTAAGAGTAATAAAACTGCCTATTGTGTTTGTATCCATGACTCATACAGCCCCATGTCCTTGTTTATGATGAGCTAACAGAAATGGTGAGAAGAGTCTGGTGGCCAGTCATTCCAATCATCACACAATCTTTGTTGCTTAATGGCTGTACTTTGTTAGAGTATATAGGTGCCTGAGTTCAGGGATCAACTGAGAGTATATCCCATGTCTCATCATAACCCTCATGATGAGGTAAAGACGCTCTCTGAAACATTTGATTGTAACTCCATACTTACACAGATGATCACTCAAGAAGACTTCATTAGTGTAAATACCATCCAGAATTTAACTGAAGTTCACATTTTACTGCTTGGTGGTATTTTTATCCTAAAGGAAGACAGTATATTTTCTGTTGTGTTGGAAAATCTGCTTGCAAGGTATATTGTATGTTGGTGAAAGTTCATGTGGTTTCTTTGTTCAGAGAAGTTCAGAGGACAGCAGGTGTGTCTACTACTGATCTTGTGGGGCGCATGTTGCTTATGACACGGCAGCATTTCCGTCAGGGACCGCTGGAATATGATGTTGGCCATGAAGGTTCATCACAGTTGGGTCTGGACTCTGATGCCAGAAGCCCATACACAGGCTGTTCACAGTTCCTGCCCACAACACAGAAGATCATTCAATTTAGTGATGGAAAGCCACCCAAGGTACATTTTCTACAGGTTGAGAAAACTTCTGATGCACCAAGCAGTTTATTTTGTTATTGTTTGTTAGATAGGAATGTGTTAGAATGGCGTAATGGAAATAAAAGCTGACAAATTTACAACAGCAGAGAGACTGAGTGTGTGGTGGTGAAAATTTGTAGTTCTGCCAATACAGACTGCAACTGTGAAAATGGTGCAGTGTAAGGAGATGATGTCAGTGTGGGATAAACAGGATTTAATATCATGGTGAGATATACAGACCAAAGACATCCCTGTTGTGATCATAAAGTGGTTGAATCTGAAGTAATGTCACACTGTAACGTTTCTAAAGTTGGTAATTGTTATGTGCATGTTAGTGCCATAATTAATGTCACATGTTTAATTAGTGTACACCTTATGGGAACAACATGTTTGTCTGTCTGTTTATTTCTCTGTTTGCTTGTTCATTGTGTCTTTCAGCTGAAAGTTTGTGCTTATGTCTGTTAATAGGAATATGAACTATTAATTGTGCCATCTGTCAGTGGCATTGAACTATTTTATATCACTCCCATTGTGGTATCCTCTTTGGTAATGCTGTCATGGAGAATGGTGATCATTAAATGATGTTTTTCATGATAATAGTTATGATTATTTAACCATGATTTCTTTTGTGTTCGAGGATTTTTGGTAACATTTGTTGACATATTCTAGTTTTGGTTCACATCAGACAATAATGGGTGCTTTATGTGAAGACCTATGCAGCTGACAGCTTTGTTGTATAACGTAAGACATTTCAAATGTTTTTTCTAACATTTCACAGGCTAATGACAAGATTGTGTATGTGGCTGGAGCATTTGATCTATTTCATGTTGGACATTTGGATTTCCTTGAGAAAGCCAGAGCAGAGGGAGACTACTTGATCGTTGGATTACACACTGATCCAATAGTGAACAGATACAAGGGTAGTAACTACCCCATCATGAATCTTCATGAGAGGGTGCTTAGTGTGTTGGCTTGTAAGGTCAGTACTTCATGTTTTTAATATTCAGTTACTCAGTCCTCAACTGCACTTACTGGTTACATTTTCATTAAATTGCTTGTTAATGGTGGAGAAAGGAGACTGCTCATCTGATTACCATTTCTGCCATATAAAATACCTGTCATATTTTAATTTCAAAGCACAAGAAACATGCATTTTCTGATTGAATGTTTACCATTGTTTTGAGGTGAAGATAAATGTAACTGCACACAAGTATCTCTCAAGTACAAAGACACGATGTCTTGCCTGTAAGTTGTAACTAAAAGGAACTGTAACTGTTAACGCAATGGTTTGTGACTTGTGTCTAAGCAGCGGCTAGCAAGAAACTAGCAAGGAAAATCTTTTGGAATAACAGTAGGTTAAGCATATCAGTTACCGCCATGGTGGTCTAGAGGTTAGAAAGCTGGCCTTGTAATCCTGGGGTCCCGGGTTCGATTCCCGGCGGTGCTCGAATTTATAACTTGTGTTGGGCAAGGCCGTGGTCTAGGCAACACGGAGTTTTCCTCCTGGGTTTCTCCATGGCATCCGAACTCCATACACACAGAAGAAGGCAATGGCAAACTACTTCTGTATCACCTGCCTAAAAAACATATATGAACAGGTCCCAGTCCAAGAAAAGGATGGAAGGATCCTACTCATAATATTTCGCCAACCTCCTGTAAAGGAGACAGTGTAATAAAGAAGGACCAAATCAGTTAATATGGTGACTGGAGTTGTATCGTTTGAGGCGAGTGTTGTAAGTATTTTGCCAGTAAGCATGGTTTTAAGATAATGTAATGTGAGAAAATGTAAATTGAAATCCCTTGGAAAGAAGATTCTGAAGAAAACACTTGGATCTAAGATGAATTTTGTGAGTTATACGTATCATCTAATATTGTTGTGATAATAAAATCAACGAATTGGACATGCATCTCAGAATTGAGGAAAACAGGATATAATTTAGATATTGAATATTTCCATCTTCTGGGTTGTTGCGCTGTGTAGTCTGGTCGATGTTAACCAACGTTTCAGAGGTCATACTGCCTCCGTCATCAGGGCATATTCATCGCCAGACACACCTACACAGCGCAACAACCCAGAAGACGGAAATATTCATACTCACCGCTGTGAGAACCTCAAGTCTTACAATTTAGATATTGATGGGGAATTCTTTTAGAAAGTGGCCACTTTGAAGTCCTGAAGGGATGATAGTATTAAACAGTTGTGTATTCCTTTGCCAGGTAACACTGTGCTTCATGTTCAGTATGTTTTTTGTTCAAATCATTTGGCCATGTGGCATGCCTTTCAAAGTAGGGTACAAGGGTTTAAGATATTCTGTGAAAGAGGAGACAGAACCTCTATTCATATGCACAGTCTTACCTTAACAGAAGTTAGAAAAGGCATATAGAATGTAATGTTCAAGGGTGACCTATGTTATTCTCTTATATGGTAGCATTTTTCATGAGGGCAACAGTTTTGTCTAGGCATGAGATAAACCATATTCATCCGGCCTAAAGTTTTAATTGTTAGAGAATTATGTTAAATAAAATATAATAATGTTAATGTGTGATTTATGCATGTTTTAATTTAATTATTCTCTGTAAAGAATGAGAGAACATTGGCTTGCTTGCCTGCAGTATGTTTCTGAGGTGGTGATAGGAGCTCCATATGCTGTGAGCAAGAACCTGATGGAGCACTTTAAAGTGGACCTGGTATGTCATGGTCAGACACCCATCCAGCCTGATGCAGATGGTTCTGACCCTTATGCCAAGCCAAAGCAGCTGTGTAAGTTTAAATTATTGGACTCAGAGAACACTATGACAACAGAGAAGATTGTGGACCGAATCATTCGTCACAGGTACAATTGTAAATATTCTGCATAGCGTTGGTTCCTAACATGTGTTCGGCGAGTTAAGTTATGCCATTCTTAAAACTGTGGTTATGATACAACAGTTCCATTTTTATTTTTGTTACTAAATAATTTGTGTTGAACACACTCCTTTATTTGTCTCTTCCTTTTGTGATGTTTAATGGTGTGACTAGCTGAGTGGTTATGAAAGGGACAAACAGTTTCAGGGGTTGATCTCTACACCTCTCTGAAATGGGTAGGTGGGTCCTGCAGATCCTTGAAAGATTGTTATGTCTAAACAGTTTCAGTTATTTTTAATTGTGATTGTTCAGGGTAGATAGTTATATGCCTTCACTTTTTAACACCATATTAAAGTGTTAAATTCTAAGGTGTAAATAAGCATGTATTGAATGTTATAATAATTACGTGGGTAATTGTACTGTGTCATGAAGATACAGTGCTAGTCTGTGAATCGGAAGATACTGAGAAGTAGTTCTCAGTATCACTCTTATATGAGCACTTCAGAAGTTTCATCTATGACAGTATCAGCATATAATGAATGGTTTTCACAAATCATTTGCCCTAGGTGTAGTGTTTGTACCTATCGTACATAGCAGATAGGCAGTATGGTGGTCACACTGTACTGGCCTGTAGACTGAGATAAGAGCATGAGTGTGGTTACAGTGATCAAATTCAGTATGTTGGGAAAAGTGTCATGTGTGCATAACCTTTTAAAGTTTTAGGGGCCCATGCCCTAGCTATGAAATTGTTTAAACGGTGGGTGAATGCCATTAACTCTGGCATAGTCAGGGGTTCCCAGACTTCATCACTAAATGTACCCATTAAAGAAGTGTGTGGATGTCTGGTCTAAGTTATGTGGTTCACCCTTTTCTGTATTCTTCACTCATTCCAGATGTGTACTTAACGTGGCACATCCCTGTGCTACCGAAACTTTATACATTGTCACAGATATTTCCCTTATGAATCAGAAGGAAAGATAGCGTGACTGTTAACCTCAGACATGTGAATGGAAGAGACCACAGGAAATAACATTTCACTGAGGAATCAGCATCACCACTGTTACTTTTTGTGAATTCACACTAAATTAGCACATTAAAACTGCCAATTTTTTACTGGAAACATCATGAAGCAGAACATCTATGTTTCATGCTTTCTACCTTTCTTGGTTCCTTGCTAGAAAGAAAGGAAGGGTTGGTGCACCACTAACATTGATTTTTTTACATGTCATGTGGTTAAAAATTTCTTTGGAATGAAATGCTGTTCCCAGGTTGGAGTTTGAGGATCGGAACCGTAAGAAAGAAAAGAAGGAACTTCAGGCATATAAAGCGACCCACAACTTGACTAATGAAACTCATTAAAGCTGAGACTTTAGTATTTCTTGAACATACTGAAATTGGAACAGATATCATATATTTATTATGCAAGATGATGCCAGGAAGTGCTACAGTCTTGCCATTCCATGTGCAGTTTGACCAAAGAATCATCAGTTAGTTTGATAATGTTCATGTTCTTATTAACATTGCTACATCAAAAGTAGGAGTTGTACCAAATGGTTATTTTATTATATATAACCAGTAAATTTATATTGTAAGTTACAGAATAAATGTGGTTCTTAATTTGGAATTGTGTTTTAAGATGGGACTTTTAAAACCATGAACAGTTCTGCATTAAAGTAAGCTGGATTGTTTGTACTGTTAAAATGTATTGCAGTCCCATCTGAAAATACAGGGTTGCCACTTAGTCATATCTAAGTTTTGAATTTACTGCTTGATTATTTTTAACTTTAATGCTAGAAATATATTAACTAATATGGTGTTCTGTGGTGAGAGGAAAAAAAATCACGTGGTTCATAAAATCAGCGTATTTCCTCTTTGTCACCTCTTTGTGAATGGCTTTCCTCTACATCCTATCTTATAATTTGGTATCTGAGACTTTGTCCTTGCTAGTAAAACAGAGCATGAAGTTGACAGCTTACCTTTGTCTAGTGCTGAAGTCATGGATGTGTACACCCACACTACCTATATTCAGCGCAGTGTCCATGTTACCTTTGTGTCATAAATTAACAGATATTTGTTGATGCTCATAAGTAATATTATCTTTTATATAATGGTAAATTGAAATATGTGAAGTAGTTTCTGTCACTTTTGTGTACCCTCAAGTAGTTGAAATTATTAGCATGTATGTGATTGTCATGTAGGAATGTGAGTAAGAATAAATGAGGGCACACTCAGATTTTAAATTCTGTTGATGTAGAATCATTAAATCGTTTAGTTGGCAACCCTGAGATAGAATGAATTGCAGCTTTGCATATGAAATAAATGTGATACTGTTGCCTGTAGCTTTAGCTGTGAATTTACATCATGCTCAAATTATGTTATTAGAATACTAGGCATTTAAATGCAAGCTGTCTTAATAGTCTATTGGTGCTTCAGTGAAGATTGGAAAACTGACCTTTATTCAAGAAAATCTTTCATAGTGTGTGAAGAAGTGTTTCTAAGTAGATGAAGGGAACAGAGTGACAAAATTGTTTCTCAAAATTACTATACTCTAGTCTTCTTGGTGTAGTACCATGTCAAAATAGTACAAGGAGCAGAAAAAGATTTGCTTTGAAGATAAAAGTAGTTCAGATAACAAAACATCATTGGTTAGTCTTGATCATTAGCTGGATGGATGATCATTTCAGATCACCACTTGCTATTATTATGTGTACAATACTTTTTAATATTACTGTTTGTAACTTAGCTTCATTTGGGTTTAACAGTTCATGACAGTCTGTTATATTCCTGTATATACACTCTTCAGAATACTTTTCCACCACTGATCATATAGAGAAAGGTAGGAAGTAGCTCCAAAATATTGATTGCTTTTACCAGTATGAGATGTTGAAATAACCAGAAAATTCTGCATTGAAAAAACACAAGTTTCATGCTGTAATATTTTTTTATTTTGTCACTATTGTAAGCCCTAGAAAGTGGATAACTCTCATAGGATTCCATTGCAGAAAACCAATTTACATAACGTTACTTTACAAGAAAGTGTGTTGGAAACATTTTAAATTTTCCAGAAGTAGAAAGTACAAGATATTTATCATTATAATTATATGTTTCTTTTATTGTTTTTAATGTATAGATGCATTTTTATTATAAAATACATTGTTTTATGATTTAGATTAGCATATAATATTTTGTTAAAGTAATTGTTTATGTACATAATGTTGGGTGAGTTCATAGGTTGGATATAAATACATGGAATTAGATTATGTAATGAATTTTCAGAGATATTAATAATATATCACTATGCCATGTTTAAAATGTATGGTTAACTGTTATTCGTGAGTTTAAATAGCAGAGATATAAATTTATGCTTTAATTTTAACTTTTTGTTTGAAGACAGTCTTACAACTTCTGTTATATTCTAAGATGTATTATATAAAATTTTGTAATCCATTTTCAGTGTAGGTCTTTTTTGCTCCTTTCTCACTGCTGGGAGGAGTACTTGTGAACTACAGAGGTGTAGACTTCATACTAAAGTTTTTCATCCCGCTAAATTTATTTAGTGTGTTTAAAATAGTATATCTGGCCACTATTTGCAGATTGTTTGCAAGTCTCTGCTATAATTTAAGTAGTGTCATTTAATCAGTAATTGGTGGCATTGTAATAGAACAAGATTGGAAAGTTGCATTCCATACCAGAGTACAGAGATTTTTTTGCATGTATTCTTTGTGCCGTGGTATCCTCTGTTTTCATTTGGTCTGAATAGCTTTTGTCACCAAGTAAATGTGAATGCAAGATTTTTAGATTTTGACTTTCAAATTTACTATTTTGTCTGTTTATCAGAGATTGTAGAGAGGATATCTTAGTTTTAAACAGCAGACCTTGACTTTCATGTAATATATATTGACATTTCACGTTATCTATTAATTTAAAAAAATATTTTTAAAATTAAACATTATGTTAATTGCACAGACACTTTCAGCTGAATCTTTAGTAATCATGTGTTCTTAATATAATGTTTAAGTATTGCAGATTAGGAAAAATAGTTTTGCTCAGGGAGTAGCATTATGGACTGTTGTGCAGGTGGTCATACAGCAATTAGTAGTAGTAGTTACGAGTATTTATTTCTTTGACCTGATGATGGAAATATAATTTTCGAAACATGTCGCCTTAAGTGAAGACCATTACGTAACATTAATTAGTTGCATCAGACTGTGTTTTATTTGAATAGTTTTTTTATAGAATTAGTGGGAACAAAATTACTATAAAATATCCTGTCTCATTTATATTAATTTCACCTAGCACATGGCATCAGACCTCCCAGGTCACCAATAATTAGCTTCAATTTTTGAGTTTTAATTCTGAAACTCCTTCCAAGAAGAAAACAACTGAAGATTTCTGTATTCTGGGTTGTTGCTCTGTGTAGTCTGGTCGATATTAACCAACATTTCAGAGGTCATACTGCCTCTGTCATCAGGGCGGTGATGACAGAGGCAGTATGACCTCTGAAATGTTGGTTAATATCGACCAGACTACACAGAGCAACAACCCAGAATACAGAAATCTTCAGTTGTTTTCTTCTTGGAAGGAGTTTCAGAATTAAAACTCAAAAATTGAAGCTAATTATTGGTGACCTGGGAGGTCTGATGCCATGTGCTAGGTGAAATTAATATAAATGAGACAGGATATTTTATAGTAATTTTGTTCCCACTAATTCTATAAAAAAACTATTCAAATAAAACACAGTCTGATGCAACTAATTAATGTTACGTAATGGTCTTCACTTAAGGCGACATGTTTCGAAAATTATATTTCCATCATCAGGTCAAAGAAATAAATACTCGTAAGATCCTCTAAGTTACAATGTTAATTAGTTAAAACCATTTATCTTTTAATGGTATGTATTTCAGTGAACAATTTTTTTTCATAACCTATGGAATACACTGTTACAAGAAGCAACTTTGTAAAAGTGTATGAAAAACTACTTTTAAGTATGGTTTAAAACCTGACTTGAGAGGTTAAGGTGTTTCACTACTTTCTTATTTTCATTACTGTTAGATGTCTACCTGCTCAGATGATGGTGGCTTAAAAATTTCACCACATGAACTCAAAAATATATTTACTTCTTAAAGTACAATTTTGGGATATTTATAGAGAGATTTTGTGATAATTTTGAGGCATTTATTTTAAGTGTCTGTATTAACATTGTACAACTGTTTGAGTGTATGAAATAGCATGTTAATCATGAGTAATGAGAAACATGAAGGGATTAGGATAGAACTCATTAAAATGCATTGCTGGCTGTGTTGTGTGCCATAGATTATTATTTGGGTTAGGTTTTGTTATGTATATTATTTTGGGGACATAAGCAGTAATATAGAGGTAACTTTATTCAATAAAAACAGCAGTTTTTGTTTTGTTGAGTTCCATACTGTAATAACATGCTGGAAGAACTAGTCTTATGAATTAATGACAAGTTAATTTGCTGTTTTTGTTTAATTGAAAATGTCATGTTTTAATCAAGGGCAATTATTTTTATAAAGGACAAGAGTTATTCTTTGTTTTAGTCATGTAATATCAACATTGTATATTTTCTTGAAGTTCATTCACATCCTATTGTAGTTGAATGAGTTCAAATGGAAGAAAAAGAAGTCTTAAATTAGTTAAGTTATTTCTTCAAAGCAATTAAATAATATAAAAGGCTTATAATTCATATCATGACAATTTGTAAAGGCTAACACTGCTAACTCATAGATTTACACTGAAAAGGATCAAAGTCTTCACTTTTCTTAAACATTAAAATAACAGAGAGTTGTTCAATGATAACATTTGAAAGCATAATGTGTTACTACTAGCTTGTTGCAGGAAATTTGCGGTGCTGAAAAGTGTTTACTTGAACTGGGTAAAAATAAATCTCTTATCATTATACTACAGGTTTACACAACAGTGAAATTTGGATTGTAGTCTCTGAGGAATGACACTGAGTATTATTATAGGAGGTTACCAGCATATGAAAGATCCTGTCACCTCCGTCTTCTACCCTGAAGGTGTAAGTGATACATTCCTCCAAAACTTTGGTAACCACCAAGGCTTCATAATCCAGAATATCACAATCGGGGATTATTTACATTCCGCAGTCCAGAACAGAAAAATCATAATTTTCTGTTAGTTTTATTGCAGTCGATTACATCAGTTGCAGTGATGTCTTCTCGGGTGATTGCCATGTGAGAATAGTATGGGATATGTAATTTTTACACAGTAAATCACCCAAGAAGTCTTAAAGCTTTAAATTTTACATGATTACAACATGTGTTTCTGTTGTTGAATGTTGTCATCTTTAAAGATAGGCACTTAATCAAAACCTTTTGTGTAGATTTTATCAATCTTTATGAATCACAGACTGTTAGGATATTTCCCAACATTGTGATCAAAATCAAGTGTCGCACAGCAATCGAAAATGTCAGTGAAGATGGCCGATCCTGCCTGTTGTGTCTTGCAAGGTTTAATTTAAATTTAAGGCTGGTCACAAAACTTGTATTCTTCCCAGTATCTGTGTGGCATTAGCTCTTGGATGACTGGACATGAACCTTTGTTCAGTCAGTTCAGTTGGTGGAAAATTACAGAATATTAAAGGCCTAGGTATAGCGTTTCAAAAGCTGTTCCAAAAACATTGAATAGATGCTGTATGTTTTTGGACGTCAAGAAATACATTATGTTTGTAACTTTTTCGATCTTCTGCATGTATGTAGATTGGGATAAAATTTATATCAGAATTGACTGGGACTTTTTTGAGTTGGCGTTTATGTCAAATTTCCTGTAACTCGAGTATATTGTTATAGGATTCACAGCTTCTGACATTTCTGGTCACTAAGCGGACAAACCATTCAAAGAAGTGCTGCATTGCCTAGTTAAAGAATTACGACGGTTTGTTTCGAGAGACATAATGTGAATATTACTTGTGCTTGAACGAAGTATCCATTATTCAAATTAACATTAGGCAAGAAGCCAGTATATTTTGGAATGTGCTGGAACAAACCCCATGTTTTTAGTCCCTGTTGTTTTGATGTTTAAATTAAATCATACTTTATTGTGCGTTTTCTGTTCCATAATGTCATTTTGTCCAACTTATAAACAATTACAAGTCATTAATTCTGGGGAAAATGCCTGAGAAATTTGGGTAGTAGACTACGTTCTTGCACATACTTAGGATTGCGGAGAGCTAGCTTATAGGACACGTACAAGTTCTAGTATGGTCATAGTCTAGAGACCGAGTTTATACTCTTCTGTTGCCACTAAAAATGTTTGCAGAATGCATTTTATCGTTCTTTGCTGAGAATTGAGGTGTTTACGTACAATACAAAATATGATATTCTGAATCAAATCTAGTGCCTGGAACGTGGTAGTAAACCAGATTCTTATAAGCATTAAGTACCAAAAGAACAAAAGTATGCTGTTAAGATTTGTCTAATCGAGACATTCTAGGATTGTTTCCTTTGCTCGAAGGACTCTGCTCTGGCAAATTACAAGCAGGACGTAGTTTCTTGTACTTTTTTCAATTGAATGTTCGTAGTTCCTTTTTGCGTGTGGAAAAAGTGTACAAAATACTACGGATGCCTATTAGTGTTTATAGTCATATCGATAGTCATAAACTCGAAAAACAGGTCTGAGGAAATTATCGCCGAAACATGCATCATGGGCAGTTAAGCGAATGTTCTAGCAGCGTCAGGTTGTAATGTGAAAAGTTATGCTTTGATTTCCTTGTTCGTGTATCTTTTTGTATTTTAGCGGAGGTAATACGCCACATAGAGTGCTTTTTCGTACAGAGCAATTAGGAATGGAATAGTGAAACGCAGAAGATTTTAGTTGTAGGCCATTTTAAAATGTTCAGCGAATATAAGTCCGAGGTTAAGTAGGTTAGGCCTATATCATTTTAATTCAGTGGAGTGGAGATGAATAGAGGTAACTTCTTTATTCGTGTATGATTGTAAAATGGCGGAGTTTGTATCTCGTTTACTTATTGTAATTTTAAACTGTTGTAGTCACAATTTCAGTGCATATTCCATAGTTAGTGTGATGATATTAATTTCCATTTGCTGATGTAAAATTTTGATTTCCGCCAAAGCCATTAAGGTCAGCGATTTTAAAATGGCTTCAGTGACCAATTAAGTGTGATGATTGATTTTTGCGTGCAAGTTAGACGTGATTGTTGAGCACGTGTCCGCAATATAGCATCACTGCAATTCAGACAACTTGCAGCAGTTCGGTAAGTTGTTTTACATTCACCCTCTTTCTGTTCTGTTTTTTGCAACCTGCAAAAATGTTTACGATAATATATACTCGAGGGTATGCCAGTGACCGTTTCCTTATTTCTGACATTTTAACCTGTTCGTTCTACGCAATGGCATAGGTAGTTCTAATGCGGCACTGGTGGAGTTCGGTCGCGCATGGGCCTACAGCATCTCGTTCAGGCAGCCCAAATATAACTATTACCTATCAATGTGAATCTCTGAGATAAAATTAAAGAAAGATGCTTTCCTTCGAAAGTGGCTCCAGTTGTGTCGAAAGGGTTTTTAGCATTCTGAATTAGGCGGATATGGTACATGAGACCGCTTTGGTGTGTATAATTGTGGTTGTTCGGTGGGGCAAAGGCTTGTATACGGGAGCCCGAACTCTTAAGCTGCTCCTGAGCCCCAGAAACTTCGCTATGCTGATAGTTCTGCGTTCATATTTTTGTTCGGTTTTTGGATCAAGATCCTGGGAGCTATTTACTCTTCGGTCCTTTTTTGAATTGCGATAACGAAAATTATTTTATCTTGTGACAGGCCCGTTCTTAAAATCTAATACCATCTTGACCATTCTGACTATGCTTCCTCGTCTCAGCACTAGCGTAACGATTGTGGAAGCCTGGGTGGCGCTAGCGTAACGATTGTGGAAGCCTGGGTTGCGCTTAGAGTTCGAACCGCCCTGCACATAACAAGTACTTACAGGACTTTGCATTATAAAATATGTTTTATTTTATTTAACAAAAGGAACAACTAGTACTTGGCAGTGGAAATGTGTGTAATAGCTGTTATGGCGTACATAATGTAATTACAGCAAGAGACAACAAACGCACGGACAGTGGTATTCAAACGTTTATACATAAATAATTTTTTCCCTTGGCTTAAAGATTGAATTTATGAATAATGAAAATTGAAATGCTCGAATATTTTACTTGGAAAAGTCTTGATTTAACCATTTCTGTACTACGCGTTAGATATATTCTCGAAAATCTCTGATCCATCTGCTCAGAATTTATTTTGGTGTTTGAGAAAGTCAGTGACAGAATTGTGTTCTGTTATCTTTCAACAGTTACAGCTACATTTCGTAACTACAGCAGTTGTATGTTTCTGTGTTTAGTATTATCACAAAAAATTCTGGAAGGAATGAGGATCTAAAGGTAACACACTAACTAACTAGATGGCTTACCGAACCCGAAGGTTCATCACCGAATTAACCAAAGCCCTCCACCGGACCCTGTCCTGGTCCAACAAAATCCAGTTTCCTTCAACTCCTATCTCCCATAGATCCCGCCTGAGATTATCCTCCCATCTACGTCTAGGTCTCCCCAGCGGTCTCTTCCCT